AAGCAAAGAATAAAGAACATAGCCCTCAAGGGTACTATAAAAAATGAGCAAGCAAATCTAGACTAAAGGAAGTTATACATGGATTACTATCTTTGGTAATCAGTTCCAAATTTTTTGTTGAAAACATCTTAAACTAACATTTTTCTGTAAAATTTTGATGAAATAGTTGCCTTGTAGAACTCGATCATGCCTAACTATGGCTATATAGAGAGCTGAAATTCTGGACTCCTGGTAAGCCCCCATTAAAATCAATGACAGGCATGAGATAAACATGATGTCATGACTTAATAAACATTGCTAGATAAATATGTTGATAACAATATCTTCAGTTAAATTGATTACAACTTGTTTGGTGAAATTTCAAATTCATCAGATCATTATATAATTATCACGAATCTACATTGTGTATATTGGAATAATACTAAACATGTATACACTTATGGTAAATATAACACAAAAGCTTACAATGTCACAAATTCAAATATAGATATATAATTTCTTGATAATTTGGAATAAATCCATAATGAATTTCAAGGATAGACAGTGCTATACACAGCTACATGATATGGCTTGTATTGGGCATTGGGCTCATGTTCCATCATTAACATGGGCCTATTAACCTCATTATTTTTGTCCTATTGATGATCTGTGCTTTAGCCTGATTTGTCTCAATGTACTCTTCATAAACTATGTTCACATCTTATTGCTCATGGATGTGATGCACAATGACTGGGGAAACATTAAAAGTATTTAGGATACAATCTTGAATTATACAGAAAGGTTGAAATGAAATTAAACAAGACTTGCTCCATAAATGTTGGATAATAGAACAACAATTTTCCATCACAGGAAAATGCTGAAAAACAATATGATAAAAACGTTCATTACTATATATTTGGAGACATGAAATTATTTGTTTCGAAAAGCTTTGTAGACGATATTGACTTACAAGACAAAAAAAACATGAGCTTGGTGATCTTAACTATTCTATGGTGTTCTATTGGCACATCAAATGGTATGTTTCTAATTTCTTTTCTAATATTATGTAATTCTTAAACTTATTATTATCATTAAAAAAGTAAACCAGTTAAAGTACCCAGATATTCACATTAATGTCCATATATCATATAGAGAAAAATTTTGAAAGGTATTAAAATTCAGAGAAATAAATTATAAATACTGCAATTTATTTTATAGGTATTTGTGCATTGTCAGGTGATACATATAACTTCACTGCAGCATTGTACACTTGTGAACTAAAAGGAGGAGCATTGGCGGTTTTCTGGAATGCCACTGAGGAACAAAACTGCATCGCTGAAGCAGGGTGAGACACCAGTTTAATACCACTTCACTTGATCAATAAGGATTGACAGTTCAACCAAGTGAGGGCAATCTCAGCCAGATTCAGCTTTTTTACTTGTTTGGGTTTTCGTGGATGCACAAAAAAGAATGAACTTTATTCCCATCATTCAAGATTGTTTCTAGAATATGAAATCAATTTACCAATTAGTGAGATCATAGCTTGAAATCAAATTCTCGGGGTCTCTAAAATTTGATGATGTGTACTCTTCCAATACTCTCAATATTTAACAGCTCTCATGTTAAATTTGAAAGTATATTAAGTATTCCTTGGGTCAAAGGACCTTATACACCCTCCATTGGGATCTCCCCATGAGAAAAAAATAATTCATCTGATTTTTCAAAATAAAAATACTGCTTTTATTATTACATTTATATGTACACCTGACCTATATTCAGCACTGTATTGATGAATGGGCCACTTATTAGGGCCAATATTCAATCATAAGGTACACAGGGGTCGAGATGCCAAACCAGGAAGTGTTTTTGTGTCTGTCAAAATCCATTTGCATCCTACACATCCCTACATCTTATCCAAATATGTTATTAATTGATGAAACATAACAGTATAATCTTTGGATTTACAAAGTTGTATGGGATTTCATAAGTGTAAAAGTTGCTTTTGAAGCATTTTCCTATAGCCATTTTGTAGGAAAAAAAAATGATTAAAAATGTCTAAGCCTTTAATTTGAAGTATGACCTGAATCGATTGCAAACTTTATATTTGCACATCTGATGTGATATACCATTTGTGTCATATTGTGAAATTATTTAATTTGCAATCGATTCAGGTCATAGTGTATTTTAGGTATTTTTGTGAAAATCAATAGAAACCAATGGCCTCCATTGGAATCTGATGATATCCACATGTTAAGTCAATGGAGCACATCCAATGGCAAGTCAATACACCCTTGCTGGACTAAATGACCTCAACCTCAGCCCATGTGGGTCCAAACGCTTAAATATTTTCCACAGTATTATGTGACATTGTATTCTTTATGTTACACCTAAAAATGATTCATTTTGTTCATGGGGAGATCATAATGGCGGGTGCACTAGATCCTTTACCCACTTATTTATTTTATATGGAAAATTCCACAAAAGGGAGTATTTAAGATAGCCACTATCTATAATAAAACATAACAATTGTGGTTATAGAGTTCAACAAGATGTCAGGGCCTGGATTGGCCTTAGTAGAGAGGAAATGGGCACAGAATATCTATGGGAGCCAAACAACAGTTCCATGACGTATTCCAACCTCGATCCTAGTGAGACGAATGAAGCAGTCTATGTAACTGTATCATCAAAGGGTGAAACAAGCTGGCACACAGATGTAAAAGTGAAATCTTATAAAATGCTTTGTGATTTGAATGACGATGCAGCTGTTCTTGATGCTAATGAGGGTGAAAATAAATCAGGTAAAATTAGTAACATTGGTCAGCTTTAAAATGGAAAAGAGTCAGCAGGAATATATTTTTATTCATGGGCTGGGTCAATATTTTAATGTCAGTCAAAAAACGTAATTAATTACATTAGGGGGAGTGGGTAAAACGCCATTTAATTAGAAAATGGACATTGATTTTTATTTTCCAGGGTTTTGTCTCCTGCAATTTCTGGTATGACCGGCATGGTATGATCATTAAATATACTGAACAGATATGTACAAAGAGAATTTGAAATGTGTTGTTTATAGCAGTAGCAGATATTGTCTGCTGTGGGGTTGTACTTGTATACTGTATGCAAGTCAAAATTTTGGCACATTTACACCAGGCGAATCAACATTTTGACTTTTGTTAGAAGGGATTGGGGTTTAAGACCTAACTAAATTGATTAATTAATTATGTTTTTTATGTTTTTTGATTGACACTGAAATATTGAGCTGCCCCTTAACAGACTTTATTGTCATCAATATATATTCTTTACAATTTAGGGTTATCTTCTAACAATGATACACAAAGGATAGCAACAAAAACAGCAGTAGCAACCATAATAACAGCAGCTAAACGAACAACAACAACAGCTGATCCAAGAACAGCTGAATCAACCACAACAACAATAGTTGAGTCAACAACAATAACAAGAGTTGAACCAACTACAACAAATGATCAAACAGCTGAACCAACTCCGACAAATCATCAAACGGCTGAACCAACTACAACAAATCATCAAACAGCTGAACCAAATCCGACAAATCATCAAACATCTAAACCAACTACAACAAATCATCAAACAGCTGAACCAACTACAACAAAGGATCAAACAACTGAACCAACTACAACAAATCATCAAACAGCTGAACCAACTACAACAAATGCTCAAATAACTGAATCAACTACAACAAATGATCAAACAGCTGAACCAACTACAACAAAGGATCAAACAACTGAACCAACTACAACAAATCATCAAACAACTGAACCAACTACAACAAATCATCAAACAGCTGAACCAACTACTACAATTCATAAAACAGCTGACCCAACTATAACAAATCATCAAACAGCTGAACTAATAACAACAAATCATCAAACAGCTAAACCAACTACCACAAATCATCAAACAGCTGAACCAACTACAACAAATCATCAAACAGCTATGCCAACTACAACAAATGATTAAACAGCTGAACTAACTACAACAAATCAGCAAACAGCTGGACTAACTACAACAAATGATCAGATAACTGAACTAACTACAACAAATCAGCAAACAGCTGAACCAACAACAACAAATCATCAAACAGCTGAACTAACTACAACAAATCATCAAACAGCTGAACCAACTACAACAAGTGATCAAACAACTGAACCAACTACAACAAATCATCAAACAGCTGAACCAACAACAACAAATGATCAAATAACTGAATCAACTACAACAAATGATCAAACAGCTGAACAAACTACAACAAATGATCAAATAACTGAATCAACTACAACAAATGATCAAACAGCTGAACAAACAACAACAAATGATCAAATAACTGAATCAACTACAACAAATCATCAAACAGCTGAACTAACTACAACAAATCATCAAACAGCTGAACTAACTACAACAAATGATCAAATAGCTGAACTAACTACAACAAATGATCAAATAACTGAACTAACTACAACAAATGATCAAATAACTGAACCAACTACAACAAATCATCAAACAGCTGAATCAACTACAACAAATGATCAAACAGCTGAACTAACTACAACAAATCATCAAACAGCTGAACTAACTACAACAAATGATCAAATAACTGAACCAACTACAACAAATAATCAAACAGCTGAACTAACTACAACAAATCATCAAACAGCTCAACCAACTACAACATATGATCAAATAACTGAACCAACAACAACAAATCATCAAACAGCTGAACTAACTACAACAAATCATCAAACAGCTGAATCAACAACAACAAATGATCAAATAACTGAATCAACTACAACAAATCATCAAACAGCTGAACTAACTACAACAAATCATCAAACAGCTGAACCAACTACAACAAATGATCAAACAACTGAACCAACTACAACAAATCATCAAACAGCTGAACCAACTACAACATATGATCGAACAGCTGAAGCGACTACAACAAATGATCAAACTGCTGAACTAACTACAACAAATGACCAAACAGCTGAACAAACTACAACAAATGATGATAAATCTTTGAAAAATGATGACAAATCTTTGGAATATCATTCCAAGGAAGAAAAGGATGACAAATCAGGTGATTCGACAGAAGTAAGTAATGACAATGATCCAACAACAACAATAACAACAAATGTTGACAAGTTGTCAAAAAATGATTCAGAGGACAATGAAGACACATCTGAAAAATATCATTCCAAAGAAGAAAAGGATGACAAATCAGGTGATGTGACAGAAGAAAGTAATGACAATGATCCAACAACAATAATAACAACAACGACAAATGATGATGAGTTGTTGAAAAATGATTCAGAAGAAAATGAAGACAAATCTGAAAAATATCATTCAAAGGAAGAAAATGATGACAAATCAGGAGAAGATGAATCAGCAAAAGGGCAATCAAGTGAAGAAAACATACTGAATAATGATATTGTTCCCATCACTAATATAACTACTACCAAGGAACCGGAACCAGCTCCATTATTTGAAGTATTTGAACCTGATGAGAGAAAATCAGCGAAGATCATTGGATCAGCAGCTACAGTTTGTATAATAGCTATTGGGGCACTTATTGTTGCTAGTGATTTAAAACAGATATGTCATCAGCTACGAAATGGGTTATGTCAGAATCTGGGCAATGTATTCAAAAGGTTGAGGAAGTGAAAACAACCAGTATGATACCTCTAGAAGGTTCTAAAACTACTAAATACAGCCCAACACATTAGAACAACATGTAAACTAAAAGAGCAACTCTATGGAGTAGCAAATCCCAATAAATTGTTTGCTTAAATCTTTGGCAATTTCCTACGTCATTATATGGGTTTCTCCCAAAGTATATCTCATTTTGACTTTGAAAGAAAGGTATTTGTGATTAAGCAGAGATTCAATATATTAATAACAAACTTCATTTGTTGGGTAATGTCCTCTATCTGTTGGCTTTACTTCCATCTGATCATAACAGATGATTTTACAGTTATGATGCTATTAAGAATTTCGACAATCTCATGTTATTTCATGGCCTTTTATTAAACTTTGAGGGTGAGGGTAAATACTTCTGACAACACATGAAAAATCAAATATAGCCTAGATCTAAAAAGATTTCTAAACAGAGTAGATAAAGGAGCTCTTACAATGTACTAGTCAGGTTAATACAGGACTTGAAACTTGCATAGCCAAATAAAATTAGTTATTTACTACCAGATTTTAAAGAATGTAATGTCTATGAGTAGTGATTTCATGGAATGGCCTCATTGTATTAATGTAATGCTAAATCAAGAGGTTAACATATAGTAACCCATGATGTAGATTACCAATTCTCTTTTTAAGCTGAGAAATTTGAAAAATTTTCAATACAAGTGTTATATTCTAGGTAAAGGAACCAGTTATGCCAGTATTTGATTTTATACACTTCAAAGAAAGCTAATGAGATCTTGTCAATCTCAAATGGAGATTGCTCTTTTATGACCTGTGCCTGTGACAGCCCAGGTCATAAATCATTTCAAACCTACAAGATGATCGTTTCCCAACCAGTCAGTGACCTGGAAGGAACACATGCTAAATGTGTGCTCATTAACTTGATGACATCAGAGGAAATTACCATATATAGAAAGTCGTCCATATTTCGACGATGCACTCTGAATGGCACGATGAGTTCAGAGATATATTGTAAACTGAGAGTGAAGATGAAGCTCTCTTTCAAGAGGTCAAGTCGAATGAGTGCAAAGGGTAACACCCCAGTCACATATCCTACGGCGACCTTGCGGTCTATCATTTCTGCGGCCAGTAACATTTCTACGCTCGCCGTGGAATTTCTGCGCTCTCATACTTTTGCAGTCACATTTCCCATGGCAGCCGCACGGTGAATTTTAAATTTCTGTTGATAAATAATACTTTTCTCATTTTATTTACATCAGGACAATTTATAAATGTTATTCATAGTGCTAGGATGTAATATCAAATGAAAGTGATCGTGAAACATTGACAAATAATGATTCAATCTTGTTGAGCCAGTTGATTTCTACGGGGACCTCAGAAATGAACAAATATTATAACTCCGAGTTATAATTTCTACGGCAACCCTGTGGCCTGTAAAAAACTGGATACGCCGTACGGAGGCCGCAAGGCGAGCGTAGTTTTCCTACGCTCGCCGCAGAAATACACTGATTTAATTGATCTGCGGTCGACGCACAGCCTCCGTACGACAAATGTTACTGGGGTGTAAAGGTCTGACAACATATTATGAAGAACCTTAGGCTGGATCAAAACCTTGTTTACAAAGAGTGTACCATGCATTATCAGGGTAATGCCAACGAAAGCTTACCTTCCCAGGCTGTTCATAGTGCTCTTGGTTGATACAGCCAACAGTTAACAGAGCTTTAAGCAAATCCTCTTCTATGGACTTAAGTGGAGCAGACTGCCTGTAAAGAAATCATAATACATAGTAAGATGTATATACTGGGAATATTAAATCATAATTGCTGATCTAGTTCCAAGGTCTATATGAAAAAGTGTAAATATATCTTATACTTCAAAACAGTTGTAAAAATAGTATCTAACAAAGGCAATTCAAAGAAAAAAAATAAAGTAAAAAGCCACCAATTTCGTTAATTGAGTTGTTCTTTTTACCTTTGCATCCCATAGTAACCTTTGCCTGAGTAGACCAACATAAGGGCGGCTTTTTTCCTTTTGAAGGGGTTCCCTTGCATTGGGGGATTAGCTACACCCCCTGTCTTGCTCTCCTGATAACAAAAGAAAATGCCAAATGAGGGGGATGTTATGATGATCATGTTTAAAAATATCAAGTACAATGGGAAATGGAGGAATCAACAAAGAGTATGGAAAAAACAAGGCATTAACATGCAAAATGTCACCACATTCAATTTGTTACAGATGGTGAACTCTGAACGATTGCTGAATGCAGGCTACCGAACACCATCTACAAAAAAGTTGGAGACCATAATAATATGTCAACTCTTGTGGTGGTGACATAAAATCATGAGATGACAATTAAAACATACTGTACAGCAGAACTTTCATGTTTCATTATGATCTGTGAAATCCACCTCTTACAAATTCATCCACTTCGTATATTTTCACAATAAATTATATTTTACTTTTTCTGCCTTGATTTCAAACTGAGTGCAATGGATTTATACTAAACGCAATAGATTTTCACCTGAGTGCAATAGAATTTCCAAGTGTAATGCAATAGATTTACAACTAGTAGCAACACTTTTCAACAAGATGCAATACATTTCCAATAAATGTAATGAATTTTCGACTGTTTATCAAGGATTTTCAACTGAATGCAATGGATTTCAACTTTTGGTGCAATAATTTCAACAGTTGTTTCAATGCTTTGGATCACTGCATTTTAGGGGCAACATATTCACTTACTAGTTTTTGTTTCTTCAATTCGTCTTTCATTTCATTGTCAACTTCAATGGGTCGTTTTGTTGATGTGGATTCATTTTCCAACTTGACTTCAGATTTTATTTCCTCTTTTGTTTTACAATCAACATCAATGGGTTTTTCTGTTGTTGTGGATTCATTTTCCGACTTGACCTCAGATTTTATTTCTTTGATAATATCAGTTGTATCCATTTTAGAATCAATTGCTGTCGCATCAGTTGAAGCCATCTTGAAAATAATCCCGCCAAACCGTTCAGTTAGCCTTGGATTATGAATGACACCTCTACAATGATGTAGAACTCGTCTAATCATAGGTGGAGCCAGATGTATCCTTTCTCTGAAAATAAATATATGGAAAAACATGGAAAAAATGTTTTGCATGTGTAAATGTATAACAAAATATATATCAAAGTAAATAGGTTGAAAGTACAATAATTGTTACAAAATGAAGCATACGATGTCATACACACATCTTTAACCCAAATTCTGAGTATTTATCGACAGTGGAAACAAAGCATGTGATGATAATGTCATCTATGTGCATTTATTACAGGTCATGCTAACCTCCACTGTGCTTGATTTATAGCAAAAAGGTTGACTTTTGCACGCTGGTGAGGTTGCACCTTTTCAAATAGATCTCACACCCTAAAAAGCTTGTTTCAAGGATTTTTTACCATACTGTGCAGTGTGTGTACCTATTCATTTAGCAATTTATAAGTGAATTTTCTCATGAAAAAACGTGCAGATTTGTTCAATTTTCGTCCAGTTTCCTCCCTTTCTTTTCATTTTGATCAATTTACGGCTTTGATAAGGACAAAATTGACAATAAGGTGAGTCCAAAACCATGGGTTGCAAAAAAGTTAATCAGATTAAACAACTTTGTTCACAACTTCACACTGCTTTAGTCTCCTTCTTTTGGGTTGGAATGCATAGACATTATTTCTCCATTTAGATGGCACTTCAGGTTCTTGCGATACAGTTGTTCAAAATCAAATTGTCATAACATTTAGTGATCTGATCTGTTGTAACAAAAAACATGGGGACTTGTATGGAAGATTGGGTAGACCTCTATTGAAAGCCTTATGTATCAATATTATTATTACTTGTAGAAATGAGCTAACAATGAGAACTCTGCCTGATCTTCCATACAGGCCATACATACTGTAAATATACTCCATTTGAATTGGGTTATGCATAAAATAAAACTTAAAATATAAGCATTTTGAATAATACACAATAACCACCTCTGGGCATGCTCGTCCGGGGAGCTGTAGTGTAACGGGCCAGATACTAGACCTGAAAGCAGGGCTGTCAACTTGGGACCACCTAATATGAGTGACTTACAAATGTTGGACACCGAAGTCCAAATCTGAACACTTTTGTCCAAACTTTGAACACCTTTGGCCAACTTTTAAACACCTTTGGCCAAAGTTTGAGCACCTTTGCTAAACTTTTATAACCTCAAATTTTTCGCGCTCGCTACGCTCACGATCTCGTCAACGGGGGGGGGGGGGGGGGGGGGTTGGTACGAAAATTTGCAATGAACAGCCGTGACATATACGGGATTCGCGTGACAAATCCGAACAAATTGCGTTCGTTTTTTTCCGACGTTCGTATTTTTACCGTATCATAAACATATTTTGAAAATTTTTTTACAGAAACATATTTGCGTGACAATTACCAGGTAAAATGCGTATTTGCGTGACATTTTCTGTCACGCAAAAAAAACTGGCGTGACTTCAAATTCTTCAGCAAATGCGTGACAAATACGCAAATTGCGGGACAGTTGACAGGCCTGTGAAAGGGAGTGTGCTAAATTCAATGCCCTGTGCGGGAATCAAACCAAGGACCATCCACTCACAAGACTGAGCTCTACCGCTTTAGTTAAGGGGCTAGCTTCTACAGCTAAGACTGTAATAGTGACTTGCTATCAAGGGTCATTACACCATCCCCCCTGAAGGATGACATATCCCATCGTAGCTGATACACAAATCCTACTTCTGACAACAATGTAATGGCCCTGGGCATGCTCGCCCGCGGAGCTGTATTGTAACAAGCCAGATACTACACCTGAAAGGGAGTGTGCTTAATTCAATGCACAGATGGAGATCGAACCCATGACCTTTCCCTCTCAAGACTGACACTACCGATTCAGCCACAAGGGCTAGCGTAGCCACTACAGCTAAGACTGTAGTAGTTACTTGCTATTGAGGGCCATTAAAACACTTTGAATGATCTATAATTAAAAACATTTTTATTATAATCAAGCTTTTCAACTGTAATGTTATCTTGAAAATAAATTTACAAAAATATTCAGTGGGCGATAATATGTTATTTTTAGACATGTGACTATTTATGTCAAGATTTTGGCACCTCAAGTTAACAAACAAGCGTATTAGTCATATCATTTGAGACATTTATTAATTGATATCCAAAATATACATAACTCACCTTCTCAAATACGGTGTTTGTACAATAAAATGACTTTAAACACAAATGATTTTAAGATTCGCAATACCGGAAGTTTACATTTGCTCGCCCGGATGTAAGAAACACATGTGAAAATGGATGAGAAAAGTATTTTGAGTTTCCACCAAATGGGCCTTGATGACCGTCTATTAAAGGTTTGTAAACAATTAGATCATTTCATGCTTATGTGATGTATGATTTGCGTGGACTTCAAAAGTATACTTGGTCCTGCAGACTCTAGACTTAGATCTAATTCAAAGGCCAGTTCAAAGATATCAAATCGTCAAAAAAGTTTTTGAAATGAAATTTTTTTCAGGATTGACTATAGATCTAAGCACCTCTAGTTTAGGTTCGGTGTTTTATCTCATCCAAAGGCATGGATGTTCACTAGAATAAAGCCATTCGAGAAAATAAAGTTTAGTGAATATTTGAGACCCTATCTGTTGCAAGACTAACGCCTGGCGTAACCGTCACCATGTTATTCAGTGTTTTTTAAGTAGCGCAAGGATCCTGCCATGACCGTGGTAATGTTATCGTGAAAGCCTGGTATAACCGCGACAATGCTGTATTATATTGCAATGCCTGCCATGACCGTGACAATGTAATATAGTTCTGCAAGGCTTGGTATGACCGTAACAATGTAATATAGTACTGCAAGGCCTGGCATGACCGTGACAATGTAATATAGTATTGCAAGTTCAGGTATGAGAGTGGTAATGTAGAAATTAACGATTAGGACTGCTATAACCGTGACAATGTGTATTGCAAAGCCTGGCATGACCATGGCAATGTAATATAGTATTGCAAGGCTTGGTATGACCGCCATGGCAATGTGATATAGTATTCCAAGTTCGGGTATGAGAGTGGTGTAGAGTGTATTAGAGTGGTGTAGAAATTTATGATTGCTATAATTGACCGTGACAATGTGTATTTGAAAACCTGGCATGACCATGACAATGTATTATGGGATCGCAAAGCCTGGTATGACCATGACAATGTAATATAGTATTGCAAGGCCATGTATGAGGGTGGTAATGTAGAGATTTAGGCTTAGTTCTACTATGACCATTATAATGTATTGCAATGACTAGTAAATATGTATGACATTAATGCCAGGAATATCCTTAACAATTTTAAGTGATCCTCATTACAATTAAACAGTTTAATACTATGATCATGGTGTTTAACTACCTTAATCATGTCAAAATCAAAATTACTACTATACATTAATATTCACATTCGCTTATAAACCACAACAAAGGCTACGGTCGCGCCAGGCTTCCACGATAACACTTCCAGGGTCATGACAGACCTTGCAATAGAATCCAGCATTGTCACGGTTATACCAGCCTGTCAGGGTTATATATTTGGGGTTATATATTTGGGGTCAGACTTACTCTCTTCGAGAGCCATGATTTTGAAACTTATGGCTGAGACTCCCAACGGAGAAATGGACAGCTGAATAATAGTGACCTTTGAAACATGAATTAAGTTGATCCGGGGCTTACTTTTGTTCTCTAACTAATGTCATACATCATTATCATCCTTCTGTGCAAGTGGCGTTTTCTCCTCGGACATTTTCGTAAATCTCCGGAGGTTGTCCGAACCTAACTCATTCTCAAAATTCATTTCGTCCGTTGCGTATCTCGCTCCTAGCAAACTGCCGTATTGGAAATGGTTCGAAAAAACATTCACTCGATGTACAATTTACAAGTCTTGATCGAAAAAGAAGTATTTCAGCGCTCCAATACTTGCACGGATTGATGATATTGATGTAAGACACAGTTAGAGACCAAAAGTAAGCCGCAGATCTCATTATTCATGTTTTAAAGGTCACTATTATTTAGCTGTCCAAGTGCGCCGTGGGCGTGGGAAAGCTATAATATCAAAATCCACATAGCTTTAGCAGGAAGGAAGGTCAGACGGTTTCTAAAAGTTCAGTTTGTTTGGGCTGTTGGGAACCCGCTCCGAATCTTGCTCAAAAAATTCTGTAAGTTGTTCCTTTTCTTGTCTCCCCCATTCCTTCCATTTCCCTTTGGATCAAACTTAAGATATCATATGTACCATGTCCTGCTTGGCCTAGTGATATAACTTGCACTTTTCAAAACATCTTCGTTCCTATATTGTCATCTGGCCTGGGGGGGGGGGGGGGGGTGGGTACTCCCATATATCGGCTATATGGGTATGTGCTGCTACAGTTATCTCATCCTACGACCCCTTTAGATTGTGGTCGTACGCCCGTATCATTCTTAAGATATCATATGTACCATGTCCTGCTATATATTCTTTTTATGTTGTTAGATCGCCAACTTTATGGGTTTATCGGCAGAACGAAGATATTTTCGTTTTTAAATAGCAATACTTGTGTTTAATATTTAACTTATTTCAACCGTCAAATTCCTCCATTCAGTTCCTGATATGCACCAGTCATAAGGGAAATCCCTGGGGAATTCCCCTTCCAACATTTTGAAAATTGCTGACATATTTCCGATGTAAAAATGAAAATCTCTTTGTTCTGCCGATAAACCCTTACAATTATCGATCTAACAACATAAAAAGAATTCTAAAATACTCTGGAATGTATCGAGGTAGGTCATTTAATAGTGCAATGCGTAGTTCATTCTCTGACATTGTGGAAAGACAGGCTTACCAATGATACGGGCGTACGACCACAATCTAAAGTGGTCGGTAGGATACAATAACTGCTAAAGTGGGTCACTTTTTCACAAAAAATCCCTATATGTGGGTCCCATTCTGAAGAAAAACCCTAGATTTAGGTCCCAATAGATCAAAAAATCACTAGAACAGGGTCTACTTTTTGAAAATCCTAAAACTGGGTATTGTTTTAGAAATAATAATCGCCGGAAGTGGGTCTTGTCTTATAAAAATCATCTTTAAATAGGTTTATTTTTGAAAGAAAAACCCAAGAGGTGGCTACATTTTTAGAGAAAAAATCCCTAGATGGTGGTAGATATATTGAATCTCAGCGGCACCCCCCCCCCCTGTACAAAAGGTTGACCAGTGTCTGATAGTTATACAAACGAAAATATGTCCAGAAAAAGAAAATATCTGCCTATTACAAGAAAAGAAATTTCACTTTTTGTGATTTTGTAACATGGACTCTATATATATGGGAATCTCCCCAACCTAGAAGTCACATTTTCAAAGAAGATTAAATCGGTTGGTAAATACTTTAAAACACATTTCTTTAAGGCAATTTTTCATGTAGACTTCAAATATGATATCCCTCAAACTAAATTTTGAATATTTAATGAAGTTAATCAAGATTATTTCTACTCGCATCTAGTATACTGAATTGAGATGAAACCCTGAACATGTGAAAGTTGTAAAATTGTTCTTTCCACAAAAATTCCTTGACAAATCAGCCATATTAAATACTGCTAAAAGCTCTTTTCACATAAAAATGATTGTCATTAAAACCTCCCAAATAAACTGATATTGGATTGATAAGAATGGTTTGAAAGGTAAATTTTGCTGTAAATATGATTTAACTGAGAAAAACAAAGGTAAAACAAACACATTTTAATCAATATTCTGTTTTTAAATTGTCTTAGAGAGTGACCAGATCAGCTTGACCTTGTGGTTTTAACACAGGACATCAATTTCACTCCCAAATATGGAAAGTGCAAAAATAGAACTGTCAATCAAATGTTGAACTTACCAGAGAGAAAGTTATATTTAGATTAATTTGTTGATCAGATGTGATCTTGGGTTTTTCAGCATTGAGGCTTCATAGCAATAGCTAAGATTTTAGTCATAAAAACTATTTGATGAATATATTCAGGTCAGTGTGACCTCCATAATAAGGACATGACATAAGAAAAAAAGAAACTTGTCTTTGACAAGAAACTCTAAAAAATCTATTATATCCCAAGAAGATTGCACAGTCTGGTTTGAATATTCCTTGCCTCAGAAAGAAAGACCTTATTTTTATTTTCTTTACCAAAACTCATGTACTTCTCATCCAAAATATCTGATGGCATAGTGTTTGAACTCAAAACTCGTGTCATTTTTCTGAAATGTTCATCTTCCACTTTGACTCTATGTAATTGCATCAATAAGTTTATTCACAGAAATAAATCACTAAATAAAAAATGTCAGAAAATGTAATTGCAACATGACTTCTCAACTTCCAGGCAATTGCAAAGCTTGGTTGGTTACAGCCTACACTGATACAAGAAAAGGCGATACCCCTGGCACTGGAGGGAAAGGATGTACTCGCTAGAGCTCGAACAGGAAGTGGAAAAACTGCAGCCTTCGCCATTCCAGTCATTCAGAAAATACTACAATCAAAACAGGTTTGATAAATATTACGATTAATATGCAAGTAATTTCTATTGAAATATATTCTATATTACCCTAAAACATGGGCTTTCAAGACGCATTATTGATTAAGGATATACCAGTGTAACCCTTACGACAATGGTGATATATTTTTAAATTACAGAAATAGGAAATTAACACCTCTATGAAAAGCTCTTTTGTTAACTTCACGTTTGGCAAGTGTTCTGTATTAAATATCAAGGACGCAGAATGACGATATATGATGCTTTACGACATAGTAATCCATAGCAACTAAGAGATTCTCATTTTCAATGTTGTTTTATCATGACGTCATATAACACTTTTGTTAATGGGTTCTCGGAATATGATACCATTATCTGTGACGTCAGTGACATATTGCCCCATCAACAAATAAACAAACAAATGAACTATACGTAATCAATTCTTCCAAATAATTCAGTAATTTTTTGTATATTCTTGTTTCATTCCAGTTTCATGTCTGTTTCTTTCGTTTATCCCAGCAGTATATGTGTATAATGCCCATGTATTACAAACACGACAAATCTAATTTGTAACTTGCTTCTTATTTCGCTACAGTCTGTATGAGTTTTCACTAAGTATAGTCTATAGCCTATGTATTGACATTTGAAACAAGCCATTCAAACCTTTGTTCAATTTATGTTATTATTCTTTATTTTTATAATTATAGTTACCAGTTAAAAATATTTTCCCAGTGAGTATTAACGACCATGATCGGACATGCCGGATACAATGCGAAAAACGTCCATAGCAGTTCACAAAAATACATTATTCGTGTACTACATTCAGTAGACGTATCTTGCTCAAATCCGACAGCTTTACATGGGAGGGAATGTACAACCCCACCCGAAAATCATCAAAAAGCACGCATGCTTTATATCACGAGTGAAATCATTCATGCCTGATCTGTGAGGTTATACTTGTAAAGGCAGTTCATTAGACAGGAGATGTTGAGTTCTCACAATTGTTAACTTCAAATGTAACGTTATCCTTTACCGAAAAATGAACAGAAATATTAGCGTATTAGAATAGAAGTCAAATATGGCTATTATTAGCCATTTTAAATCATCGTTTATTGAATGAATGTCTTACTGGGACATCTAGCCCTCAATTTATTCATAATTTATAATATTTTGAAATGATGTTTATCATTTGGACTTAGCTAGTTTATGTTTTTGTGAGCAGTCGATTTTGTTAATTCTTGAGAAAGACGTCATATATTTAGTTAAATTATGACGCGAATTGACCAGTGGCTTTTGTATCATTGTTAAAGCACACCAATCTTCAACGGCATTTTCAAGCGTAAAACAGACCGTTGACCCTATGTTTTTTTTATATCAAAATAAACATGAGAACACCTTTTTTTTAGAATAAGCAAATAAAAAAAATACCACAATCCATTGGAAATTTGCGTAATTTTCAATTCAAAACGTGTCAAAATGCGAAAATGAGAAAGATATGTTTTTAATGGAAAAAACGTTATAAGAATTTACAAATATTGTTGGGGTAGGGGTAACACTTTAAGTGAAAAAAAGTAAGAAAAAATGTCATGTGTGTACCAATATTCGAACCAATTTAATTATGTATAAAGGAAGTTTATCTAGGCTCGAAAAAAATCGTCAATACACCCTAAATCATCATTTTATCGACGAAATACCGGATTTTCTCGCATATACGCCCCCCTAAATTTAGGCCCATGGGCCAAAAATCGAATGTAGAACGCTTATACGCCCATGGGCCTATAAAAATGACTATTTATTGATTTTTTGAATAAATTCAAGGGTATTTTGTCACTGGCAGATCGTTCTGTCGTTACTTTGTTTCAACATTAAGTTCAACGCTGTGCCGTAAGTGGCAGTGGTGGATTGTTCTGTTGTTACTTTGTTTCAACATTAAGTCCAAGGTTGTAGGTGACATTTCCTTTATAATTCTTACAAAACATGCGGTAGGACTACAACCGAGTAGGTACGGTAGTCTTTGAGGAAGATGGCTGATGCCCACCTTTACGCCCACTGGGCCAAAAATCGAAAGTAGTACACTTATACACCCATGGGCGAAAAATAAGAGGTAAAATAACAGACGAAATTACCCCTTCTTTCAGTTATACGCCCAGGGCTTATATGCGAGAAAATCCGGTATAGGAAAATACGTTTTTTTTTGCTTTGGAATCAATGGCGCCTCAAATGTTCAAATGATGATAACGTCACACCTATTTTCAAAAGCTTCTCATGAAAAAACTAATCCGTTGACCTACCTTTTTTATTACATTTTTTGAATCGCTACATCTTGGTCTATAATAAAAACCTAGTTTCGTTGAGATTGAAAGTGGTCGATTTTTTCGGAGGTTACACTGGTATATCCTTAAGTTCATTTGAAAAACAAATGTAATGAAGATATTTGTTTGGATAGTTAAATGTATATTATTTTTCAAGATTATTAAGAAAAAAACTGAAACTGAGATTTAAGATGAGGTGTAAGAACTCAACGCAAAATTGTACCTTATATTACTGCTAAATTATCGTACTGAATTTTATATTTTATTTCTATTAATAGATGGCGACCAAACAGAAGGTATCTGCAATCATTCTGACACCAAGTAAAGAACTCTGTAACCAAGCTTATAAGAATATACAGGTATGGAAACGAGTCAATATACATGTATGCTTACTTTGTCTATGTCATACCAAATGCCCCAAATTTCTATGAGTCCCTAAATGGGTCATGGTAAGATTTGTCCCATTGCAGGGGCATTGCTAGGACCTAAAAATATGTGAGGCAAATGTAAATATTTGAGGCAAATGTAAATAGTTGAGGTAAATGTAAATACATGTAGATGATGCAAATTTACAAGAGGCAAATTTAAATACATATGAGGCAAAATTAAATAGATGAGGGAAATATAAATAGAGGAGGCAAAATTAAATAGGTGAGGTAAATTTAAATAGGTGAGGCAAATTTAGATAGGTGAGGCACATTTAAATAGGTGAGGCAAATTTGAATAGGCAAGGCAAAAATTTAAAAGCAAAGGAATACATCATTATACTTCGTTTTTACAGTTTCAATAAAAAAGTCTGAATTAATATGGTAAACTTTTGGCGAGGCTGAGCCCATGCATTGACAGTACCAGCTTACATAGTATAAACCAGAAAATACTGGAATTGTCTCTATTTTATACAATAGACCAAGTACAAAGATCAAATTCAATTTATACACTCATACGAGAGAGGAATTAGAATTAACCCCTTGACTACCTGGAGTGACGAGATATCTCATCACCTCAGAAATGACATTGAAACCAAGAGTGACGAGAAAATCCGTCACAAAGTTTTTCACTTAAATTGCTCTTATTTGAAAATTTTTTATCCAATTTAGACAAAAATGTATAGAATAATCTCTGCCATCTAATTTCATTAAGTTGAGCATCTAAATTTGTATAAGCATGTAAAATGTTTAAAGCTGGCAAAAATGAAAAATTCTCTGGTTACACCTGATTTTAGAGCCTGATATTCAAGAGGTTAACAACAAAGCCTTTTATGTGTCTTACTTAATTGTTTATTAATGAATGCAGTATGGTTGAATGATTAAATATATGATTACATGTCTCTTTGATTAAAGTCCTGAATATTAAATCAGTATTCATTTCAACCACCAATTACTTATAAATATTTAATGTTTTTATTTTTGCAAATTGAATATGTGGTGAATAGTAGGCATTTGTTAAACAGTATAACATAGCAGCAGTGATGTCCCCATCATTAAAGCAAGTTGGCGCAGCACCCACCTGAGATTTTAAAAACAGGCTTGCACCTGCCTGAGAATTCATTTGCACCCACTTGAAAATGAGAAAAATCATGAAAAATGGGCATATTTTGAACAATTTTAGTCTGAATTTTGCACCCACTTGAGAAAAAATCCTTTGGAGATCACTGAGCAGTGAATCTCCCTAACATTGAAGCAGTCTGCTAAGTCAAAGAATATATTGACTTCATACCTAATTGTGAAAAACATGGACTTACAAATTCAAAAGATATTTTTTTATCAGCTGAGAAAAATCCGGGGAAGAACGCACTTACTTTGACACAATTTATTCAGCAGAATTGAGTTAAAGAAATGATTGCCAATGAGGATCCACCAAAAATAAACATATGTACCGTACAGGTCCGAAGATTTCTATATTCTGCACATTTCTAGTCTGATTGCTCAGAATCATAAATATTTTTTAGATTCACTGTACTATGTAATAAATAGAGGTTATTTAATGGGAGGTTTTTGATACACTATATTTGAGGGAAATACAATATATCTACCTGATGGACCAAGACAAAAATCGAGCATTTAATAACTGATTATTTTATACTTGGCTCAGTATCTACTCCCTGAATTTTTGACGTCGTATATCTGATGAGCGGGTTATATCGGCGGGTGATATATATATATCACCCGCTCACGTCACATTTTAATTATATTCCCGCATGTCATTTACCTACAACACTACTATAGAGTCAATCATTTTTGTATTTCCATGTTCTATTATATAAGCCAAGGAATCGTGAGTTCTGGCTCAATTTTAGAAAATGTTTGAGACAATTTGTTGTGTTTTTCCATTCATTCAACATTTGATAGCCTGGAACATTATGTGCAGTATATTGTCCATGGATTTCACATGATTTGTAGCGTATAGGTCGTGCATCTGCAAATCTCGATATGTTATACAATCCATAGGGGGCGCCTAATGCTTCAATGCATAAACTTACATAAACATCTTCAAGAAAGAAATATGGAATATTTCGAGAAATTCTGGCAATTTCTCGTGAGAGATTTTGTGACATCATATAGCCAGCACCCGAGCAGAGGCCTGGGTAAAGGGTATGTGGATATTCCTCTTTTGTGACGTACCATTTTGATGTTTTCCATCGATGTGGGTAGTCCTTATATTTGCAATTTCCAATGAGATGATTGGTCGAATTCTTGGTTTCCCATTGGCTCATATTAGCCACCAGGTGGCGTGTGTTAACCCACATGTCATCATCTGTTTTCATGACGAATTTAGCATTTGGGCAGAATTGTACCGCCCAACGTATTCCAAATATTGTCTTATATGTTAGATTCCTATAAGAGTCTAAAAAATCCCCCTGAACCATATCCTGAAACTCATTATTTTCCTTTTTGATTAAATAATTCACCGTTTTATTTTTACTCATTCCAAAAAGAAACACATGTCTTGTGTTGTAAAGTTTTTCAGCTTCATGACTTGCCCAAGTTTGTCTCAAAATATCCCGCCTTGTTCTCCGATTGTACGTTGACGTAATAAAAATCACAATTTCGATTGGTTGAGCCCCAGCACATACTTTGTTAGAGTTGAATATGTACGATAATTTTGGGAAACAGCAATGACATCTATCTTGTCGGATTGTAGGTAATGTATAATTTTTTGTGTGATGTCCATATTTTTCATGAACTGTATCACTGCATTTTTTCAGTTCAATACTCTCCTTATGGAAATCTTCACATTTTTCATCGAGATCTTCAATAAACGTTAACGCCTTTTTTCCTTTGGAAAATGTTTGGATCTTTTGTCCAAAAGCTAATCTTTTTGTAACTGGTGAAATTATGTTCTTATAGCTTACTGTAATATTCAAAAGTGGATATAGAAAATATCCAAAGAGTATCATATAGATCGTTAACGAAACAAATAATGTCAGTTTGATTGTTTTGCAATTTAGATCCATCTTGTTATTTTATTTGTTCAGTTGTTTATTTAAGTTAAGATATTTTATAATTTTATTTCAAAAAAGATTCTAAATGATTTCTTTGTGTCTTTCTTTCTTGATAGAGTCCTACAACTGGTTTCTCTAGACAACTAGTTTGAGTGACTTTTGATATCCATCTTCGATTATCTAGCTCAATGGATAATCATTAGCCAGCAAGTCATCTAGATTAATAATTAAAATCAGACACATGCATTTTTAATAACTCATGCAATAGGACATGCTCAACATGATGAAGAAAATGTAAACACTTGTCAGTTTTGTCCGAAAAATAGACCTTAAGTTAACAAATTTCTAAAAAATGACATGATAATTTAACTCAATGACAAGGGTATTGACCAACTTAAACTGAAAGGGATGGTTCATCCAAATAATAAGTATATTTAGATCCTTCGGAATCCAAAGATAACAAGTAGTTCTTAAATGACCAAAATACCTAATCCTTTCACCAAAATGACCCTAACAGCATACATACTTTTTTATTTGTTTTCATGTGAAAGCTTAATATGGAATTATGTTAAAGTATTTAGGAATCAGTGATTTGTTGGTGATTTAATGAATGAGGTTCTTGTATGAGAGCCTCAAACTGACCCCAGCAATCAGAGTTGGTTATTGCCAAGGCCCTTCACTTCTAAATGAAAACATAATGAACAAAATTTTATAGCTATCCAAACATAGCCTATGTAATGCCCACTAAGGGATCCAGAATCTATCAAGGGGCCCAAATTTTGAGTGCGGAAAAAAAATTCCACAAAAAAATTTTGGGCCCCTCAAATTGAAAATAAGGTCCAAATTTGGCCTAAAAAGGCTTTAAAAGACCAAATTATGCCCAAAAAGGCCCATTTTTGATTTTTGGGGCCTTACAAAATTTTTGGGTCCCAATGGATCCGCCAGTGATGTCTATGATTGGATGAATACAAAAATGTAAATTGGAATGATTGATTCTTTGTAATATAAGAATGTAGTGTACTAGCTCATTTGCTCAGGAAAGTTTATTTGATGTGTTCTAGGAACTTACAAATAGCTGTAGCAGAGAAGTAAGATGTGTTGATGTTTCTGGTCAAGTCTCTCTTAATGCACAGAAGTAAGTATAGTAAAACCAGTGTATGGAACATTCTTTAGAAAAGAACATTTTTTAGAAAAAAGTGTTCACTATAAGTTGGTGTTCACAAAACGAAGAGTTTGGTCTTATGGCATCCAGTATACTTTCATCTCAACCGTAACTCATACTATGTTCTGTATGTGCCAAATCTTTAAGATTTTTGCAAGAAACCAAAAAATGATTTATATCTCGTAAGTTGTTCTTTATGGCATCACCCTGCTAAAACAATTTGATTCAATAAGACATAACCATGTCTTCAGTTCATTCTATGATGCACATTTTGAAATTGAGTAGTTATTTTTGTGTAATTTTTGGTTTTGTTTGTTTTGAATTTTTCCAAAAAATTACTTATTCATTACATATGAAAATTAGAAAAATCTTAACTTGTTTTTCAAATAGGCCTCTTCTGATGGAAAACCCTGATATAGTAGTCGGGACCCCCGCACGTATTATGGCCCATATTCAGGCGAAAAACCTTGATGTCAAAGAGACATTAGAAATGGTTGTCATTGATGAAGCGGATCTGGTCTTCTCTTTTGGTTATGAACAAGACATTAAAATTCTATTAAAGTAAGTATTCTTTATTTGATTGCCAAGTGTAACATTTGTATGGAATAAAAATATTGAATGAAATAATTATACTTAATAGTCTTTCATCTATATATTGATAAAATATTGAATAAGCTTCTTTTTCAGAATAAGAGAAGAACAAGATTTACGTTTTGCACACTTCATAATACAAATATATGTGTCTTCAAAAATGTAATATTTTTGTCAAAAAGCAAGAAAATAAATTAGAATTAGAAATGAGTATTGCAGATTAAAGGTATTTATTCAAAATTATTGTCATGCTTAAAATAAATGTCTTCCAGCCATTTCCCACAAATCTATCAGGCGTTCTTGATGTCAGCAACATTAGGTGATGATGTCAAGGCATTAAAAAAGATGGTGCTGCACAATCCTGTCATTCTCAAACTGGAGGAATCTCAACTTCCAGAAACTGCCCAATTAACGCAATACCATATAAAGTAAGTACATCTGTACTCTTGCTTAACCCTAATTATCCCACCGAACAAAGTTTGAGAGGGATATAGGAAAGCTGTGCCACTGATCTTTGAAATGGCGTCTTCTTTTTATATATTTTTTTTATATATATATATATATATAATAAAATTTAAATAAAAACACAAGATGACTTCATTTCGTTGCAACTAGTTTCTTCAAATCTTCAGGCAACTGACAGATAATCGCAGGATGACGTAATTATAATTAGACTCCAGATTGAAAATCTGGAGTCTATTGTTTTTGCCTGTTTTCTTTATTAGACTCCAGATGAAAATCTGGAGTCTATTGCTTTCGTCAGTTTTCTTTATTATTATTCTTTCAGAATCTTCCTCCTTCCCAGATTTCTCACCAACTAAAAGAATTTACTTTAAGCTGCTTACATGATTAACTAGGGAATGTATCTGGGATGATGGGAAATTAGGTCAAATTTTTATCTAGGTCAAAGGTCAAGAACTAGGTCAAATCCAGTACTTTGTCACTTTTTCCCATTATCTCGGTCGTCCTTCAATATTTTTGATCCTGGTTTTTTTCATTGTGTTCCTCATAAAAAAGTAGAAAACCTAGGGTCGATTTAGTTTTTTGGTATCTCAAACCGATTTCGAGATATCAGTGTCCGAAAACGAGGTCCAAAAAAAATTTCACCGAATCCAATGTCCAGGATATCAGTCTTATAGAAAATTTTCTCAGGATTCCGAATCTGAAAACCAAATTTCGATCTGACTTCCGGTTCAGAAGTTATGGCGTTTTGAAAATTCAAAAATCGCTAAATTTGGTGCCCCATGTTAATTCAATGGGAAAAAATATTTTTTTGAAGTGTAAAATACGAGATATAGACTAAGCACAGCTAAACATAATGGAAGCCCATAAAAGAAAGGGACCACAAGACCTTCTTTTCATAAAAATTTGGACACCAAAATGCCTAGGTCAAAATCTAGGTCAAATTCAATGTTTTTCCTTATTTTTGCGATTCTGACACTACAGATTAATTATATTCTTCGAAAATTTGTATACATGTAGCCAAGAGTGTGCTAATAGTGTTAGCCTTTTGCCGTCAGAAAGTATTTTGACCCACTTTTGAGATATGGTGTCCGAAAAGTAGGTCAAACTAAAAAGTTCTCCAAATTTAACGTATAAGTTATGAATTAAGGGTAGAATTTTCTCAGGAATCCAAATCTGCAAACCAAATTTCAATCCGACTTTTGGTTTGGAATTTATGTCGTTTTGATAGCTCAAAAATCGCTAAATTTGGTGCCCCATGTTATGGCAATGGGAAAAAAGATTTTTTTGAAGTGTAAAATACAAGATATAGACTGAGTACAGCTTAATATAATGAAAGCCTATTAAAGAAGGGGACCTCGAAGGCTACTTTGCTCCAAAATTTGGACACCAAAATGCCTAGGTCAAAATCTAGGTCAAATTTATAGTTTTGCCTTATTTTTTCGATTCTGACACTATATTTAAATGATTTGCTTTAAAATTTTGTATACAGGTAGCAAAAAGTATGCTAATAGTGTTAGCTTTTTGCCGTCAGAAAGTATTTTGACCCACTTTTGAGATATGGTGTCCAAAAAGTAGGCCAAAGTAAAAAGTTTTCCAAATTTAACGTATGAGTTATGAATTAAGGGTAGAATTTTCTCAGAAATCTAGATCTGCAAACCAAATTTCGATCCGACTACTTGTTCTGAAGTTATGGTGTTTTGAGATCTCAAAAATCGCTAAATTTGGTGCCCCATGTTAAATCAATGGGACCGAATAATTTTTTGAAGTGTAAAAATACGAGATAAAGAATTAGTACAGCTAAACATAATGAAAGCCCTCAAAAGCTACTTTCCTTCAAAGTTTGGACACCAAAATACCTAGTTCAAAATCTAGGTCAAATTCATATTTTTTTTTATTTTGCGATTCTGACACTACACTTCAATGATATTCTCCGAAATTTTGTATACTTGTAGCAAAGAGTGTGCTAATAATGAAACATTTTGCCGTCAATAAGTTTTTTGACCCACTTTTGAGATATGGTGTCCGAAATGTAGGTCAAAATAAAAAATCTCCAATTTTAAAGTATGAGTTATGAATTAGGGGTAGAATTTCCTCAGGAATCCAGATCTGAAATTAAAATTGCAATCCGACCCCCGGTTTAGATTCTACGCCATTTTGAAGTTTGAAATTCGCACTTGTCAGTATTCACGATGCAGATTGATCAAATATACTTTCAAAAATTCCTGCATACCCTACTTTACCTCTCTACCTACTCAGCTACTTATTTGACTACTTACTCAATTACTTAATTAGTTATTACTTACTTAGCAACTTACTCAGCTACTAACTCAGGTACTTACTCAGCTACTTACTCAGCTACCTACTCAGCTTTTTACTCAGTTACTTACTCAGCTACTTACTCAACTTCTACTAAGGTACTTACTCAGCTAATTACTCAGTTACTTACTCAGCTCTTTACTGATCTATCTAGGTCAAATAAATCTGGAGTCTTAAATTGAACTTGTTCAATTTCACAAATCTAGTTATTTTTCTTCCTCCTCACCAAATTTCTCGTCAACTATAACAGCTTCATTAATCCAACTTACATGGTTAACTAAAGACTGAAACCGGCTTTCTGGGAAATTAGGTCAAATTTTTATCTAGGACAAAGGTCAAGAACTAGGTCAAATCTTACATTTTCAACATTCTTCATCATATCTTCGTCAATATTCTTCGTAACTCCTTCATCTTTTTTTCATCGTGTAGCTTAGAAAAAGGCGAATCAAAGATATGACATCAGAATTTTGATTCCTCTTACCGATTTTGAGATATGGCGTCCGAAATGTAGGTCATGCCTGAACATGCTCCAAATCGAATGTGTGAGCTATGAAAAAGATGTAGAATTTTCTCAGGAATCCAAATCTGCAAACCAAATTTGGATCAGACTTCCGGTTCGGAAGTTATGGTGTTTTGAAAACTCAAAAATCGCTAAATTTGGTGCCTATGTTAAGTCAATGGGAAAAAAGACTTTTTCGAAGTGTAAAATACAGGATATAGACTGAGTACAGCTTAACATAATGAATGCTTATAAAAGAAGGGGACCTCAAAAGCTACATAGCTTCAAAATTTGGACACCAAAATGCCTAGGTCAAAATCTAGGTCAAATTCATAGTTTTTCCTTATTTTTACGATTCTGACACTACACTTTAATAATTTACTTCAAAATTTTGTATACAGGTAGCAAAGAGTGTGCTAATAGTGTTAGCCTTTTGCCGTCAGAAAGTATTTTGACCCACTTTTGAGATATGGTGTCCGAAAAGTAGGTCAAAATAAAAAGTTCTCCAGATTCAACGTATGAGTTATGAATTAAGGGTAGAATTTTCTCAGGAATCTGAATCTGCAAACCAAATTTCAATCCGACTCCCGGTTCGGAAGTTATGGCGTGTCCAAAAAGTAGGTCAAAATAAAAAAATTCCAAATTTAACGTATGAGTTATGAAATGAAGTTATTACCAAATTTCGATCCGACTTCCGGTTCGAAAGTTATGGCGTTTTGAAAGCTCAAAAATCGCTAAATTTGGTGCCCCATGTTATGTCAATGAGAAAAAGGATTTTTTGAAGTGTAAAATACCAGATATAGACTGAGTACAGCTTAATATTCTGAAAGCCTATAAAAGGAGGGGACCTCGAAGGCTATCTAGCTTTAAAATTTGGACGCAAAAATGCCTTGGTCAAGATCTAGGTCAAATTCATAGTTAATCCTTATTTTTGCGATTCTGACATTACACTTTAAGGATTTGGTTCAAAATTTTGTATACAGGTAGCAAAGAGTGTGCTTATAGTGTTAGCCTTCTGCCGTCAGAAAGTTTTTTGACCCACTTTTGAGATATGGTGTCCGAAATGTAGGTCAAAATAAAAAATTCTCCAAATTTAACGTATGAGTTATGAATTAAGGGTAGGATTTTCTCAGAAATCAGAATCTTTAAACCAAATTTCAATCTAACTTCTGGTTAGATAGTTATAGCGGTTTGACGTCTCGAAAAGTCGATATGATGATATCCCCATGTTAAGCCAATAGAGTCGAAGATAGCCTTCTTAAAAGTTGTCTAAATGTCTATATTCTAGCTGACTCAGCTTATTCTGAATGACTCAGCTTACAAGTTCTGGATGACTCAGCTTAAAAAAAGTTTTAAATCTGGAGTCTTAAATTGAACTTGTTCAATTTACATGTCTAGTTATAATTAATGTCGTCATAAAATATATACCTGTGCAGGTATAATTATTATTTATGTATGACGTCATTAATTTTACATAAGAACCAATGTTTCATTTTGTTGACTGACAACGAGAGAGGGATTTTTTATTTAATTTAGGTTTAAATATATTAATAAAATGTTCCTCGTATTTCAGTCTAAGTGTTAAATCGTCCTTGTGTATTTGAAAAAATGGTAAGATTTTAAATTTTATATCCATTTTTTGAGCACAGTTAGCGATATGATCGCTCACAGGCAGCATTCTGACAGTTTCATCATTAATGTGCTGTCTGTGGACTCTGACACGGTTTCTAAGTGTATCTCCCGTTTGTCCAATATATATTTCATCACATCCTAGACATATCAACGCATACAGTACATTGCTAGAATCGCATGTCATGTGGTTTTTAGGAGCTATTATTTTCTCTTTATAAGAGAAATGTCCTTCTTGAAGTAGATGAATACAGCAGCCGCATCTCTTGTTTTTACAATTTTCAACCATGTTCTTATCATTGGTGGAAAATTGCGAGGATGTAACCAATGATTTTATGTTTTGTGGTTGTCGTCTGCTGTTTATCATATTTTTATTTATATATGTACATGTGTGTAAATTTCACTTAGGGATCTTGTATTGACTGAATTTTAAAATCAGGATTATTATTTCTATTTACATCTAGTCTCTTGCAATTTAAAACAGACTTTTAAGATGTACATTTCTAGCAATCTATTTTTTTTTAATAATGCATAATTTTTAATAATAATTTTTAATTTTTTAATAATAATAATAATAATGCAAAAAAAAAATTGCAATTTCTATATTACTTTATTGCTTGGTTTTATCTTTATGTCCATTGCTTTGAAGGAGTATTTGCTATTATACTTAGTTCCATCCATCCACTTTGGCCAACCACTACCCTATGTCATGCACAAATATGACCCTGGACATGTGGTACCATGAATATATGGGCCAAACCGATTAGATGCTAAACATCGCCCAAACCATCCCGGACCTTTGTACTCAATAGCACAGTTGCAATCACCACAACTATCATTGTCTCGGTCCTTAGTTGTGAAGGCCAGGTCAAGTCCATTTGAATTCGTCATTGTGCCTTTAGTTGCAGGCCATTTGTATGTGAGTCGGTATCCACTAGCTTCATCACCGATATTGACATTTTCATAATCAATATACCGAGTTTCTGGTTCCCAACTAGTGAATGATGTTCTCATGTCATATTCCCCCTGGGTAAGCACTGATCTTATATTTTCAAATCCAAGGAAATGTTCCCCTTCCAATGAGCCAAATCCATCTTTGAAATCTTGCCAGTTTTTGTTAAAGTCAACTGAACCATCTTTTCTTACTGTTATATAGAGCCAGCCATCTTCACATTTGGCTTCAAATTCCTGTCCACTCTCTGTTGTTATATTAGTCACTCCATCAGACAGTTCACTGCAGTCTTTTGACAATCCATCATGCTGTTTGGTTGTACTGGATGTTGGTCCTGTATGTGTTGATTCCACTTTGATATCTAGAGAAATAAGAACTCTTTGAACATTTAGATAATCCACTTTTGAAAAGTGTTATTCAATTGTAAAAGTCAAAATTCATCATTTGGTGCTCTCACCTAATGATAAATAAAATAGTTATACAGAACAATGTGGTCATGATTAGATTAACCTTTAAGGCTTATCAATTTTGAAAAGAAATCAGGTGTACCTTTAATAGAGTTAAGTATACTCGTCATTCCATCTTTAAGAGCAGTTATTTCCTTTTTGAGTTCATTTTGGATTGTGACCAAATCATTTTTAAATGTGGCCAAATCATTTTTCAATGCAGCAATGTCATGTTTAAGTGTCTGCTCCAAAGCATCAAAATTGGATTTTTGTTCTTCCATCATTTGGACGATATCAGCTCTTTTACATAGCATAATCTTGGACTTTTGACAGGTGTCAGAGGTCTCATTATACTCCAGGTATGAGCCAAATATAATTAGAAAAAGAAATCCCAAATGACGCATTTTTGTACTTTATCCTTGCTGTTGTTCTAATTTATTTTATGTTCTGTCACATATGAATTTATTATTCCATGAATCGCATTATTAGAATTGTACATATTTGCATGTAACCTCAGGGATTGTCTCATATCTCTAAATTTATTGTATATTTATTGTATTCTACATCTTTCATCCATATTAAAGCCCCTATTATATACTCTCAATTCTGCTTTATTGGGTATCATATCAGTACATTCTTGTCATTCACATTCATGAAAACTCAATTGGACTTGCTATGGAGTTGCTGTTTTTAATTTGCCTTTTACTGTGATTTCTAGCATTGGATTTTACGTCATTCCTTATCCATTAAACAATTATTACATTCAGCTCTTGTTGATGAGGAATTGTTCATATTAATGTAAATTAAATAAAAATGTTGGTGATCATAACAATATGTCACAACATATGGTGGAGACAATAAGACTTGTGATGGTGACATAACAACGATATACCACCATTATCAATGTTAAAATTAAAATGGCGCACCTCCCATCTATGATCAATGTCACTTCTTCAATATGCAGTTGCCCGGAAAGTGAGGGGTCGTGGGTTCGATCCCTACTGGGGTTGACTGACTTTTTCACATCAGCCCTTAGCAAAGGATTTCATCCTGTGTTTTCATTAACTTCTTCAACATGCAGTTTCCAAATGGTGTTCTGCAGTTCTATTGCTGTGTTACCTGACCTGAATCAGCGTCATGGTAGTGAAACTGGTAACTACCTACTGGGATCTGGGTAAATCTTATACTCATACCATATTTCTGTTTCATCAGGTACATGGCTGAGAAGAAAATGAGATATGATATCACATATCATCATTTAATATGATGATCCACATCGATATTCAAAAATCCTTGAAATGACTTAACCCTTATTGTTTGCTACAACTTCAACAAATTGATTGATTGAGCTACAATAAATCGGGTGTCCAAAAAGGTGAGACACTTTTTGACAAGTAATTTCTCAATTGATGAACCCCTTAATTCACTGAAAATTTGTGAAAAGAAGGCTGGGAATATTGTAAGCAAAAACAAAAATATAAAAAAGATCAAGTAGATTCGTATATTATCTGAGTACTAAGAAATTCACTATAGCATTTCAAAAGATCCCATATCGGAGCAATGCAATTAGAACTTCATAGTGTTTGTACCAAAAAATGGGAAGCAATTTCGCAAGTAATTATTCAGCTATAGATAAGCCAAATTCTTTGAAAATTTTCTCGAGATACTTTGGGTAAAACATTGATCAAAACATCATAACAATGTGTTTTATTTGAAAACTAGCCAGTGGGAATTCAGACAAACGAAGGTGGTAAGCATTTCCTCTTCCCGGGACCATTGAGGTCTTTCCCAGGGGTCTTTCTGACCAGATTAGAAGGCAGGGCAGCCTTGGTTGACATTCAATAGCGTCAGCGGGACGATACCATTTGAAAGGAGTGGTATCGATATGGAGAAATTTTTGAACACACATTTCTCTTAAACCAGTCATAAAAAAATCTAAAAATTTAACACTCGTCAATTTAATGGTCATCTTTTGAATGGTAATAATGAGTGAAAGTGAAATGAAACATCTTTCCGAACCTCATTGGAACAAAACAACATAAAAACAACATGTTTAGGTCTCTCAATATTGTAATTGTACTAAGGAGATTTTGGGCGATTTTGTTTTAATTTTTTGAATACTTTTTTAGAATCAACCAAAAATTCCTTTGTATAACTATATAATATTGAAAGGTCTAAAAACATGTTGAATATGCTATTTTGTTCCAACAAGGTTCGGAAAGACATTTTATGTCATTCTCAAGAATTGGTAGAAAGGAGCAAAAACAATTGCACTAAAAAAACAAAAAATGTTATATAAAATATTTCTAAATATTTTTCGCATTAAATTGTCGTTTATCAGTCAACATTACATAAAATACCATGTTTTTTTACAGAATGTTTTAAATGATTGGATTAAGAGAAAAACATTGTTGAATTCAGTTCTCCATATCGATACCACTCCTTTGTTTGAAGTATGCTTTTTATGTCATATGAAAAAAAATATTTTGGCTAATAATTTTTCACATTGGCTAATAATTTTAGCCTATCTAGACCCCCTGGCTAATTTAGTAACTCTATTTGAATTGAAAACAGAGTCTGGTTGTAACTAATACCTACTTCATCATTATCCCCAGAACAAAGCTTCTATTAGAGATATAGAGAAGTTGTTCATCCATCTATCTATCTGTTTCTACATTCATTTGTCCAGCCGTACAACTGTCCTCAAATATCGGTTGATGGTTTTGGTACAAATTATATAAGCTGATACTTTATGGGTCAAGAACGTGTGCTTGAGAAGAAATTTCCAAGCTATTTTCTGAATTCAAAATGTTAAGATACAGTAGTGATGTATCTGTTACCAAGCTAAAGACACAAGTTAAAAACTAATCTATCATTAATGTGTTTCTTTAAAAGCATGAAGTAATTGGGGCATTTTCAATGTGAATTGCAGTTTCAAACAAACTACATTTACATCAATCTATATTTAATCTTGATCAATGCATAGTGATGTTACATATTCGTGATATTGCAATTTCTATTTTACTTTATTGCTTGGTTTTATCTTTATGTCCATTGCTTTGAAGGAGTATTTGCTATTATATTTACTTCCATCCATCCACTTTGGCCAACCACTACCCCATGTCATGCACAAATATGACCCTGGACATGTGGTACCATGAATATATGGGCCAAACTGATTAGATGCCAAACAACCGCCAAACCATCCCGGGCTTTTGTACATCACTGCACAGTTATCATAACGATATGCATCATTATCTCGATCCTTAGTTGTGAAGGCCAAGTTAAATCCATTTGGTGGATTCGTCATCGTACCTTTAGTTGCAGGCCATTTGTATGTGAGTCGGTATCCACTAGCTTCATCACTGATACTTACATTTTCATAATCGATATACCGAGTTTCTGGTTCCCAACTTGTGAATGATGTCCTCATGTCATATTCCCCCTGGGTAAGCACTGATCTTATATTTTCAAATCCAAGGAAATGTTCCCCTTCCAATGAGCCAAATCCATCTTTGAAATCTTGCCAGTTTTTGTGAAAGTCCACTGAACCATCTTTTCTAATTGTTATATAGAGCCAGCCATCTTCACATTTGGCTTCAAATTCCCGTCCACTCTCTGTTGTTATATTAGTCACTCCATCAGACAGTTCACTGCAGTCTTTTGACAGACCATCATGCTGTTCAGTTGTGCTGGCCTTTGGTTCTGTATGTGTTGATTCAACTTTGATATCTAGAGAAATTAGAAAACATTGAACATTTAGATAATCCACTTTTTGAAAAGTGTTATTCAATTGTAAAAGTCAAAATTCATCATTTGGTGCTCTCACCTGCGTAATGATAAAATAGTTGTATAGAACAATGTGGTCATGATTAGATTTTTCATCTTTTCAAAGCTGAACTGAGCGACTTATTATTGCATGTAAGACACAACCTTTATGGCTCATCAATTTTGAAAAAATCAGGTGTACCTTTAATAGACTTAAGTATACTTGTCATTCCATCTTTAAGAGCAGTTATATCCTTTTTGAGTTCTTTTTGGATAGTGACCGAATCATTTTTAAATGTGGCCAAATCATTTTTCAATGCAGCAATGTCATGTTTAAGTGTCTGCTCCAAAGCATCAAAATTCGATTTTTGTTCTTCCATCATTTGAACGATATCAGCTCTCTTACATAGCATAATCTTGGACTTTTGACAGGTGTCAGAAGTCTCATTATACTCCAGGTATGAGCCAAATATTATTAGAAAAAGAAATTCAAAATGACGCATTTTTATACTTTATCCTTATGATAGATTAAGTTGTGGCTGTTGTTCTAATTCATTTGATGTACTGTCTCATGTGAATTTATTATTCCATGAATCGCATTATTAGAATTGTACATATTTGCATGTAACCTCAGGGATTGTCTCATATCTCTAAATATATTGTATATTTATTGTATTCTACATCTTTCATCCATATTAAAGCCCCTATTATATACTCTCAATTCTGCTTTATTGGGTATCATATCAGTACATTCTTGTCATTCACATTCATGAAAACTCGATTGGACTTGCTATGGAGTTGCTGTTTTTAATTTGCCTTTTACTGTGATTTCTAGCATTGGATTTTACGTCATTCCTTATCCATTAATCAATTATTACATTCAGCTCTTGTTGATGAGGAATTGTTCATATTAATGTTAATTAAATAAAAATGTTGGTGATCATAACAATATGTCACAACATATGGAGGAGACAATAAGACTTGTGATGGTGACATAACAACGATATACCACCATTATCAATGTTAAAATTAAAATGGCGCACCTCCCATCTATGATCAATGTCACTTCTTCAATATGCAGTTGCCCGGAAAGTGAGCGGTCGTGGGTTCGATCCCTACTGGGGTGGACTGACTTTTTCACATCAGCCCTTAGCAAAGGATTTCATCCTGTGTTTTCATTAACTTCTTCAACATGCAGTTTCCAAATGGTGTTCTGCAGTTCTATTGCTGTGTTACCTGACCTGAATCAGCGTCATGGTAGTGAAACTGGTAACTACCTACTGGGATCTGGGTAAATCTTATACTCATACCATATTTCTGTTTCATCAGGTACATGGCTGAGAAGAAAATGAAATATGATATCACATATCATCATTTAATATGATGATCCACATCGATATTCAAAAATCCTTGAAATGACTTAACCCTTATTGTTTGCTACAACTTCAACAAATTGATTGATTGAGCTACAATAAATCGGGTGTCCAAAAAGGTGAGACACTTTTTGACAAGTAATTTCTCAGCAATTGATGAACCAAATTCACTGAAAATTTGTGAAAAGAAGCCTGGGAATATTGTAAGCAAAAACAAAAATATAAAAAAGATCAAGTAGATTCGTATATTATCTGAGTACTAAGAAATTCACTATAGCATTTCAAAAGATCCCATACCGGAGCAATGCAATTAGAACTTCATAGTGTTTGTACCAAAAAATGGGAAGCAATTTCACAAGTAATTATTCAGCTATAGATAAGCCAAATTCTTCGAAAATTTTCTCGAGATACTTTGGGTAAAACATTGATTAAAACATCATAACAATGTGTTTTATTTGAAAACTAGCCAATGGGAATTGAGACAAAGGAAGGTGGTAAGCATTTCCGCTTGCCGGAACCATTGAGGTCTTTCCAAGGGTTCTTTCTGACCAGATTAGAAGGCGGGGGAGTCTTGGTTGAAATTCAATAGCATTAGCCGGAATATGACATGTGAAATTTGTTTGAAGTATGCTTTTTATGTCATTTGATAAAAAATATTTTGGCTAATAATTTTTCACATTGGCTAATAATTTTAGCCTATCTAGACCCTTTGCTTATTTAGTAACCCTATTTGAATTGAAAACAAAGTCTGGTTGTATCTAAAACCTACTTCATCATTATCCCCCTAACAAAGTTTTTATTAGAGATATAGAGAAGTTGTTCATCCATCTATCTATTTGTTTCTACATTCATTTGTCCATCTGCACAACTGTCCTGGCGATAACTCAAATACCGGTTGATGGTTTTGGTACAACTTATATAAGCTGATACTTTATGGGCCAAGAACGTGTGCTTGAGAAGAAATTTCCAAGCTATTTTCTGAATTCAAAATGTTAAGATACAGTAGTGATGTACCTGTTACCAAGGTAAAGACACAAGTTAAGAACTAATCTATCATCAATATGTTCCTTTAAAAGCATGAAGTAATTGGGGCTTTGTCAATTTTGACTACATTATACGAATGTGAATTGCAGTTTCAAACAAACTACATTTACATCAATCTATTTTTATTCTTGATCAATGCGGAGTAATGTTACATATTGCAATTTCTATATTACTTTATTGCTTGGTTTTATCTTCATGTCCATTGCTTTGAAGGAGTATTTGCTATTATATTTAGTTCCATCCATCCACTTTGGCCAACCACTACCCCATGTCATGCACAAATATGACCCTGGACATGTGGTACCATGAATATATGGGCCAAACCGATTAGATGCTAAACATCGCCCAAACCATCCCGGACCTTTGTACTCAATAGCACAGTTGCAATCACCACAACTATCATTGTCTCGGTCCTTAGTTGTGAAGGCCAGGTCAAGTCCATTTGAATTCGTCATCGTGCCTTTAGTTGCAGGCCATTTGTATGTGAGTCGGTATCCACTAGCTTCATCACCGATATTGACATTTTCATAATCAATATACCGAGTTTCTGGTTCCCAACTAGTGAATGATGTTCTCATGTCATATTCCCCCTGGGTAAGCACTGATCTTATATTTTCAAATCCAAGGAAATGTTCCCCTTCCAATGAGCCAAATCCATCTTTGAAATCTTGCCAGTTTTTGTTAAAGTCAACTGAACCATCTTTTCTTACTGTTATATAGAGCCAGCCATCTTCACATTTGGCTTCAAATTCCTGTCCACTCTCTGTTGTTATATTAGTCACTCCATCAGACAGTTCACTGCAGTCTTTTGACAATCCATCATGCTGTTTGGTTGTACTGGATGTTGGTCCTGTATGTGTTGATTCCACTTTGATATCTAGAGAAATAAGAACTCTTTGAACATTTAGATAATCCACTTTTGAAAAGTGTCATTCAATTGTAAAAGTCAAAATTCATCATTTGGTGCTCTCACCTAATGATAAATAAAATAGTTATACAGAACAATGTGGTCATGATTAGATTAACCTTTAAGGCTTATCAATTTTGAAAAGAAATCAGGTGTACCTTTAATAGAGTTAAGTATACTTGTCATTCCATCTTTAAGAGCAGTTATATCCTTTTTGAGTTCTTTTTGGATAGTGACCGAATCAATTTTAAATGTGGCCAAATCATTTTTCAATGCAGCAATGTCTTCTTCAAGTGTCTGCTCCAAAGCATCAAAATTGGATTTTTGTTCTTCCATCATTTGAACGATATCAGCTCTTTTACATAGCATAATCTTGGACTTTTGACAGGTGTCAGAGGTCTCATTATACTCCAGGTATGAGCCAAATATAATTAGAAAAAGAAATCCCAAATGACGCATTTTTATACCTTATCCTTATGATGGATTTAATTCCGGGTGTTGATCTAATTTATTTGATTCACTGAGATGCTTTATTATTCCATGAATATAATCATGAGGATCGTACATATTTGTAACCTCAGGGTTTCATATTTTTCAATATATTGAATACAGTAAAACCTGTTTAAGTAGAACACCTTTGATACCTCTAAAAAGTGTTCAACTTTTGGAGGTGTTCTACTTATAGAGGTTTGTTTAACATTAAGTTAGATAGGTCTTAGATAAGTGTTCAACTAACAGAAGTGTTCTACTTCTAGAGGTGTTCAACTTTACAGGTTTCACTGTATTTATTGTATTCTATATCCTTCAGCTGAAAACATCATAATAATGATAGAATATCACAAATGGAGGTGGTTCTCTTAGGAATAACTGTACATATAATTATGCTTTATTTGGTCTCATATCAGGTCATTCTTATCTTTCACATTCATGAAAACTCGATTAGACTTGCTATGGAGTTGCTGTTTTTAATTTGCTTTTTGCTGTGACTTCTAGCATTGGATTTTACGTAATTCCTTATTCATTAATCAGTTATAACATTCAGCTCATATTGATGATGATTTGTTCATATTAATGTAAAACCAAGTTGGTTCCCTTTAACGACTGTATGAACAGAAGTGCATGGTTTTGTATATAAACATTGTGGTTGTTATTAGTAATGCAAAATAGAGTAAATGAAATTATTCACATGAATATAACAATGATGTATTGCATCGGCAATGGACATTTGCATTGTTGTAAGCTATTCTCTTTTATCGTGTTTGTTCAGCACATGCATATTAAATTCTACGAATCGCCTCTCATGATCCTATGGAATCACCTACTCTTTAATATTTCTTCTATTTGTGTATCCATCTACAATTTTTTAGACTAAGGAAAACTGCCATTCAACTCACTGAACTATGCTGTAGAATATCATCTGTAGACTAAATGTCAGGCAAAAAATAAAGTGTAGTGTCTGGTACTGTATGGCCTTGAGAAACTTAAAAACTTTGATTTTACCTAGATTTTGACCTTGACTGTGATGAGATTGCACACTGCTCCATTATTCAAAAGGGAACACTTATTATCCCATCGAATGAAGTTCGGAGGAATATAGGGAATTCCTCCGCTGTAACTTGAAAAGTGGTAGAGCGATTTTGTTCATATTTGATATTTGAATACTGTACCCATAAGCATGGCACAATGTTTTATGACACTTTGGCAAGAAGGCAGCCATTTTGAAAATGGCCGCCATTTTTACGTTTTTATTTTATGCTCTGTACCATAACTCAAAAACTAAGAGCAGTTGTATTTATAATTGATATAAGATAAGATACTCTAAGATAATCATATAAAAAATGCTGAGATGTATGAGCTTCATACTCGCATACTATACAATTATTGTCATTATCATCATTGGAATTAGCACACAGGAATGATGTACCCAAAGAATTCAAATGATGCCATTTTTTATTATTCTTGGATTGGATTAACATTTGCTCTGTATTAAAAAACAAAGTATGACAATATATATGCTTTTAACAATCATTTATTTCATGTAAACTGTTTGTCACGGTACACATAAATATTGCTTTATCAGATATATTCTGATTCTATTTTTTGGCCATCTTTGCTTTAGTCACCACTGGAGCCACCACTTTGCTGGCATTTTTCCATTAAATCTGCAAAGAAAATTCATATGAATTTTAAATATATGTGACAATCTTTCAAGATACAATTATGAGATATGATAATATATAAAGTTCATGTACTAGCTACAGGCCCGCAGCCAGGATTTACCTGGGGGAGCGGTTTTACCAAGGGGGAAGCTTTTGCCAAGGGGGGAGGAATTTTGACAGTTCCCCCTGGCTAAGGGCCTGAGCTACTCATATATTCAACTCTGTTTTGTTGGTAGTAACATTTTTATGATGCACTTGTTCTGTACTTTTGTTCATATCATATATGTTGGGATCAGCTGTGGATATTGAAGAACTTTTACCACGTTATAAAATGGTGATAATTTTGCCATTTTTCCACAAAACTCAACAAGAGAAGAGTTAATTTTAACACCATGTACAGGGTGGGCCAAAATTTTTTTTTTCAAAATGCTATAACTTTTTTAATTTTTGATATTAAATCATAATTTGCATACCAAATGAAACTCCCAGTGAGTATAGGGTATGGGAAGGTCTCCAGGAAATTGTATGAAGGCACACAATCTAGAAAATTGCTAAACTAAAGCTGGCAATTAAGACAGGTTGAAAAAAACTTAACTAACATTTCATTGATACTGCAATATCAGCAAGGCGACTAAAGCTAAAATTTATCATCAATTAGGGTGGCGGACCAATTGAACTCCCCTTTTAGATCAAATATAATCCAAGTTGAAGGACTTGTTACATTATATTATTACTAAGAACCCTTGGCACTATATAACTGCAAAATTTGGGGTGTGTAGGTTGGAAAATAAAAAAGTTGTAGTGTCTAGAAAAAAAAGTGGCATTTTTTTTGGCCCACCCTGTAGATATACAGGAACAGATTCTGCCAAAATACTATTTTGAACTACTCACCAATTGGTGCAAAGTCTCCTTTGTGGCAGTACACCTGATTGAATATCGCCACTCCCATTCCAATGTGTGGAAGGCTCTCTTTGTTACACTCTCTGTCTTTTGCCTCCTTCAGTACTCTGCAACCAATATCTACAGAAAAAAAATTATCCTAAAGGTCCATCCTAATACCCCAGTCACATTTGTCGTACGGCTGTCGTCCGTCGACCCAAATCAATTAAATCATGTGAAATTCTGTGGCGAGCGTAGGAGAACTATCATATCCAGTTTTTTACAGGTCACAGAAATGTGACTGTGGTGTTAATGTTCATTTGACATACATGTAGATTAGATTAAATGAAGTCTTTCTTTATATAAATGAAGAACATAGTCATATACCAATTACGGTCTGTGGATTCTCACAGATTTTCTCGGGTGCATCGTCAAATTCACTAGGTCTGTAGTCAAAATCCCCAGTTCCTTCACATTCCATTCCAAACCACACCTTTTCTGAGAGGACCTACATAATTATTAAGTTTCATTTAGGTAAGTAAAGTTATGTGAATTGACCTAAAATTTGTATATTATACCATTGTTATACAAAAAATGAACTGCGAATAATGTAATGTTTCTAACTTTGATATATTTGTTGTATACATGTATATTTGTATTTTTATTTGTACTTTAATTAAGAGACTGGTCAAAAAAGGACTAAAGTATACTTTGGTTTATTTCTTTACTTACATGGTCACAAATACCTGATACATGTTCATCATAGAAAACTATAATTTCCTCAGTATCACACTCATGGCGGATAGATTCATTCCTCAGCACCTCACGACCATAATCTATTCAGATAAAATGAAAAGATTATTCATGTTTTTAGCTCACAATTATGGTGAGCTTTTGCAATCACTCTCTTATTAAAGTGTGCATTAAATCTTGCAGCATTTAGCACCAAGTTTATATTAGTGGATTTACAACAGTTGATCATCATATGATTGTATAAGCTATATTTATTTCTAAGTTGTTTATGGTAGTATGGTTTAGTAACAATCGCCTGGTAATATTACTGGTGTAAAATAATTACAGTACTGGGTATGTATTCACTGACAAATATACTGCACACACAATAAGGTTAATCAACATTCATGTCAGTGTTGCAGGATAATTTTGATATGTAATGGTAAAAGGAGACATTGTGTTTTGCTTGCAGTTTTGTTACCATGTTGTCATGTTGCTATGGTAACCAGACACCTATGTTACTGGTCAAATTTATTGCTTATTTTTACACAAAATGAAACTGTTATATATGGGGTGGTTGTGGCCAAATATGAATAATATTCATAAAGTATTCAGAACATTTGGATCAACCCTCGTATGTCGTATTCTACCTTGAAAAAATAAACCATAATTGTACCTGCATATGGACAGATGTCAGCCCATTTCACGTTATATGCTCCATCCTCCAGATGTTTGTAGAAAACATCATCAATATCCTTCGAACAATTCAGGTATTCCTTGAACTGGGCTTTAGTAATTCTATACTAAAATGATAAATAAAAGAATTCAAAAATTTGTTCAAAAATTCTTCAATCTCAGCTTTTTTGATAAAATTTGGACTGAGTCTTCTTGGATCTGACAATACAAATTCAATTTTGAACATAAATAAAGATAGATACAGTATATATAATACTCACTGGTTGTTCCTCTCGCTTGAAGATTTTCTTCTCCAGATTTGCCTCTGCTGCGAGGACAACTATGGCCAGTAGACAAACGATTAACACAGACTTCATGGTGATTGGTGGGGATGAAACTGAAATGCAATGTAGAATTCAGTCCATTTGTAGTTATCAGTAGACAGCAGTGTTTTACCTGGGACCTTATGGATGCCAAATTCTAATTATCTAAATTACCTGATTCTGTTACATTTTCCATGAATTTTTTCTCACAAGTATGTATCCATGTATTTATGTATACCTCTTCCAAAGTTTGATGAAAAAAATATTGTACACTGTAAATGAAATCTTTAAGTATGTTATGCTATTTAAATGACAATATTACAGAAAAAATAAATTATATAATTACACACATACGAGAAGTACAAGAGAAATTAATCAAATTAAAATTAATTACTTCATACGCTTTTTAAAAGTTGTTAATATAGTATAGAGGCAACTTTCGATATATTTAAATTGAGAAAATAAGATCCTCTTTTTTTTGAAATTAAGCCTGACATTTTTAGAAAATGACATGGTAGGGTCTTAATCCATTATTTTCAGAGAGTTTAATTTTATTGAAAACCACTATTTATAGCCAAAAAGTACTCATGGTCCAAATTTACTTGCCATACTAACCTGATCTTTTTTAATTATTAAACTCCTCTGTATATAAAACTTCTTAATAATACAATAATAAATTTTCTTATTAAAAAAGTTTAATTCAGAAAAAATTTAATACTGACTTACCTTTGTACTCGTACAAAATTGTGAAGAAACATCAAAAAACCATCGCTTTATATACTAAAATGACCAAAGCTAAATCAACAACATTTTAATATTTAATTTCATTTATTGGTCTATATTTATCCATGGACATGTATTTCCGAAATTACTTAACAACTAAGTGCCGCTTATGTTCATTTTGTGTTCAGCTTTTAGTATATTTAGGCTCATATTTAAATTATGTAGATAAAGTGTGAAACGTTTAAAATTGTAGGTGGGTGTTGATTTTGAATATAACAAATTTATATTGTTTCGCATATCCTATTCCCTTATGCAATATATGCTAAATTAATATTATATTTTAAAGGTAGCAATGTGTTTTAACAAAGCACCAGTGGATCTAGACGGGGGCGTGGGGGGCGCATGCCCCCCCCTAAAAAGTCGGAAAATTCATCTTTTTCCTTTATCGCTTTTTACAAAATTTGACTCTTCGGTCACAGTTATTATCACACGCCCCCCCCTAACACAAAATCTTGGATCCGCCCATGCAAAGTGACAAGCTATTCCCATTTCCAGTCTCAGAAACTGTACAAATGACATCATAATCGATATGTTGCATGATTTGCTGGACTGGCCTAGTGAATAACGGCAGTGTAGAAATCAAGTATTATACCACCCAAAGAAAGGGCATCTTTGTATAATTCTGTAAAGAAAACCAAACATATTAATGCTATTGAAAAGTAAAAAATGCTCTTGATTTGCTGGACTTACTTAAAAGGTTGAGGATGCTGAAGAAACATAATTTTTGAGATGGATTTCAAAAATCTAATAATAGGATGTGACTTTGTTATGGCAATATGTAATCAGGAGTCCTGAATAACTAAATATTAGCTTTAATGAGAAGCCAGCTTTATTTATTTATTAAATGTGCAACAATTAGTGCAGGGCTTTGCGCCCCCCCCCCCCCTTCAACTATATCTACAAAAGTAGAGATATTGAGAAGTAGAGGTGCTATGACATATTGTTATGGTTTCCAACCGTTTTGTGGACAGTGTTTTATGGTTGGTTTTTGGTGTATGACAGTTGGGGTCTGTAACAAATTGCTGGTGGTGAACATATTGCATGTTAATGCCTTGTTTGTCTTTGTTTCGCTGATTTTTTGGTTTTATTATTTTCTAGATGTGAAGAGGAAGACAAATTTGTGTTGATCTACACATTGTTGAAACTGAGGCTGGTTAGGGGTAAAACCTTGCTGTTTGTCAACACAATCGACAGGTGCTACAGGTATGTCAACATTTGCCTTTTAAGGGACGATGTCAGTATTTTAGAGTTGTGCCAAAATACAATTATTTGCATTGTAGACTGTCCACCCTCCCTTTCCATGTAATTGAGCATAAGATGATTTTTTATGAATTAAATTATGATTCCCTTTGCCAATTACAGTAAAACCTAATGTCTAGTGAACACCAGAATATACTCCACGGACTTATGTATAGAAATTTCAGATCGGGTATTATATCGAGTAATAAATACCATAGGACTAGGCACTAAAGCTTTCAAACCACTCACTCTCTTCGGTCTTTCAGGGTACAGAAAACGTTTGTGCCGAGCCCTGTGGTATATATTCATTGATATAATACCTGCTCTTCGGTCTATACTGTATATCTTAAATAACAACATCTTATTACGATGTCATCATTGTTCTAAGAGAACATATAATACATAACATCACTTGATCACTTAAATCACATATGCATTTGGGTTCTATTTAAAATGCTGTCTCACTTTACTTATCATTAAATAAGAATAGAATTGAATATGAAACGTTTGACATCACCTGATGCGAAAATGTATTTCATGGCATTGACAAAACATCATTATAAGCCTTGCCCCCTTAAACATACATTTGGAAGTTATTTTTTGACATAAAGGTGAGTTTAAAGATTAAACAATGTTTGTATATTTCTTTAGAATGACTGTGATCGATAACTAGATTGTTTTCTACAGGTACTAAGTACTTATTGAATCGTTTACCTGAGAATCATTTTACAATATGACCTGTTTAATCCAAATGCTACTGGGACTGGCAAAAAGTATTCAGAATAGGAGTTTTTCAAATTTCAAGTTTTAACATGGAAGTCAATGGGAGAATACAAAATTGTGATAGGTTAAAGGTGTTAAAATTGAGAGGTGTTCAGATTACAGATTTTATTGTAGTAATTGTACTATTGATAGCATAATAGAGAGACCTATGCACAGTGAAGCAACTTGAACAATGAATGCATCTTTAAGTTCAACACCTTTGTAATCAAAGGGTTTGATTTATTCCTGGAATTGTCCCTCCTATATCTCTAATTTTCTTAAAAAAGTCAAAATAAGTACAGTACTTGAACACTGCTTGGCTTCAAAGGAAAGTTTTTTCATTCCATTACAAAAAATGTTGTTATTAGTTTTCCTCAAGACTATTTGCTGATTAAGTTTTTTTTCCCTTTCTCATCATTATGTCACCACAAAAGGGGGGGGGGTATTGTATAGCCAACATTATTATGATGGGTGTTCAGCAATTGTTGCGCCATGTGGTGACATTTTTTGTTAACCCATTGTGTTCCATTTTATTTTATTCAACATAATACTATATAAACTTCTTGATTCTCTTATACTTCATAAGCAGAATAATCAGTGTTACTTCATGAGGATAGTCTTTAATCTGTTGATACAACAAAAGCAACATAGGATAGCATCATCCCTAATGCTAGCAGTGAAGTCGATCCATATGAAACTGTTCCTACATTTGATGGTTTTGTGGGTGTTGCGGTGGCTGATGGGATAGATGGGGTGCCAGTGCCCAAATCACGGTTTCTATAGTTACACAGATTGCCTTGGTTACAAATCCAGTAACATGTCTGGAAAAGTCGGTCTTCATCTCCGGAACATTGCTCTTTGTATGGGGCATCATTACATCCCCTGCCAAATGTCCTTAAAGTGCCATCACCTGAAGTTACGATAGAAAAACTAGGATAAGAAAATGAGTGTCATTTTCATCATTTGTATACTGGTATTTACATATGATTTCATGCCATCATTTTCAAATCAATTTCGTTAAAAATATCAAAATCAGATTTCCTCTTACCTTTTTGGAACTGTCTGTAACTATAGCAACTTGTTGTTTCATTTTTACAATTTGCAATGTTTGCTGTGGTTACATTAGCTGGATCTATTACACAAGCTTTATCCTGTCCTATAGCGTATGTACAACTGTAACATTGCAGACCCTCTGAAACATTATACATGCATTTCACTCATTTTCTGTCTGTGAATTGTAAATATATTTTAAGTATGATCATTATTGAAACTGATAATACTTTTCTAAATACAGTTGCTTGCTTCAATGATATCTGACTACAAGCAATTTTGGACATTCTCCTTTTGGTATTGCGTTTTCTCCATTTCTCCGCCTCTATAAGGAAAGTCTTTTTGGTCCCAAATTTTCTCTTTTTCAATTAATTTTTTTCAGTAATTGAAAATATCTCAAGACAAATATTGATGAAATGTTTTTATTATTGAATTGTATTAAGTCTTACCTGTAGCACCAATAACAATGTATCCCAGGATGAAAAATAACAGCATATTGTTTGACATGCTTGTGGTTCAGAAAGCTGATATCACAAGTCTTTTATCACAAGATAATTCACTTAATCAAAGTGTTTTTTGGTTTTCTCTTTAATTAGTCACTAGTCACAAGTATTTACAAGCCACCTAATGTCATTTGAAGAATTCAACAATGGTCTTGATATTTATTTGCCCATCATTTCAAGAGAAAATAATAAATTAAATTACATGGCTGGAGATTTCAACATTGATCTCTATAATTTTTTTGTTTCTTTAACACATTGGCTGTAAACAATCTTTTACCTGTGATTTAGAATAACTTCAACATCTGCTACTTCAGTTGAAAATATTTTCACTAACAACCCCAATGAATCTTATGATAAATTTGTCAGGTCAGTTAAATCTGTTAAAACACAATAAAATTGTCTCAAAAACCGTATTACAATAATTTTGAACATATTCGGGGCAATATAAAGGCAAATTGATAAATAATTAATTCAATACTCCCTAAAAGGAAAAATAAAAATAACAACATTTCAGATTCTTTCATTCAAAATAATATTAAAATAACTGATAAACAGGAAATAGCTATCCAATTTAATATTTTTTTCGTAAGTAACAGAGATGACATACACTTTTTCGCAAATTAATTGGAAACTTTGGTGAATATTAGTGTTGAAGGAGAGATACCAAAATTTAAATTTCCATCTTAGTGCAGTAGACTGATGAACTCTTTTCTGCAAACTGAGACTTTTATTGAATTAGTCTACTGCATGGTACTCCTGATTCAGACAATTTTGATATTTTTACATATTGTAGATTTAAATGTCCTCTTTTGAATATTCATAATATAATTGGGGTGTTATTTCTTTATTTTTCATAAAAAGATTATTAGCCCAGTAGACTGTTCTCTAAAGTGAGACCTGTCCTCTCAAATGAAGAAGTTTTGTGTCTATAAAAATACTATAATTTTGATAACATATTCTTTTTCAATCAAATCCTATTTCAGTAATCAGAAATTCTCAAATCATAAGATGAATGTTTTTTTATTATTATTATACAATCAACGGTTTGTACAAAAAGTGTCACCCACATTATGTTACATAAATTTTTTATGTATAATTTCTGTCTTATTCTTTAGTTTTAATATGCCAAAGATAAAGATAGAAATCTCAAAAATTATGCAACATAATAAGAGTGGCACTTTTTAGTCTCACCCTGTAGGTATTTAGTCTTACCTGTAGCATGAAAGAAAATAAATCCTAGGACAAAAAACAACAGCATCTTGCGGTTCAAAAAACTCTTTGTAATATGTTTATGAATTTGGTTATACTTACTTTTATCATAACGTTATCACTGACATTAAAGTGTCTTGTTGAATTTTGATGATGGTTTTCTGTTTATTTATTTAATTCTAGAGAAATCGTCATTTACATCTATTAATTAAAGTGATAACTCAAAAGCTGTCAAATCTCTTAATATTTTATCGTGAAATTGACCAATGAAAAAATGATGTTGAAATACTGACCTTGTGATTTTGAAATATTTTGTTTTCTGTTTATTTTATTCTACTTCAGTATGAACTTTAAAATGTAATTTTTACAGCATTCAATTCTACTTATTTGACATTTGGAGGCTACTTGAAAAGATAGTAAAGGATGGATACTGTTTAAAATGTTGTTATTTTTAAGGTTATTTGGTTATATTTTGTATACTATTATTTATTTTCGTGTGACGAGGTGTGGCAAAAATGAATGTTTTTTTTGCAATAGCATCATAGCCAAACAGTCTAGAATTGTGATCTAAATTGTCTTGTATATCTAAATGTTACATTGATCCGAATAGATGAAACTTTTATTAATAGCAATTAACAAATACATGTATGTATTCGTCAGACTACATCTATATGTCATTTCTATCTATATACATATATACATACTACTACTTTGCCATGTTAAGGCCATTCGCCGTTACATAACATAGTGCAGAATGTACTGGATGACCCCAACCTTTATTGTTCAAATTCTTAGACATTTTAAAAACTTCTAGAATCTAGATTAGTAGAGAATAAATAAGAAGAAATGTTAAGTTGCTGTTTTTTAGTTTCATCAAGAAATGTTTAATATATTGGAACCTGCCAAATTAGTTATGTGGTCCTTTATAAAATCCTGGTTCAAAGACATGTACATGTTTATTCAGTCTTTATGTTACATATCCAATGATCCCCCACATTTAGAGCAACCAGGTGCTCCAACCTGCTGAAAATTCAGGAAATATATGCCACCCTGTGAAAAATCTGTTTCCATCTTGCCAAAAGGGTGAAGTATTGAGATATTTTAACTTTAAATATGTATTATTAGGATTAGGAAGACATTGAAAAGCAATACTCCTTATCAGAGTGGTCTGCCCATTCTTGTATTGTCAGGTAGAAAACTGACTTCCAAAATGTCCAGTGACGTTATGGCTATCAATTATTCCTAGTTATGAATCTATAGAGGTCTCTGTGAGGATGATAAAGAGAATGTGGTACATGTGGAAATGTTCCTCCGTTATCTACATTAACAAAATGGCTGATAATATAGTCCCGATTGTGAGTAAAACTGCTGGTACATGTGTCTCTGTGCTGCTGGGGGCTGGTGTCCCTGTCCCGAGGTCATGATTGTCTTTATTACAGAAGTCCCCATCTTCACATATCCAGTAGCATGACTGGAATAGTTGGTCCTCTTCACCCGTGCATCCTTGTTTGTAAGGAGTGTCGTTACATCCTCGCCCGAATGACCGCAGAGTATTATCTCCTGTAATTTTAGAACTGCTCAATTAGATCCTCTATTGGACAATAGCAACCAAAGGACCATGGTGAAAATCGCGACACTTTTATTATTTGGAGAAGTGTGAACTAAGAAATATAGTGAAATATAGGAAATATAGACAGCTGTGATCTATTTATCATAAGAATGTGTACTTAAAATTCCATTTCAGCAGAAGCTTAATGTCATATATATATTCGGGGTTATTTATCATGTATACACTGTACAAAAAGGTAAAGCCAGATGGCTTTATGGTGGTCAATGATTAACTTTTAACACTTGAATTTATATGCACTAGTATAATAATATGTTCAGGTTACCGACTATGTTAGCACCCCTCCCCATCCTGATTAAGCTTATTAAAAATACCATTATAGATATCAGAAAAAGTTGCATCGAAATGTTATCTATTAACAAGGAACTCATCTGAAAACGTTTACGCAGTCCAAGAACATGTGAATATAATCAAGCAAATATTTTTAAGTCTCTTATAAGATAAAGGGATTGGACAACCATAAGGTTAATAGTATCACCTCTTTGAAGAGGTTGCGTCATTTTCAATGTATTTATTTTGTTTTTGAATTTTTATCAGAATAAATAAGATACTCAAATTACATCATATCAGAGGTATTCTTTCATCGAAATGAAGGACCAACATACATGGCTGTTGTCTTTATGCTTACGTCAAGAAATCTAGACTTGCTTTAGACCCTGGACCTCCCCCCCCTAATCTACTTCATGTGTTGTGTTGATGAATGTACAGTGTAAGTGCATGTGGCGGAGGGGTAAAATCCTGAAGTAAGACTGCAAGAAATCTTACCCTTTTGGTACTGTCTGAAGCTGTAACAGCTTGTTGTCCCTGTCTTGCATTGTACCTTATTGGCAGTAGCCACACTATCTGGGTCCGTGACACATTCCTTAGGTCCCACTCCACCAAATGTACAGCTGTAGCATTGAATAGCATCTGGAAACAAGTAATATAATTTTACAATGGTCTCTTGTAGTTTTATAGTTATTTTCCAAATGCCTCATATTATATTGTTTATTATTAATATTTATTTATTTTCCCTCGGCATCATCTTCTACTTAAGTTTTTTTCCCAATCTACTTTATGCTCTTGTTAGGAACCTGGAGTGGAGTTCCCAAAAAACTTTTTTATCAAGGTCAAGGTCAAACATCAATTTCAAATTGAAATCAGCAATTAAGTTGCTGAAGTGGTTGAAAATTTCTTGCATAGACTTGTATAGAATTGTATTTTCCTCGAAGAATTCTCTACGATTCCTCCAAAAAGGCTTCATTAAAAAAAATTTTATCAATAGTCAATATTTATTTTTCAATCAGTAATTATTGTATATAACAGCTTGCCAATCACCAAATAGGAGAAAAAATGCTAGACTCATATCAAGGTTTATACCTTTCTTGAAATCACATTTTGTATTAATTGCTTTGTCTTAAACTTATTACATATTCAGGTAAATAAACCTTTATGTTTGTGTTCCTTTTTTGCCAATGTTTTCTCCTGATGAACATTGTGAAAAGAATGAGTGTTTACCCTTTGATATATGCTGAACTTGGAAATGCTTCGAAATTGGATTTTGTCTGTCCCACATCATTTGAGACTGAATGCTCTATCTTGTATGAATACTATATATCTTTTGTTGTGGTTATCATGTTATAGTGATATTGGTACTTGAATGGTGGGGGAAAGGGGAATTATACACTTTTTTCACAATACATTGTGATTTGGGATAATTGGGGTTTAATTTCCTTATGACTTGTGTACTATTTTTTCTTGATCACCATCCTCTCAATAAAAATTGAAAGATAGAGATCATCAAAATGTGAAATTATAGAATATTCCTTAATTTAATAAAGTCTATAATAATGATTTCAATCTTGGCAATGAACTTGGAAAAACAGTTGCCTATTGGGCAATACACTGAATGCCAATATGGTGAATTGGGGCAGTTTAGTTCCCTGACTGTCATTAATTTATTTTGGTGAAAATATCTATCTACTACTAATATCAACTTACCTGCTACACCTACCACCAAGGCTCCTACAAAGAAATATAAAAGCCTCATTTCATTCAATATATATGTTTTTATATTTCTTCTTTTATTTTATTTTAAAATTTCCTGTTTGTCCTTTAGAGATGGGAGTAAGAATTATCAATCTACGTTTTTGACAATGATAAGGTATATGCACTAGAGTCAATCTGACGTCGCCAATTGTAAATTCAGTTGTAAAATGTTTCTTGCGCCTTAAAATTTCTCTCACGTTCTTTTGAGAATTTGAATAAGTATCTGATTTCCTTTTATTTTTGTATTATTAATAGTTTAAACTTGGTGTCTGTCTATTTTATTCCTTGCTGATTCCTCTTGTTTTAGCTATTTTCGTGACGAGACAATTGGTGACTTGATATCTTAGTTGTAGGTCTGTTATCGGCTGTGTAATAAATTCAATTGTTTTATATGTTTAAACAATCATAGGCGTTGATAGATAAAATTTCAAGATGGCAAATATTTTATAGATTATAAAATTTGCTAGAAAGAATGAAATTTAGTTGGGAGGGCATTACGTAAATAGGCATGTAATACACTAAATTATAAAAAGATAACAGAGAATTTTTTATTCAAATTTTAGAGAGAAAGTGTAATTGAATCATGAGGAGGCAGAACTTTTATTTAAGGACACGTAATCCACAAACAATATTTTTTGTTTGTTTTCCCAATGTTCAAAAAGGTATTCATTCCAATAAATGCCAGTAGAATGAACTTATAACTGATTGTTTCAAAGATATTTTTTGATTGAACTTGTAAAAGGCTATATGGAGACAAACCGGTGAAAATTTGGTTAATTTGAATATGGGTTCATAGAACAATATATGTCTCAGTATGTTTTATGACAGCTCAAAAGTTTCATATTAACTTCTGATAAACTTAACTCGAAGGTGATACCAGTTCATATGTTCAAGTCAAGTGCTTGTCATAAAAGTTCAGTTCCCTGTCACAAGAATTTAACAGTACTCAGCAACTTGAACATTTTACAGTGATTTTTACATGTGATATTCTCTCCTTAACTCCTTGATGTTACAGATGTTGTTACAGATGTGTTACATTTAAGCAAATTCTTTAGATTAATTACAATAAATACCTTGTTTTGAAAATTTTTGTTGCAATTTACAATAACAGAGAGGGATCAATATTATAACTGAATTTAAAAATTTCAAGATCATTATATTGCATTTTTATGTTTAGTATATGCAGAATTTGTTTAACCTGTATTTAATATATTCTATAGATTAAAGGCCCCTTGTAAAAAGTCATTCAAGATCAACTTTTTGAAATTAAATTCAAAAGTATCACATAGCATACATGTATTTTGATAATATTGGGCAGGAGTATAATATAAGTCGAAGTGGTTTAAACTTCATTTGGGGCCTTTAAAAATGTGTTTGTTGTTTATAATCTTTTATAAATAAGTCAGGTTCCTATTTATTGAGATTAATTTTCAGCATTTTATTTTATTTTTTAATTCATTTTTGAAGTAGATAAAATATGCTGTCTATAAACATTTCCTTAAAAATGTCAATATTTGTATGTACAGATACATGACGTATATTAACTTATCAGTGTTTTAAATGCTTATCTGGTTAGTTTATCATTGGGGTCCGAATTTTTTATTACATGTGTCGAAAAGTACATTATTTGATTCTAAAATGTAAGAAATAAATGATCGTTGATAATCATGAATTTCTTCGTAACGGTACAGGTTCAATTTGTTCTCACATGTTTTCATATTAAGACAAATTCAAGCATGTTGAAGTAGACTTAAGAATGACGTCTAATTGAAAACAATTCTGTTTTTGTGATTTATCAAATTCAATTGGTTCTAACAGGTACAACTTGACTTAAGTGATCTGTTTGTTTATTTTGAAGATGACATCATATATACCGTAAATATGTTGACTCAAGAACGCATATGCGCATGTTTAAAACACTTGACAATTTGGTGTAATTTATGACATTTTGGGTGAACCTAAAATGTTGCAACGTTGATGGATGACCATGCATTTAATATAACAACATCCTTTTTATTCCTCAAGACACAAAGGAGATTATTGAAAGTATTTTGTTAATTAAAAAGCATTTTGTTAGATGAGTTTAAAAAATATATACTTTTGATTTCCTAAAAATATCTTTCAATTTCAATGTCTTTCGACTTTGGCAATTGTTTAGTTTGTTAATATGTATTTCTGGAATAAATTAATGTTGATAAATAAAAAAAATTCCCCAAATTGTTCAAATCTGAATCTTAAGCTAGAATGCCACTTTGATTTTGACAAAACGTGGTATTTTTGCGTTTTTCCAAAAGCTCCTGGGTCAGTTTTAATAGAAATGTTCAACACATATTTCTGATGTTTTCCAGATTGAAGCTCTTCCTTGAACAGTTTGGTATTTCATCATGCGTTCTCAACTCTGAACTACCCCTGAACTCAAGGTAAGTCTCAAATCTGTACTACCCCTTAACTTAAAGTTAAACTCAAATCTGAACTCTGTAAATCTCAACTCTAAAGTACCCCTTATCTCAAGGTAAATTTCAACTCAGAACTACCCCTTAACTCAAGGTAATTCTCAAATCTGAAGCCAAAGTAAGTATCAACACTAAAGTACCCCTTAACTCAAGTTAAATTTCAACTCAGAACTACCCCTTAACTCAAGGTAAATCTCAAATCTGAAGTCAAAGTAAGTATCAACACTAAAGTACCCCTTAACTCAAGGTAAATTTCAACTCAGAACTACCCCTTAATTCAAGGTGAAACTCAAATCTGAACTTCCCCTGAAATTGTGATATATCTATAAATGGGCACATAATTTTAACATTCTCTATTTGTCTACTTGTTTAGGGTCCACATCGTGAACCAGTTCAATGAAGGACTATACGACTACATCATTGCATCTGACGAGAATGTTCTCTTTGACCCTGGTGCAGCTAAAAAACCAACAGGCAAAAATAAAGGGTAAGTTGATCTATATGAGACATGTGGCCCCTGGCTTTAGCTTTACTGATGTATCATAGCTTTATGCTTAACAAATTCAAAATGGGAAAAGGAAATAGGAAATTGGAAAAGGTTTCACATTTCCAATGATGAATAAACACAAGGAGCACATGTGTCTCAAACTCGCCATGACATAGTTCTTTCGATGGGATTAGCTACTTATTTGTTATGAAATGATGAATAAGCATCACTATATTACTTTTCAGAGGAAAACGTAAGAAAGACAAAGAATATGGTGTGTCTCGTGGAATTGATTTCCAGCATGTTTCCAATGTCATCAATTTTGATTTCCCGCCAAATCCTAATGCTTATATCCATCGTGTGGGTCGTACAGCACGTGGAGACAACACAGGAACTGCACTGTCATTCGTCAGCATAAAGGAGATGGAGCTTCTAAAGGAAGTTGAAAATGAACTAGATTCAAATGAAGGTAATGATATATTCACCCTATTCACATTGATGTCTTAAAATAGAAAGTGCCCATGCAAAAAATACTTGTAATCTAGAAGAATTATTAATCACTTGAATTCTGAAATTTAAACTTCAATTTATATTTTCCCTTTGGCTTTTCTCAGTGCCAAAATTTTGGTAGAAAGACTAAGGAGTCTTAAAGGAGCACGTGGGTTATCGCAAACAATTTCAGAAGGTTATATCTTGGATTATGACTTTTTTCTGACAATGAAGACAAGTTTATTTTTTAGATCAATTCATTATCTCAAAGAAAATTATGCACAGTAATAATAAATTCAAACAAACTCGGTGATATTTAACTAGCAATTAACCCATCAACACACTTTTTGACCCCATTTTGAAGATGTTGACCCCATTTTCACCAAAAATGCAATCATTTTTTACAATGTTTAATGCATTACTATTCTTTATTTTGATGTATCAAATAGTTCTTGAAAGAAAAACTTAATTGCATTAAGATAAGTGTTCCCCATGTTATTTCTCCATTGAAAAATCTCATGCTATCCATTGGTTTCAGTTCATTTTGGTCATCCAAATTGAATATCTTTAAAGTCCCTGGAGCAATCACATTTTCCTTTTAGGAAATCGAACATGTCTCAAAGCACATTCTAATTATGCATTCAACAATATAATAATAGGTTGCATTTTTGGTGAAAATTAGGTCAACATTTTTGAAAAAGTATGTTGATTGGTCCATTGCCCCTTCAATATCACTAAGGTCTGATTAACTAAATTATCATTATATATACTTTTCTTGAAGATAATGAATGGATCTAAAAGATACACCCATGTACATGATCAGAAAATATTTATAATTCAAGTTAGAATCGTTTGAAATTGTTTGCGATAACCTACGTGCTCCTTTAGAAATTTGAGGACCTCCTATACACCATCCCCCTCCCCCACTTGATTTAAAAGGATGGTAAATGTTCAAAAATAGAAAAAAAATATTGGGACACCTTAACTTTTTAGATGGGGATTCATCAGTGTTCAAACCATACCAGTTCAAGATGGAAGAGATCGAGGGATTCCGTTACAGAGCTAAAGATGCCATGAGGGCTGTAACAAGTGTAGCAGTTAGGGAGGCCAGATTAAAAGAAATAAAATCAGAAATATTTAATTCACAAAAACTAAAGGTACTTAAAGATGGGATATTTCAGTGTAAACTCTGGCTAATGAAATAGCTTTGAAAATGCTGATTAGATAGCTCTAACATTAAAGGTTTCTATTCGATTTTGCCACAGGAAATAAGTAATATTATGATGGGTTTAAATGATAGGACAATAGGATTTGATTTTGGTTAGATTTCAAATCAAATAGAAACTAATAAAAAAGATATCCCAAGTGTCAAAATATTAGTGCAATCAAATCGTATCCACCATGTTAAATTTGGCACCAATTGCTCTATATGGTCATGCAGCAAAACTCCTTCTGATAAGACCCTCTGATAAGAGTGCTATCTTTTGGCAGTGTGAGATTTTAAAAGCATGAAATCTGGAAATATGTAGTCTACTGTTATGTGTGATGGAAAATGATAGAAAAAGTGAATATTAGTACATTGCACTACTCTAGCCAATATATCAAAGCTGATATATTGAATTATCGTATGATCTGTAAAATAAAGCCCTCTGATTGGTCAGTTCTTGTGCTGTATCAATCTGTATTGCTACTGAGCTTGCCCCCTTTGATCATCTTTGGAGCAATACAGAAAATATTGGTAAGGAGAGGACAATCTCAGTAGCAATACAGGGAATACAGAATATTTCTAAGTGATTACCTCCTAGGTAAAATGTATTGGCCTAAGATCACACAATAAAGACGTTATAGAATGCTTTGAAGTGCAATACAGTGTATATATTCTGCTCTCGATATTCTGTATTGGGGCTCGACTTCCTCTCGTTCCAATACAGAATTTCTCGAGCACAATACATCCTGTATTGCACTTCAAATTATTAAATAACTTATATCATTGGAGTAGAGTAGTGCAGTGTACTAATATTGGTGTGGGTAACAAACTGTCCAAGCAAAAATGGGATTACCTTATTGCTAAACAACCTATGCCATCATCAATCTAGCCAATATATGGTAGCTTCTTTGATATACCAAAAGGTGACATTACTGATTGGAAAGGTCTATTATGAAGGGCCCAGGCAGAAAGTATTTGTATGTCACCACCACAAGTAGTGACATATTGTAATAACTTTTTTGTGGCGATGGTTGGTGTTCGGCATCTGTAATAAATGGCAGGTGGTGACAATATGCATGTTGATATTATTATTTACTGGTACATGTATTATAATGTTATTTTCAGTCATATTTTGAGGATAATCCACGTGATCTGCAAGTCTTAAGACACGACAAGTCTTTGCATACAGTTAAACTACAAGAACATCTGAAGAACGTACCAGAATATCTAGGTAAAAGTTTTGTCAGTACCCATCAGTTCATTCAGTTTACCTGTCTAATAAAGCAATTGTAAACTTGTGTTATATTTCTAGTTAGTGGGCTAATTTTTTTAATTTCCCTGATTATTTTTTACATTAGAGATACAATGTAGTCAGTCCACTTATAGAAAGGTCAACAGTAAAATATACGACGTAAACTGACGATGTGAGTGTGACAAATGATATACTGTGTTAGTATTGTTATATCCATGGTTATAGTCATTATCCTACTCGTTTGGGGGGATATACTATAGAGATGCCATCTTTCCACCCGATTGTTCGTCTGTCCAGGCGATAACTCAAATACCGGTTGACTTGATTTGACTCAAATCTTAAAGGCTTATGCTTGAATATTTAATAACATTCCTCCCTTGTTTTCAGTTCCAAAGACATTGAAGAACATGCGTGGTGGCATGCGATCAAGGAAGCAACCTCGGCAGAGTGTGAAAGCACCAGTAACAAAAGGTCAAATGAAATATAGGGTGAGTAATACAGTTATACCCTTACATTACATACAGCATGTACATGTCTTTGTGTCTCCTTAGTAGGAGATCAACTACGTGACAGGACATTGAAAGAAGTAAAAAGGAGGATCCTTATGATTTTCATAGATTTAAAATTGGTGTAATACCATTGTGGAGTTATCACAAAATAACCTACATTCTTTTCCAGTTTTTTTTATCAGAGTACATGCTAGTAGTAAAAAATTATAAACAGAGATATGTAAAAGAATATTTTCTATTTAAGACACAATTGGCTAGATGGGTTTAGTCAAAGTTATCACCAAATACCTCACATTATTTTTCTATCTCAAATGGGAATGGTGGTAAACAGAAACATACACAAAACAATTGTTTAAAATAGCTTTCCAATGGTACAAAATTCACCCACATGTCGTAAATGTACATTGATGGAGTACTTTTCTGGTGCTTTTGTGCCATAGTTTCTGCAGCTTATTTATGAAATGCCACATTAAGATGATAACATTATTTATATTTTTATTTTTCAGAAAAGAAAAGCAGATCCACTAAAGAGCTTTGAATTTGTGGGACTGAAGAAATCAAAGAAGAAAAAACATTAATGCACTGACAAACAAACTTAGTGCTATTTTACTGTAAAGATGAAGACTATTAACACAGATATGTGAAATATGTGAAAATATATGTGAATATAACTATTGTTTTGAAATACCATTCAGATGTCTGTTGAATCATTGTATAAAAGGTACTCATCCAAAACAAAAGAGCCAAAGCAAAAGGCATGAATGCCCTCTCAATGTGGTGATTTTGGAAGTGTTCACAGCAGGATGATACTAATAGATTGAGTTGCTATCATCCAAGAGAGCTTTCATCCAAGAGGGCTATCATCCAAGAGGGCTATCATCCAAGTGGGCTTTCATCCAAGAGGGCTTTCATCCAAGAGGGCTTTCATCCAAGAGGGCTATCATCCAAGAGGGCTATTATCCAAGAGGGCTATCATCCAAGAGGGCTATCATCCAAGAGGGCTATCATCCTAGAGGGCTATCATCCAAGATGGTAGCCAAAATTGAAAAACCTTCAATATCAGCATAACAAGTAAAATCTGGATTCCAAATATTGCAAAGAAATAGTAAAGAATAGTTCAAAGTAATGTTCAAAATATCTCAGAAATTGGAGAAATTTAAAGAAACAGCTTCACTTATATTAGGATGACATTTTAATCTTCTCTGACATGTCATTAAAAAATTAATAGGGCTGAGACTAAGGGGAGGCATGAAAAGATCAATGTCTGACAGGAATCTAAATAAATCTCGTTAGGGGGGGGGGGTCAAACCCATTTCAGTTTGCTATCCGACAAATTTCAACATTTTAATTTTGTTGTAATTTTGACTCAGAATGCCTTGGAGTGGTTTAAAACTAAAGATTTTACCTGATGCTTTCTTTATCAAGATGCATGGAATTATGGTAATGGCGCCACGAAAGTCCACGTCCAAGTCCAAGAAAACATGTGAAGTCAGCGATCAACTTTCATGGTATTTAGTTTTTTTGGGGGGAGGGGGGCGTGTCAAACTAAAAACTAGATTTATTTAGTTTCCTATCAGACATTTAACTTTTCATGGCTCCCTAAGAGGCCATGGGTTTATTGCATATAAAAATAATTCATCTGAAATATTGCAATTTACGTGTAGAATATAAATGTACACTCCTTTCCATAAGTTTGGCAATTGAAATTGGATAAATTCCGGTTGCCAAACTTATGAAGGGGAGTGTATTTTTTCCATATATTTTACACCATTATGTAATGATTGCTTATTACTAGTATGTCATTGCCAGAAGTGGTGACATATTGTCATAGTCCGTCCAAATCTTTTGTTTCAATGCAGAAATCATTGATTCGGGACTGGGATAAATAAATCTGCATAAAAAATACAGGGTGGGAAAAAAAACGTCCATACTTTTTGTCCCACCTTTATATATTTATATATTGTTATATATGCAGAGATTTCTATAAAATTGTCTCGTGGGTGCAGAAATCACTTTTTAGAGAAATAGCCTTGAGAAAATCTTTGACGTTAGAGCCCATCCCCCTGTGTTCATAGAGCACATCCCTCAAAATAGTTGTACAAAGGTAAGCGACCTAAGGTTAAAGGGTTGTTCCTATCATTTAGGAAGAGGTGGACAAGTGATAGATTAGACAAATAAAGGACAGGTAAAACGTTAAGTAATAATTGAAACATCCGAAGAGTTATTATTCAAATGAAAGTAAATTATTAAAGGTAGGACCATGGAATGCATCATTATGTATTGTTATAGAACAAAATTTAATCAAAAACCTCTACCACGAATCATTATGACTATATCTAGTATCTATTTGATATCTATATATGTTACCCTTTTATATTGATGGAGATCCTTGTCAATATTTTGTGACATACTCTTTTGATCAATATATCTTGGCTGCCTTTTGTCTTCTCATAAAATACTAAATGTATATCTAGCAAGACCATTCATCATTCTTTGGTGTGGAGAGCTCATTCTAGTATATATCACCATATGATGATATTGTAATGTCATCGTGTGCCGCAAGTTCTTTGAATCATGATCAAAACTTAATCCCGGGAATACTCGAACGTACAACACATTGTGTTTCGTTCAGTGTAAAGACCGCTGAAGCTCTTAACTGTGTGAAAGACGATGTTAGATTAAGAATAAAACTGTATTTAGAACAATAGGCTAATTGCTTTCGAATGAGCAAAGTACACTGTACATATTATTGGATACATATATGTGTTGTTCATAAATGATAAATGATAAAAAATGTTTGCCTTTTGCATTACTGAAGGGGTCTGTGTAGCAGAAGTCAACATGGCGGCTGAGAAAAAACGTGCGGTTGAAAAACAAATGGAACTTTTGGAGAAAAATGAGGTTCCAGAAGAGTTCGAAGATGATAATGACAGTTCCAACGATAGCGAGGAATTTGATGATGACGTTGACAGCGATGCTGAAGCCATGGAAGGCATCAATCAGGTGCGTTTTCCAACATTTCAAAATGTTGTGAAATATCTCTTTGCTGCAAATGCAAGTTGCACTTGAGGTGGCTGAAGCTGTTCAGTTCACTTTATCGAGCTGGCGACACATCTGAGTTCAGTAAATCATATTTAATTCAAATGTAATGAGCCCTTATATTTCTTGAAACAGTTTGGAACAAAATAAATGACAGGTGAATTTTCTATCACCATATCCAAACCATGGTGTTTTGAAACACAGTCAGCACTATCAATGGTATATTCTAAAAATATAGGGAATAGTATATAGAGACTAAAAGTCCAAAAGGCTTTTGTGACAATATTTCCCGGAAGTGTTATATTTCCATTTATCCTTCAAACTGTGACATTTAAGCTAATAACTCGACATGTATATGATTCTTACATACCCAATACGATCAAAAACGTTACTAACATACCAAATGAAAGGTGATTTCCTGGTCAAACTTGCAAAAGTTTGTCCAAATTCGCACTTGAACCGAATATTTACCGGAAGTGTTTATATTTCCATTTAGGTGTCACTACGGTAAATCATTGAAAAATATTGAAAAAATCACAAAATTCAAGTTTGGGATACATATCGCCATTTTCGAACGAATTAGCATTTAGAAAGTAATTGGCCTCAGCTTTACATACATACCTCAAATGGCCACAATGCATATACTTAAAGTGCCATGGAAGTTAACAGGAAATGACAAAACAGGAATTGACAATTTTATTTGTATTTTTAGACATTTTTTGAACAAAGATAACAGAGTTCTGTTTTGACCTCCAGTCAATTCAACTAGTTCCAAATACCATTTACAGGTCCAGGATCACAATGTTCATGGTCAGAATGACCCTAAACATGATGAAGTAACCTTTTCCGCCCTATGAAAATGTGACTGAAAAATAGCTAAAAGTAGGTGCTCAGGAAAGGTCAATGAACAGAATCTTGTGATTTTTCCAGTAAATGTGTCCAATGTATTGCTCTAATGATACAATCTTTGAAAATTTGATATCATTCATAGAAAAAGAAAAAAATTGAAAAAAAATGATTTGAAAAGCAATCTATTTTCCTTTTTATGACCGCCATTTTTGTTTAAGAAAATTTTCTAAAATTTCAAAGATTGTATCAGTTAGAGCATTATATTGGGCACGTTTTCTGAAAAATTCAAAAGATTCTGTTCAGTGACCTTCCCTAGCTCCTACTTTTAGCTTTTTTTCAGTCACACTTTCAAAGGGCTAAAAAGGTTATTTCATCATGTTTAGGGTCATTCTGACCATGCACATTGTGATCCTGGTCATGTAAATGATATGTGGAAATAGTTAAATTGACTCGAGGTCAAACCAGAACTCTGTTATCTTTGTTCAAAAAATGTCTAAAAATGCAAAAAAAATTCACTTCCTGTTTCGTCATTTCCTGTTAACTTCAATGGCACCTTAAACCTACTATGCACACCATTGAAGTTGGCATGGCTTCGTTTTTAAGTATTAAAAAACACTGTCCTACCCGGAAGTGGTATTTACCGTAGTAACACCTTAATATCCAAAAATGGAAAAATTTTACCATGATAATTTATGCTCATTCAGCATTTTTTCAAACAATTGAGTTATTTCATGCTCAAAACAACTGGATTTTCAAACTTTTAACACATTTTCTACAAAATCTAGTCATATTTGGGGAAATAGGTGAGGGCTGAGTCTCTAAAAACTGGCCAAAATGACCTAAAATTGGGTCATCAACTTCAGACATCTCATGCAAAAAATTTAGATGCAAAATCCCCGAGATTATCTCATTTTGTAAATCATTATAGCAATGCCTTTCAAGTATTACACAGAATGTACTGAAATGTATGTTGCTAAATGCAAATATTTTGAGTCAAATGTGGTCCCCATGTGGAAAATCTGCCCTTTTTCTCCCCTTTACGCCAGTTAGGCCCCAGTGTATTGTGACATCATACTCATACCATTGCTACAATGTAGCATTTCACAAATTAATCATGATTACTCTTCCTGTGATACACAGTTGAACACTGTTTTTGCATCGTGATATTCCCCAGTGTGTTGACTGATTACACGCCAGCTTACTTAGTTACTTACTAAGTACGCAATAACCACCATCAAAGACCTGCCGGCACGGTGGCACCTATTTATTTTTGGGTTGGTAATGGAATTTTACAAGGGCAATACGAGAAGAATTCAATTTTTCAGAATTTCATGATAATTACGGTAGATTTTACGGTAGTTTGAACAAGAATACTTTAAATTCCAGCAGAAATATTGTAGTTTTCAAATATTTACGGTATATTTTTAGGCTGTTCTTATAGAAAAAATCGAATTATAATAAAATATTTTACGGTAGATTTTGGTAAAATTACAGTAGATTTTTTACGGTCGTGTTTACAGGAAAAAACAGTAATTTTTACGGTATTTGTGTTTTTTTACCGAAAAACGAATATTTTATGGTAGATGCCGGTAAAAATACGGTAGGTTGGCAGGTATGAGTTACCATGGCAACCGTGGAAATGGGTAAAAATGAGAGCAAAAAACACCCAGACCTGCCATAATGGCACTTATTTTCAAAATATTTCGAGACATACACATTTTCTTAAACTTTGATATCATCTAGAACACTTCTAGACAACAAAAATATCAAAAATTGGGGGAAGGTTTATCACTTCAATTTTTTGCAAGCCTTGGTCAAAGTAAAGCTACGAAAAAAGCACTCATTTTCACTTTAGAATCACCTATTATCGCCCAAATGGCTATATGTTGTCCAGGTCGCCATGTTAAAAGTAGAATTAGAATGCTCTTCAGACAATGTTAGATAGCTTTCCTTTATCACGGAACAAAGATCTTTGCACTGGTATGCCCATTTCCATGAGATAATGCACGTGACCCACCATGGTTTGGGACCATTATTTTTTAAACATTGGATTGAAAATGATGTAATTTATATAAATGATATTGTTAAAGATGGAATGTTATGTTCATATAATGTCATAGTTCAAAAAGTACAGCGCAATTGACAAACCATGCTGCAGTATAATATTTTAAAAGCATGTGTTAAACAAGAGTTAATTAAAAAGTATGGAGATGAAGAGAATAATAACAACTTGAGATTTGTAAATAGAGAATTATGTAAATCAGATTCAAAGTATATACGATCAGAGTTAGTCTTGGCAAGAAAATGTGATATTAAATATGATAATACATTGATAAGTAAGGATGTGTGGAACACACTTTTTAATTGTACAAAAGATAATAAGCTCAAAATTATCCAATGGAAGATTATCCATAAAATTTATCCAAGTGGCAAATATCTAAAACAGTGTAAAATACAAGATTCAGATAAATGTAAATATTGTGATAATGAAATTGATGATGATATGCACTATTTCATGTATTTTGTGAAGTGTAAAGAAGTTTTAAATATTTGGAACACCTGTGATTGTAATTGTCTCAGTGATAAACAAAAACTTGGTATTGAAAATTTCGCACAATAAAAATATTTTAAAAGTGTGATTATAAAAATAGCTATCCATATGTTTAAATGTGATCTGCTGAATGAGCAGGAAACTTTGAAAATGATAGATAATAGGGAAAAATCATTTTACAACATGTAACCCTTATATGTAAATGTATTAATTGTACTGTATATATGTTTTTGATTTGAAATATAGTTTTTTAATAAAAAAAATGGTGGGTTTGGGTGTTTTTTTGCTCCCATTTTTTACCCCATTTCTACGGTTGCCATGGCAACTATTAGGCTTTGGTAACCATGCCAACTTGATTTTTGAAGGACATCCACCTGATAGTAGTTGGGCCAGGTTTGATGGAAAATGGGCCTGGTTTGATATGCTGGCAGTGAGGCTGATTGTGGCAAGTAGTGAAACGGCAAAACAATGGTGGAGTCTTATACTATAATTTTAAATTAGAGCTCTCCAAGAGAAATATTATCATGTAATGCAACAGGTAACTTATGTAAACAAATTTTTAAATTTATGTAATCTTTTTTGAATTATCTGAAATAAAAAAAATTTTAAATATAAAAAAAGGAATGCAATACAAAGAGAGAATTGTGTAATAATCACAAACTTTTAATAAATACAAAAACAAAAAAAAAAGGTGGAGTTATACCATACCGCAGTTGTGAAACAAAATGGCAAAAAGCTTTTGAACTTTTAGGATTATATCTAAAGGTAGAGTATACCATTGATAGTGCTGACTTTGTTTTGAAAGCCCTATAGTCTGAAATCTTGTCTAGATACATATCCCTTAGAATTTGTATATTCTACATTTTCTATACTCTCATCCAATGATGTATGACCTCTAAAAATTCCCTTATTTTTAACGTGGGAAATCCTCACTTCAGCTAATCCATGTCATTATTTTTGTTCCAAACTGTAGACCTCGTTTTTTATCCATTTTCTAGTCCTACTTCTAGGCTAGGGTAAGCTAACAGACAAAGTCATATGTAAACTACGAAGTTGAAAAATGAGGAAATCAAATGATATTACGACATATTTTCTAACCAGTACGTGATATGTCTTCCAGTACTCGAAGTTATATTATCATGAAACTCATCTTCTCATGAGAATAATTTTCGCCATTTTGTAAGTGTATCCTGATAGTCATGAGCTTTCAAGAAGCCCACGTATCACTTAACAGTTCAAATTTCTAACGTCTTACTGCCTTTGATATTCAGGAGGTGAACGTTGAATTTGAGGCTCGTGAGGCCCAAGACAGTGATTTCCATGGGGTGAGGAAGCTTCTCCAGCAACTATTCCTGAAGGCTAGCGTGAACATATCTGACTTGACAGATACTATATTGACACAGAACTATGTTGGAAGTGTGATCAAGGTTAGTTTGTTGACTGGCGAGAGATCTATCCAGTCTACATTTTAAATGGCTCCAATGTCTATTTCTGATCTAAGTGAAATCTAAAATTGTTGGGTATTTTTAATCATTACCCAGGACCCGTTTCCTGTACTTTCAAATATTTGCAAAACTATCTGAACTTGAGTCTTCTATGTCTAACTTTAATTATATTTTCTACTTAAATCATACAGTATATCAGTTAAGAAAGTCCAGACTCTTGATAGTTCAATATTGAATCTATCAAATTGTATCAGTTCATGCTAAAGGATAGATATATTTGCAGCAAAGTGATATCCTTGAAGATGACGAGGAAGACATGGGAGATGACGATGAGGTCTTCGGTGTTATATCTGTCGTAAACATAACAGAGAAAAAGGTATGTGTCCTTGTTAAATATCACCATGTTCCCAGTTTATTTATGGCCAGACTATGAAGAATAGGAGATTACAGACATTCTTGTGAATGTGATTTGCATATATATATATATAAAGAAAAATTGTTATGGTTATGTCTATGTCAGAAATCTGCAAAAGGCTAATAAGAAAAATTGTTATTGTGAAAAATCCATTGAAAAAATTAAAATTATGCATACCAGCATAAACCTATTTGGCTATACCTTTTTTAAGCATCTTGATTTTGGGAAATTTAGTATTTTTATCAAAAAATAATTATTTGAGGATGTATGATATACTTTCTGATTCTTATGGGCATTGCACATATCGTGATGTTACTTTCAGATTACAAGAGGAATAGATCTTATATTTTAAAAAGGGACAACAAATTGACGTCAAATGTTTTAAATGTATAATGATTATGAATACAGTAAAATTTTATGAATATTTGATTGCAGGACAATGAGAGTCATAAACTAATAAAAAAATATGTGCTGGATAAATGCAAGGAATGTTCCGACGCTCAAACATATAAAACATTTGAAGAAACCCTGTGTGGAGAGTCTCAGATCGGTCTGTTGCTAAGCGAGCGATTCATCAACATTCCTCCACAGATTGCGCCACCTATGTATGACAGTTTAATGTAAGTAGTAATGTATAGTCAACTCGTGGGCTGCTCTTTTGATATTTTGTTGTTGAAATATAGGTTTTTTGAAATTTCAATCTGAAGGTTTGGTTTATTTTGACATGAAGATGAGTATATGAAGCTATATTGTAAGTTAGTGTATAAGTTAACTCGTGGCTTTTTCTATTGACCTATAACAATAAGAAATGAATGAGATATTACACTGGATACAACGAATTTTGTCCAGCAACTTGGATGATACAAACTCCAGTTGTTGACCAGGCAAAAATTGAAGGATGTTTTTCCTGTTGTGAATTAAGTGATGGGACCTGGCTGGTTTAAATATTATCTAAGTTAATGACACCATAATTATAGTTCTTATTAAATGATGTCAAGGATGAATCCTAGATGATGGTAATACATCGTCGGTTCCAATGCTCAATCACAGGTATAAGCTTGATGAAGCAAGATGAAACCCTGGGATGAAACAGCAAGCCATTTACGATATGAACTACTTGGCACATACAACAATAATGTCAGTGTGTAGCCAGAGATATATGACATTAAAAGTTAAATGTAATATATGTGGTACCATGGTGTGCAGGGTATGTCCTAGTATTTTAACATTGGCTAAAAGCCACATTCGTATTGACTTAAAAGTGTCCTCCTACATAGCCAGTCTTTTGGTTATAGAGATAGTGACCTTAAACGAATGGATATAGGATATAGGAGCCAATAAGTATATACAGTAAAACCTGTCTAATTCAAACGCCATTGCGACCACCTTAAAGCGTTCAGATTAGGAGATGTTCACATTTCGTTTTTTTGCATTCTTGAGATTCCGGATTCTAAAGAAATGTGAAGACATTCTAGGTACATATTTATAGTTCATTTGACCACATAGCTTTACGACATTTCAGAAATTTGAAAATTCAATTTGAATCTAGTCATGCTGGAAAGCCCTATTATAATCAAGACCATTCAAGTTTTTTCCCATAGTTTTGATATCATAACAATATTTGAGCAATTTTGTATGAAACATTTGAAATTTTATGAAAAGTGTTCAGATTAGACAGGTTAATTTTTTTTTCAAATATGACTGTTGACTGTTTAAATTGAGAGGTGTTGACATTTCAATTTTTTTAACATGGAAGTCAATGGGAGGAAAAAATGGGACCGAAAAAAGTGTTCAGATTTGGAGGTGCTTGGATTACCCAGGTATTCAGATATACAGGTTCTACTGTACAGTGTATATTACATAGGAAATATTACTGTGAATATCTTTTACTCTGAAAGAAAGCAAATAAATAATAGAAAATATTAAGAATCTCTCAGATAAATTAGGATCATCAAATTTTGAGGAATTTTGATGGGGGGTTTGCATGAACCCCTCAAACCCCTGTCGCTACAGGCATGCTCTTTACTATTCACTCAACTCTGATGAGAATTTAGAAAATCATGAAGTTGTCTATTTCAATAAAATGAGGACATTTGTAGCCTTGCCTCATGTCTCTGGACCCCAAGCCCTTATCTACTTCACCAGAGTTGGTAGTGGGGGGGGGGTTACAAAGGCTTGTAGCTAGACTATTTGCTAGGCCATTTGCTGTCAATGTTAGTTAAAAAATGTTGTTGAAAAATCTTGCAAAGAACCCTGACGCATGTGATGTTCATTTTTCACTCTACTATACCTAACACCTAGAAATGCATAAGATACTTTGTTTGTCTAATTGTATTGTTTAGTATATTTTTGAAAGGGCCTTAGTAACATCTAACATTCAACCGATAAACCATTAATAAGGAACAGACAAATAAAAACAAATACATAATCATTACTAATAAGCCAAATGTGTTGCTCATGAACACCAAATGCAAGGTATAGTAGAGTGTTTTTGCATTTCAGAAAAGACATCGATAAAGCAAATAAAAACAAGATGAAGTACAACTTTGATTACTACCTAATGTTCATAAAAACCTACAGGATGACAGTTTATCAAGGAATGTCAAAGAAAAAGAAGAAAGGCCAGGGTGTTTTACAAACCACCTATGTCAATGTGGAGGAAGAATTCTTCGTCGAGGTAAGGGCTTCACTCTTCAGATTTGAGGGGTACATCCAAAGTGATATACTTTTTTCAAGATTTTACTCTCTTGTCACACAACTTGTTCAAAATTAGAAGAAACTTATTTTTATGTCTTACATGTTTTATCTTATTGTATAGTAGAGAGGGGGGAAGTTATCTATTTTGGTCAGTTTGGAATAGTGGATAACTCAGTTAGTAAATAAATTATCTGTTGTCGACGAATCTTCCACATTTTTACATTGAGAATATGATGCTGAATATTGTTTCTCAAAACAGAATTAATGATAAAATTGATATATTATTCTATAAGAGAACAAGTCGAAGAAATTCTTAAATTCAGTATGAGTATTGTGCGTCAAGAATCATATCATATATCAATCAATAAAAAAACTATCAACCAAATAGAAAATAAAAATGCAATTTCATGTTCGACTTTCATTTTCAAAAAAGAGGTGACAGTGTTAGAGCTAACATCTTCTGTGACCAGGATCTGTAACATTTGTTACACTTTCCCAGGATCTGTAACATTTGTTACACTTAACCAGGATCTGTAACATTTGTTACACTTTACCAGGATCTGTAACATTTGTTACACTTTACCAGGATATGTAACATTTGTTACACTTTACCAGGATCTGTAACATTTGTTACACTTTACCAGGATCTGTAACATTTGTTACACTTTACCAGGATCTGTAACATTTGCTACACTTTACCAGGATCTGTAACATTTTTACACTTTACCAGGATCTGTAACATTTGTTACACTTTACCAGGTGAGGTGACATATTACACTAATGCTTTGTTTTTTCAGGAGGCTGACCTTAAGTTTGAATACAGCGTAGAACATGAACACGATTCAGTAGTTGATGGGAAATGGGATGATGAGGACAATGAAATGAAACCATATAGAACTGTTATATTATTAAAAGCTGATAAACTGAACACAGTCGTTACAAAGACTAGAGACGAATTTTCACAATAGTTTTAGATGCAGTATTTCTTCAAATGATTAATTTTTTTGTGCTTATATAAAATATATATAAAACTATGAAATATAAAGGATCAATATTTATAAAAATCTTGTGCAAATAATGATGTTGTGTCTATGTTGTAGACTTGATATTTTATGGGGTAGATGAAGCACTCATTATTTTTGCTGTAACTTCATTATCATAATTATGTTCCTGTACTTAATACAAGTCTGGAACTTACCAGATTCAATCAAAACTAGACAACAGCAATGCCAAAGTGTAGCAAATCCCATCGGACAGCAATGGCTGGCATTTTTACAAACGAAATATATAGCAAATATCGTAAAGTAAAACACATAAGAAAGGTCACCATTTTCAAAATGGTTGCTCACTAGACAAGTTGTCATCAGAAAAAGTAATATGCTTTTAAGTAGGCACATATAAAAATATGAACAAAATCGCTCCACTACTTTTCAAGTTACAGCAAAAATCGTAAGATGGCGTGTAAAGGCAGCCATTTTTCAAGATGGCTGCCACTTATTTCTTAAATATTTACAAATCTAGCTTTATTAATGTCCGATATAACTTTTTTACATTGAAAACATATTGCTATTACAGTTTTATATACAGTACCTAAATTACTGTAAAATCGGTACTAAAATGGCTGCCATTTTTTAACGAGCAGGCATTTTAAAAAAATCTGCTTTCAAGCAGAACTTGTACTCCCACGGGGCACATGTGTACAAAGTATGAACAAATTTCGGCGAGCGGTATTTGAGTTATCGTCCGGACAAAGAGATGGACGGAGGCGTTCCCTATATCCCTCCAAACTTCGTTCGATGGGATAATTATTTTTTGCCATATTTTAAGAAACATAAAAATATCAAAATCTATTTCATAAACGAAACTCTTTATTACTCTTTTTAATAGATTCATATTTTTGAAAGTTAAACATTTCAATCAATTGAGAGCTATAAACACTGATAAGTTGATTTTTCAGCACTCATTTTCCAATAAAATGGCACTTATCTCTTGGATTTTCAGCACTCATTTTTCAATAAAATGACACTGGCAATTGGCACTCATGATTATTTTTAGAGCACAAACTTAGAACTAATTATTTACTCATTTAGAACTATTTACTCATTTAGAACTAACTATTTACTTATTGAGTACTGTAGATACACTCAATTTGTTACTGTGTTAATTTGACAGATTGGCGGATTGAAAAAATCGGCAAATTAAAAATACACCAATTTTCAAATCTATTTTGCAAAATCCCAAGGGAATTTGTGTTTAGCAATTATTTCACCTGTGTATTCCTGAAGATTTACTGTAAGTAGAACACATGAATCTCAAATGCTTATTTACAGATTAATGATAAAACTTGAGCTCAGTCCTAACTCCTCCAAATTAAATAGCCACCAATATTTGAAATTGAGCAAATCCACCAAATTAAGTAGTGTCAAATTTAGTTTTATCTACAGTACTCGATATATTACCTTGTGTATCACAATGTATTTTATAAAGTAAATCACTTTCGGTACTCAAAAAATAGTACTACATAAAAATGAAAACAGTCAGAAAATACAATAGGAGCTCAGAGAAAGTACAGAACATCAGTCCTGAAATTATCTTTGCACAATATAAGACCTTTAATACTCAACTGGGAAACTTATGCACAAATGCAAAATTTACAATATATGGGTCCCTAATATATACAACTTTAAGTTACCACTCAAGAAAAAAAATATATGTATAAATTTCTACTTTATTATCTACATAATTATCCCCTTTATGTCACGTTTGATGGAAGCATTATTTTTTTCTTTATACTTAAGTACAATAATCTGAAATATTATAAAGAGAAATCACACAATGACCCAAATCTCTAGTACAGTATTGTATTATGCCTCTTGTCCCTCCTTTATATATTTTCAGTGTTCTTCAAAGGATTTTTTCACAAGTGGGTGCAAAATTCTGTTTTCACAATTCAGGCCAAAATTGTTAAAATAATGGCCATTTTTCATGAATTTTCTAATTTTCAAGTGGGTGCGAATGGATTTTCAGGTGGTTGGAAGCCTGTTTTCAAAATCTCAGGCGGGTGATTCACCCACTTGGTTTAATGCTGAGGAGATCACTATTTTCCTACCCTTGTTTAAGTATTTGTTACAGAAAAGGGGTACACAAGGGCTTGATGTAAGAATTTTACTACAGACTAGATGAAAGTTACATGATAACTGGTCCCTAATTCAGTTTTGATGCGTAGGTCTAAAATTCTAATTACACACCCTGCATCTGAGAAAATGAGATCTGATTTTGATGAATTTTTATCACAATCGTAAATAAAACATATGAATTGGAACTTAATAAACTGTCAGTAATGTTATATGTACACTTATTTTATATATAGTTTTTAATTATACATCATATTTGCAGGGCTCTTGCTAGGCTTTTAGACTGTGGCGCAGCACCACAGTCTATTTAGCTTCCACCACAACCTATTGGCAAATCATGATTGTTTCCACAATCTAAAATTGATTAAATACACAATAATAGCATGTACATGTAATAAAAAGGATAAAATATAACAAAAATATGATTTATCACGACTGAATGGTGTCCACCACACCCTTAATATTTCCTGGTGAGAACCCTGTATATGACATGTATGATAATCTATATCTATCCACAACCTTAGAGAGTAAGGGAGTGAAAGATAATTTGCATTGACAAAAAAATAATATCAATCGATAAATTAATGGCTCACTGTACAAAGTCATTTGTTCTGACAAGTACTCTTACAATATGAACGTTGGAGAAAAATATCCAAAACAAAGACCAAAACATTCAATACTCTTTGTTTTGAAGTACAGACCTATCTCAAGCTTCAGAAAAGTTTCATTGTCATTTCTCTCAATGTCTATCGGAACAAAACAAATTCTCTACCTCAAGTTAGGGGGATTATTTCCAATATTCTTGTGATTTCCCCAGAATTATTGCATAACAGGTGATACATACTTTTCAGATTTTCAATATAGTGCAGCGCCATCTGGTGGTCTAATGCTTGGGAGATCACTGATTATTGTTATTTCATCTATAATCGTAGGTCCTCACCCTGCAGAAGTATATATCCAGAAAGTGTTGGTGGTAAATTTAAATCACTCACACGTCGTAATCTGGAAGCTCCCATAGATTTACGAATTGTGTACCGACAGTAATGGTGCAGAGAAAATGGCGATTGTGTTACATTTTTGTACCATTCATGTTTTTCACGAAGATATGTGGCTTCCGGAAGTTTATGTACACCAGGATTAATTCCATGGGAAACTGAAAGCAATGCATCAATAAAGATGTCATCTTGATCCATATAAACATGATCCCCTTGACCACCCATTGCTTGCCTATTTTGATTTCCTTGACCACCCATTGCTTGTCCATTCTGACCACCCATTGGTTGTTCATTCTGACCACCTATTGCTTGCCCATGCTGATCCCCTATTGCTTGCCCATTCTGACCACCAATTGCTTGCCCATTCTGACCACCCATTCCTTGCCCATTCTGGCCACCCATTGCTCGCCCATTTTGGATTCTTAATAATGCTTGCCTGTTCTGACCACCCATTGCTTGCCCATTCTGGATTCCTATTGCTTGCCCATTCTGGCCACCCATTGCTTGCCCATTCTGAACACCCATTCCTTGCCCATTCTGGCCACCCATTGCTCGCCCATTTTGGATTCCTAATGCTTGCCCATTCTGACCACCCATTCCTTGCCCATTCTGGATTCCTATTGCTTGCCCGTTCTGACCACCCATTGCTTGCCCATTCTGGATTCCTATTGCTTGCCCATTCTGACCACCCATTGCTTGCCCATTCTGGATTCCTATTGCTTGCCCATTCTGACCACCCATGGCTTGTCCATTCTGATTACCTTGACCACCAATTGCTTGCCCAAAATCACAAAGGTCCACTAATCCCTCATCCTCCGAATCAGAGTCTAATACAGGTCTATATATAGGTGGCGCAATGGCTGGTACAGGTGGTTGCCCATGAGTAGCCAAAGGTAGGTTTGGCACACGCTGTGCACTGTTTATCCCATGTGATTGGAAATCGTCATGAAATTGGAGAATTTGCGCTAACTCAGGAAGACCATTTTGTCGAAGTATTACTTGGGCGGCTGCTGAATCACTTGACGGATGTGGAATAAAGTTTAGTCCAGCCATATAAGCTCTGAGATCTGCAGCAGGACCTGGATAGCCTGCAGAATGTAGCAGCCTAACTGCTCTATGAACACTACCATATGATAACATCTGCATGAGGGAATTGTGATCTCTTTGCTGATTTGGGGGCATATTTGGTTGATTGAGACGTACCATTGGATTGGAGTTCATTTGTGTTCCCCCTGGTTGTGCTGGTTGTGACTGATTATGATACTGAGTCAGCGGTGTATTCGTGTTCACAATCGTCTCTAAAGCTGGAATGTTGACCTCTGATTGCACAATAGCCTGGAGAATCATATCATCCATTGTTTCGCATCTCAGTTCATGCTCAAGTAAATTTGAATATCTGCGGTCCTGAACTTTGCGATAATCAGCTCCATAAGCTATGAGAAGAGCAGCTAATTTAGGTTGACGATCTCGATTTGTTTTTTCGACGAGATGTGATCCAATAGTTGCATACTTGAGAGGTGTATTGCCTGAAATACAAATGCTTTAATTAGTCTTATAGTAATAGTGATTTGTGTGGGTTAAACCTGCACATCGCTCCAAAACGCAATATGTTGACATATATTGTTTATACATTTTTATGCTCTAATATAAAGTTTATGTAAATAAAAATTGTTTTTTCTGCGTAATATCAAAGAACAATTATTTAGTTAAAAAAATAAAAAAGTGAGTACGGGATTCAAACACGGAACGCCTGCGCACTGAGCGAGCATTTTACCGCAAGGCTACCATGTTATTATGGATGATGGGAGTAATTAAACGCTACTTATGTTGAATGCTATAATTCGGAAGTGACGTCACGTTCTTAATTTAGAAACCTTCCAAAAATCATATCATCGTTGACAATCGAAGCAATTCAATGAACAAGCTTCGAAATGACACATTTATCTTAAGTATTTGTACACAAGATTTGCCCCATTTGTTCATCATTCTATAATCTTTCATTAAAATCAAAATGATAAAGTTCTCCCCCAAAACAACCCAAGATTGCGTTTCGGGGCAAACAGCAGCTTTAAACAGGGCTTAGGTAACTTTGTGTTTTCAATGCACCATTTGTGCTTTTATAAAGACAGGGAAACAAGGAGTTCATTTTCATAGGATAAAACCTGTATATAAAAATCAATAGGATATCCTTTGTATCCCATATCTACTAAGGTTCTAGGTAGATAACATGTAGGAATATATGTTGCATCCATTTATTAGTAATTGCAAAAATGTGGATGTGGGATACATCCGTTATGTTTGTTCAGTTTTTGATACAGACAATATCCAGAGGGAAATACCTATATCTTAGACTTCCATGTACAAAACCCTTATATACCAACCTCTTATATCGGGTACATCCACTTTAACATCGAACCCTTTCTTCAGCATAAGCTCTAGAATCTCTAAGTTAGAACACTGCAGAGTACAAGCAAGGTGTAAAGGGGAGACTCCTGCATTGTTTAGTATATTAACATCAGAGCCATGCTGTAATAGGAGATCTACTGCATCATACATGCCATGGAGCACACAACAGTGGAGTGGGGTGTTCCCTGCAATGATAAATGTTTTTAGCAAAGGCAAACAACAACTGAACAATGGAGCAGGGTGTTCCCTGCAATGAAGAATGTTTTTAGCAAATGCACACAACAGTGGAGTGGGGTGTTCCCTGCAATGATAAATGTTTTTAATAAATGCACACAACAGTGGAGTGGAGTGTTCCCTGCAATGATAAATGTTTTTAGCAAAGGCACACAACAACTGAACAATGGAGCGGGGTGTTCCCTGCAATGAAGAATGTTTTTAGCAAATGCACACAACAGTGGAGTGGGGTGTTCCCTGCAATGATAAATGTTTTTAATAAATGCACACAACAGTGGAGTGGGGTGTTCCCTGCAATGATAAATGTTTTTAATAAATGCACACAACAGTGGAGTGGGGTGTTCCCTGCAATGATAAATGTTTTTAATAAATGCACACAACAGTGGAGTGGGGTGTTCCCTGCAATGATAAATGTTTTTAGCAAAGGCACACAACAGTGGAGTGGGGTGTTCCCTGCAATGAAAACTGATTTTAGAAAAGGCACACAACAATGGAGCGGGGTGTTCCCTGCAATGATAAATGTTTTTAGCAAAGGCACACAACAGTGGAGTGGGGTGTTCCCTGCAATGAAAACTGATTTTGGAAAAGGCACACAACAATGGAGGCGTGTTCCCTGCAATGGAGAATGTTTTTAGCAAAGGCACACAACTGTGGAGTGGGGTGTTCCCTGCAATAAAGAATGATTTTAGAAAAGGCACACAACAATGGAGGGGGGTGTTCCCTGCAATAAAGAATGATTTTAGAAAAGGCACACAACAGTATAACTGTGTAGCAGGGTGTTCCCTCAACACTACTTGAACAAGAAGACGCGTATTTTTCAGAATTTTTGCTGAATAAACACAGCATTTTCATTTAAATAAAGTCAGAACGAGAACAACAAATGCCATGAGCCAAAATATTGTAAAATTGTCATCCCTTGTATTTTTGTTTTTAACCAATAACATTGACATTCTCACCTGTTTTTTTAGTAGGTAAAGAGAGAATATCTTTGCTGATTGCGTTACGAAGCTGTATGGTAACACATTCTTCTAGCCCCAATGTTGCCGCTATGTTTAGACTTGTCTCACCTTGAAATCATCGAAACAATGAATGGTTTAATCATTGAAACAATGGATGGTTTAATCATTGAAACAATGGATGATTTAATCTTTGGTACAATGGATGGTTTTATCATTGGAGCGATTACAATTTAATCATTGAAACAATGGATAAACAATGAATGGATTAATCATTGGAACGATGGATAGTTTGATTTGGAACAATGGATGGTTAAATAATTGGAACAAGGGATGGTTTAATCTTTGGAACCATGGATTGTTTAATCATTGAAACAATGGATGGTTTAATCATTGAGACAATGGATGGTTTAATCATTGAGACAATGGATGGTTTAATCATTGAGACAATGGATGGTTTAATCATTGAAACAACGGATGGTTTAACCATTGAAACATTGGATGGTTTAATCATTGAAACAATGAAACTATGATGCAATAGTAGAACTCATACATACCTAATTCGTTAACTTTATTGTAATCAGCGCCATTAACAATGAGTTCCTTGATACAATGTATCCGGTTGTTCTGCACGGCTAAATGCAATGGAGTTGTATCGCCAACATATTCAGACTCTGAAAAACAACATTTTATCCCTTATTCGACAATAAAATGATATAAGGTGAATATTGAAGGTCAACCAGAACAACGGCAACGCCAAAGCGTAGCGAATCCCATCGAACATTTTTCAAAAGGGGCACCTTCTACCAAAAGTGTCATTAGACAGTGTGCCATGCTTATAATATTCACATACCAAATATGAACAAAATCGCTCTACTACTTTTCGAGTTATAGTAAAATACGTTAAAATGGTGGCCATTTTGAAAAATGGCCGCCTTCTACTAAAAGTCTCATTAGACAGTGTGCCATGCTTATAGTATTCACATACCAAATATGAACAAAATCGCTCCACTACTTTTCGAGTTATAGTAAAATACGTTAAAATGGCGGCCATTTTGAAAAATGGCCGCCTTCTACCAAAAATGTCATTAGACAGTGTGCCATGCTTATACGTATTCACGTACCAAATATGAACAAAATCGCTCCACTACTTTTCGAGTTATAGTAAAATAAGTTAAAATGGTAGCCATTTTTCAAAATGTCCACCATTTTTCAAAATGGCCGCCTTCTACCAAAAGTGTCATTAGACAGTGTGCCATGCTTACAGTATTCACATACCGAATATGAACAAAATCGCTCCACTACTTTTCGAGTTATAGTAAAATACGTTAAAATGGCGGCCATTTTGAAAAATGACCGCCCTCTACCAAAAGTGTCATTAGACAGTGTGCCATGCTTATACGTATTTACATACCAAATATGAACAAAATCGCTCCACTACTTTTCGAGTTTTAGTAAAATAAGTTAAAATAGCGGCCATTTTTCAAAATGTCCGCCATTTTTCAAAATGGCCACCTTCTACCAAAAGTGTCATTAGACAGTGTGCCATGCTTATAGTATTCACATACCAAATATGAACAAAATCGCTCCACTACTTTTCAAGTTACAGCAAAAATCGTAAAATAACGAGAAAAGGCCGCCATTTTTCAAGATGGCTGCCATGTGCTTTTTTAATATCTACATTTCTAGCTTTATTAATGTCCTATATAATATATTTTACATTTGAAACATATTGCTATTACAGTTTTACATATTGCAACTAAATTACTGTAAAATCGGCACTAAAATGGCCGCCATTTTGAAATGAGTGGCCATTTTGAAAATCGGCTTTCGAGCAGAACTTCTACCCCCATAGGGTATATGTATACAAAATATGAATAAAATCAGGCCAACGGTATTTGAGTTATTGCCCGGACGGACGTACGGACGGACGGACGTACGTACGGACGGACGGACGGACGGACGGAGGCGTTCCCTATATCCCTCCGAACTTCGTTCGATGGGATAATAAAAACATTATTAGAGGAATTAAATATCATCCTGAATTTGATCATAATGCATGCTGTCCATGAGAGTCATTCGGCATCAAGCCCCGATATTACAAAAAAATCAGAATTTATCAAAAAATGTTCAAAAAGAAACCTTTCTGACAGACATCAAAACTCTACCCAGGATTTTTTGTGTGGAGGATTTTGTTATTTTTCTAGTGTAACATTTTCTTATTTTTGTAACTTTTTGCGCAACATTTTACGATTTTGTAAGTTTTTGTGCAACATTTTGGTTTTGTAAAGTACATGGAAGTGCTGCGCCTCAGAGATTTCAATGTGGGGAGAGCAGTGAACCCAGTTCACTGTATACAAAATTTGGCTGGGGTCCTAGGCTGAACCCTCAGATATCAATATATTCCCATACAAATCTGTCAAATTTCAATGTGTTCCCATACCAACCAAAATAACGCCCAAAAGCCATACCACAAGTGAGATGTAACATATTTTCTATGACTATTCTCATACCAGAAAGTGGAAAAATCCAACCATTGCCATACCTCAAGTCATAATTTGGGGGGGGGGCATTCCCATACCAGATCCTAAAATTTGGGTCCATTGCCATACAAAATGTCAAAAAAGGTACCCCGTGTGCGCCGAGGATCCCCATCAAGGTTTATATACAGTGAACCCCCGGAGCAGCGGACATGTGATAAAAATGACATACGTTAGTTGGGACAGTATGTGTCTATTTTCTACTTTATTTGAGGAGAATTAAAGATTTTTACTAATAATATGTTCATTTCTCTATAAATGTGGTCACCACACACCACACATTTGTTGCAAATTGTGCACTTTCAATCTAAATGACTTCACCAATTGATAACATACTGGAGATACTACATTGAAGATGGTAAAGAATATATTGGTAAGCCACTTATATATGTTGATTGCACTTTTGTCACCTCCTGTAGCTTAGTTTCTGCCCTTAACAATGTTAATTATGTGAGAAGCCCAATACGAGGGGTGATCAATAAGTAATGGACGCTTTTTTACACAGATGCTTTTTATAGACCAATCTCTTCGATTTTCTTACCAGTGATACATCATTCAATTATCTATCAACTCTGAAGATTTGAAGACAATATATATATTACATGTTGATATATCCTTATTTCCGTGAAGGAGGTACAGGTACCCCGGGACCGACATTTACGTTACATATTCTGAAGCTATTTTAGATTGTTTAACATGCAATGCAGTTGAATGCAGGCTGAACAAAATAAACCATAATGGTCATGAATTACCCCATTTTGTTATGCCATAGTTGATTTTGAATATTTTATCATCACTACATGTATGTGGTATTCATGCCACATTCATTCCACAGGGCCCCAGGCCTGTAGCCAGGATTTGCCAAGGGGGGGTTCAGTTTTCAAAAATTTCCAGGGGGGGTTCACATTTGACAATTTAGGCCCTAATATGGTCAAAATCACTTGAAAAGTGCTCAAAATGGTGAAAAACTGCATGATTTTGAAAGAATTTTTGGCCAGGGGGGGGGGGGGTTCGCCCGAACCCTGCGAACCCCCCCTGGCTACGGGCCTGGGGCCCTCTACATAGGTTCCATCAAGTGCTACATGTACACAATTCCTCATATCCTCTAAACTCAAGATTGTTAGACAAGGCTGAATTCATTCTCTGACATGGTAGCAAGATGCAATTGCACGGGTTGTTTTATTTCATCGATGTCAATAAACCTGCGTCCTTTCTCTATAGAGAAATAAGTAGTATAGAAAAAATAAACAAGTCACATGTGAGCAGATCTGGACAAAATGGTGCATTGGCCAAGGGCTCAATTTTGAGGTCCATGGATATTGTTTTCTGAACATTTTGAGATCTGTGGGCAGGTGCATTGTTCATATGTAGTAGGGTGTTCCCTTCTCTCACCACCCCTTTCTTCCACAATGCTTTCTCAAATTGACCTGCAAACCCCTTCCATACAACACTCTGACATTACAATACTTTCTGTTTGTGTGTTACCAATCAGCAAAAATGTTTAAATAACACAACACGTGTTGCATATAAAAAGTTCAAATCTAACTGAAATTTACCAAACTGGCTAAAAACTGAATATGTTAGGTAAATGTCGGTCCCGGGGTACCTGTACCTCCTTCATGGAAATAAGGATATATCAATATGTATTACATACCCAGCGAAGCATTTGTATTGAAGTCAATGGAGCTGAAGGTCGGCTAAATATTCCTGTATAGCCGCCAAACCCTTTACCATGACAATCTTATGATGTCATCGGGACGTCATGTTTCATTTCTTCCTAATTTCACTCGCACACAGACATGTGGCGTCATTGATATAACGTAGCCATGATATAAAAGTATGTAATACAACAGTTATGTCCGTATCATTGAATATATGCCTTCGGTCTGTCGTAATATAACCCTCGCAAGCTCGGGCTATATTGGTGACAGACCTTAGGCATATATTCAATGATAGGGACATAACTGCTAAGTATTATATATTTTGTCTTCAAATCTTCAGAATTGATAGATAATTGGATGATGTATCACTAGTTGGAAAATCAAAGGGATTGGTCTATAAAAAGTATCTGTGTAAAAAGCGTCTATTACTTATTGATCACCCCTCGTATTAGAACAATTTTAAGTAAAGAAACATGAACTCAGATGTGCTTTTTTAATACCATTATAAACTTAAGGCTCTTAAGGCATAATCAGATCTATAGGGGGTGACAAAATTGCAAGCAACGTGTACAATCTGACCTACCTGCATAATATCTATTCCATATTATCTCAAATGTAATATCTCTCATGTTGTGAATTGGTGAGATTATCAAGGATTCAAAATGCAAAAATGGTAGAAAGGTGCTCTCTCCCAAATACTCAAAACATGGTAACCATTCAAAATAAAAATTGTAAAAATCTTTATATTTCCTGGAGTAAAATATGCACTTTGGGAATTTTTTGAAAACAGGCATCAAGACAAGGAATGGTATGAGCCAAAAATATTTTTTAATTGAATTTTTTTGCTTTCTTACTCGCAAGATTTTATTCTCTCTTTAATAAATGTCTTGAAAGCCCATGATGTAACATACCTCCATTTGGGCACCATTTTGGTGTTTTGGTGCCTTTATTAGGATCTGCTTCATTGTCTAAAAGCAACTTCATACATTGGAAATGTCCTTCCTCCGCGGCGATGTGCAGAGCTGTAATTCCATATCTGTCTTCAAAGTCAAGATCCGCTGAAACAGACAATTCGTATTCTGTGTTATTGTTCACTTTTGATCCACTTAGGTCGTAATCATCACTATCTTTTAAATCATATAGAGAGACTGACAGTCTGACAGTAAATACCAAGATCTGGTAGACAAGGCCATGACAAGGGGGTGGCATGCAATGCAGTACCCAATAGAAGTGCGATGTAGGGGGTTCCCAACCTCCTCAATGCGCTACCTTCTATCTCAGCTAGGATTAACACCATCCAAGCTGAAGTCAGCAGATAAAGCAGTAGGTGCCATGGCAGAGTCCAGCTCACGGTTGCTCTGGCTCAAGAAGAACGACAAGTGGTGTCCTTCAGTGAGCGATGTTTAAGACCAAACAATCGCTGCCCCGCTCAGATTATGCATACAGGCTAAGGGGCGAAATGTGACGATCTGAGATGCCTGCTGATGACGCAGCAAAGGACACTCACTAAATTTTCCTACGAAGACATCCGCCAGTAATAGTTCCTTTTCGATTTATACAGAGTGACTGATTATGAGAAAACGTTCATCTATTCCTATTTTTACCCACAATTCAATGTTGTTTATCACTATACATAAAGTCCATTTCACTGCTTCAGTTCGTCAGTAGAACGGCAAAAATAAGAAATTGGGAGACCATTGTGCAATAATATATGGAAAAGTATATTCATAATGTACATGAATGACATTGGTATATCTTGGATTGCTTCTAGTTTGGCTTATAAAGTGTGTGGCCTCTTATATTTGGATGTTTCTCTGCCATGTTATTTTCAATAAGATTAACATGGCTGAAATTCTTCAAATTACAAGACGGCACAAGCTTATTGCACAAAAAACTAAAAAATCTGAAATATACAAATGTCATTCATGTACATTATGAATATACTTTTCCATATATTATTGCACAATGGTCTCCCAATTTCTTATTTTTGCCGTTCTACTGACGAACTGAAGCAGTGAAATGGACTTTAGTCTAATGAGGATGAATTTGAGGAGTTGTGACATGGACTATGGTAATTCACTCTATTATAATATATAAAATGACTAAATCTCGATAATAAATAATGTGACATAAAATACATACCTCCATTTTCGATCAGAATATTTACAACGTCGATATGGCCATTTTTCACCGCACTTTGAAGAGGGGACTTGAAATTCAGTGACGAATAAAACAGATCTTTCGTGTATTCTCGGGCATTGACAGACAAACCTCCGTCGAGTAATTCTTTAACATCTTTGATGTTTCCTACACCAGCTTGTTCGACCAGTCGTTTCCCCGATTGAATCTGTTTTTGGAGAGCTTGGCTTCCGCGGAATTTTTGAAATGCCATCTTCCCGGAACATGTTCTTCAAATGAAGAGGCTTGAAAATGGCCGGGAAATCCGGACGGACTAAGCGCTATCCCGATTTGGTAAATATGCTCTTATTCCTGATGCAATCTTCATAAATATATGTCCCACAAATACTCTAGATAATAAGTAAGATAATGAGCTAAAAATTAGTTCAGATGGCGTTCCATTTATATGGCAATCGTAGCACAAAGTTGATCATGAAAATTTAAAGTTTTCAAGTTCCTGCGCTTGAACACATTCCACTTTTGTTGGTTCTCTATGAAGAACAATAAAGTGTTCTTGTAATCCTAGACTATTTATATGAATTTCACATTTGTTTTAAATTAGTATGGAACCAGCTGGCATTTAGGGTATATCATTTTGAATATGTATTGTTTCTCGAAACCCTTCTTGAAAAGTTTGTTATTGAACACATTCCAATTAGTAAGGTTTCACTTTCACTATTTTTATTCATTCAAACATTTTGTGACAAAAATATTGAAGTACATGTTTGCCTAATATAGATAGATAGCCATAACTATCAAATTTGTGAGGAATGACTACGTTACATCTGGAAACCTGGTAGTGTTATCGTGAAAGCCTGGTATAACTGTGACAATGCTATATTATATTGCAAGGCATGTCATGACTGTGGTAATGTTAAAGCCTGATATGATCATGACAATGCTATGTTATATTGCAAGGCCTGCCATGACCGTGGTAATGTTAAAGCCTGATATAACATTTTTCATTACAGTATTCTCATGCTACTAAATGTCATTTAATATAACCATTGTCACGGTCATATTGTGCTTTAATATTACCTATTACCACGGTCGTGACAGGCCTTGAAACCATTGTCACGGTCATATCAGGCTTTAACATTACCATGGTCATGACAGGCCTTGCAACCATTGTCACGGTCATATCAGGCTTTAACATTACCACCGTTATGACAGGCCTTGCAATATAATATATCAATGTCATGGTCATATCAGGCTTTAACATTACCATGGTCATGACATGCCTTGCAATATAATAATGCATTGTCACAGTCATATCAGGCTTTAACATTACCATGGTCATAACAGGCCTTGCAACCATTGTCATGGTCATATCAGGCTTTAACATTACCATGGTCATAACAGGCCTTGCAACCATTGTCACGGTCATATCAGGCTTTAACATTACCATGGTCATGACAGGCATTGCAATATAATATAGCATTGTCACGGCTATACCAGGTATTACAATATCACTCCCACAGTCATGGCAGGATCCTTGGTCACATTAAAAACACTTAATAAGAACATGGTGTCACGGTTGTGCCAGGCATAAGTCTTGCAACAGATAGGGACTCAATCTGATTGGTTGGCTTTCACATTAACCCTTATCACTGGATTTCTTCTGTGTTTTCATTCACTTAGATAGCCCGGTATAGATTGTTTAGCTGTGACTTATTCTGTGCCAGGACACAATAGACTATTGTCCTGGTACTCAGGGTAAACTGTAACAATTTCAGTAAGTACTTCCTATTGGATGCTGCCTAAATCAAGTTCACATTTTAGGCTTTTGATTGACTGAGACTATCTCTACATATTTCAGCGCTACAAGTTTATTCGGTCTCTTATTTCTTTGGAACACTGGCAGCGTCAAAGGCAATATCTGAAGCAAGCTGCTGACTGGACGTCAAAGGCAATTGTGTCGCTGGATCTACATGGAGAGTCAGTCAAGTCTATAAAGCAAGCCTCACAACTTGAAGGGGTGAGTTTAGTAGCACATAACATGTTATTTTCAACTAAGTACAAGTTTCACACTGGAATAGCCTGACAACGGCAAAGTCAGATACCGTTGTCACAAATGGCTGACATAACCGTCGCTTCAACTGTTTAATCACTTGCAGGTCCTCATTTCATGAGATTTTATTGTCCCTAATTCTGTGCATGTATTAAGCTCTTGTGATAATGTATCATATGAAATCCCATTTTCGATCAAATTGGGTCGTTAATCGCCACAATATAGCGTCTTCAATATCGTCAATGACAACGGAATCTGATTTTGACTAATTTTAAAAGACAATGGCATATGGAAAAAATTACAGTGTCCGTTGTCCCGTATCTCAAATCTAATTGAAGCGACTGTTATGTCCGCCATTTGTGACAACGGTATCTGACTTTACCATTGTCAGGCTATTCTGGGTTGACTTTGGGCTTCTTGCAATTTCTGACTCAAGTTAACTTTGATTGTGAACCCTATCACTCGTTGATAACATACCTTTTATAATATTCAGATTGGGCGTCTTATTGGGTCAAGGCTGAAAGACCATGAGACTGCGGAGACATACAGTCTAGAACCACCAGCTATTGGAAAGTGTGCCAGTTCTGCATCAGCGATACTTGTGGCGATTATTAACAAGCAAGATGAGATGGTGGCCCAGGGTGCGAAGTAAGTATTTTCATCTAAACATATCTCTGACTGTCAAAGATCATCTCAAAATGACATGATGTTGTTTTCAGTTTTACGAATTTAAAGCTGAATATATTGTTACTCACGTGTTTATATCAAAGTTATTGAAATATCTGCAAATATACTTCTATGCACCATCAATCCATCTCCGAACTTTAATATATGAGATTTATACAGAAGTTCATCCTTCTTCAAAGGACTTCATTTATGCTTAAATTCATATATATATACATATATATGTGTAAAATACCCTTGCAGCAAGGATGACAGAAGTTTGTTATAATCTCTTTAATATATTATATTTTTTTCAGTGCAGGTGACAAGCTGTGCATTGAGGAAGATGTTATAAAGGACACAGCTGCGCAGATGTGTGAAGAAACATTCATCGACACTTCCACAAATAATGGTGCTTGTTTATTTTATTTTTTTGTGAGTCGTTGCAAAATCTAGATGATTTTATTCTTCTATTGAAACATACAATGATTTGTTTATGCTTTTGTTGCTCAGTTTTCACAAAAAAAGTAAATCATGAAAAAATTCATGGTTGTTTCATAAATCAGATTTTCTTTATTCATACCTCAAAGATATGTAATATCAACCGAATAGCTACAATGCCCATCCTAACAATGAAATGTTTTTAAAATCCAGGGGGGTTCACATTTGACAACTATGGACCAAAATCATGTGAAATGTGCTCAGAATGGTAAAAAAACTCCCCTTCCCACTATGTGCCTGGATTTTGTCATACTGCTTCGTAGACAAAATACTTTTTTTTAGGTTTGATGTTTTCAAAAAAGAAGATCTATTAATTTTGTAAGCTCATTATGCTTAGAAACAGTTTAGGGTTACAGCCCTTTGAATATGACTTTTAAAGAAATATTAATGATTTCCAGCATTTTGTCCTGCATGGCAAAGAATCACTGCCCTTGTTAGTAGAGGATTTGTGAAGAAGCGCCAAATGAACAGAAAGCCAGTTTATCAGCTGTTGCCATTAGGAGAGGACCTTGCAAAGAGGCTAAGGGATAAGATAAATGGTAAAAATCTGTTTATATTTTTTTTAATCAATATGTTTTTTTCATGAATACAAGCATACAGTGAATAAACAGGGTCTGGTCAAATGTTCTTCCGTCCCCATCTGTTTATGCAGTTCTGTTTGATATTATTCCATTCCCGACTTCATAAATTAAGCATGGTGAATCATATGGTGAATCATATGGGGATATAATCTGTCTGCTGATAATGAAATTGATAATAAAGCAGTTTCATGTATCCATAGTCTAAGTAGCATCCTCAAGTATTCTTGTAAAGGTGAATAAGGTGGGGGGGGGCTGAGCTGGGGAGGATATGGGGGGAATAGAGTAGATTACCAATCTAATCTTATGTAAGATTTACTTTTTATGCCGCTGCTTATACAGGACACTTGATTGTAAAACCAACTTTTGACATTTGTATCAACAGCAACAGCACAGACTGACACTAAACCCCCCTCTACAGCACAAAGGAAAACTCCAGCTTCTAAACCAAAACCTAAGGAATCTGTTAATGCTAGTGCCACCAAACCAAAACGTGGACGGCCAAAGCCTGATGATATTAAGGTCCCAACAGCCAGAGAGAGAGATGAGGAGGCCCTGTACACCAACGACAAGGGAGAAGATGGGATTGTGCTGATTGTGGACACCCAGGAATGGGGTGGAGACAATGTTGGACTCGGAGAGGTGACCTTCTTGATTTTTGTCACTTATGTCACGGTTGTCACCACCAAATGACAAATGTGGTGACTTATTGTTATTGTCTCCAACTTTTTGTGGACTGTGTTCAGTGGTGACATTTTGCATGTTAATGCAGAGGAAAGGCAATCTTGTTTAACTCTTTGAACTCATGGTATAACTAAACTATACTCAGCAAAATGGAAAGTGCTAGCTCTATAATAAAGAAGACCCTCATGGCATTTTCCTGAAACATGAACCAACTTTTTTTTCATCCTACCAAATCCAAGATATATTTTTCCCAACAATCTTACATGATAAATAAACCTTAAAAAGTTGCTTGGTAATTTATAGTTTACGCTTAGCCCTAATGAGAACCCTTCTAACTAGTTATACCAATGTGGTGTATTTACAGTTGATACGTCTACTGCAGCAGCAAGGCATAGTGTATAAGACTAAGAGACTGAAATGCGGGGACTACAACTGGATCTGGAGATGTGCAGGAGAGGAGAGAACGTTGCCATTAGTGATCGAGAGAAAAAGAGCAGGTAGCCAATACTTTAAACTAGTATTATGTCACCAACACAAGTGGTGACATATTGTTATAGTCTCTAACTTTTTTGTGGACGGTGTTCAGTGTTCGGTTGTTGGTGTTTGTAACAAATGGCAGGTGGTGACATTTTGCATGTTATTGCCTTGTTTACTTTTTATCACACCATCGGTGGGATATAGTCGTCATACTGGTCGTGGTCGTGATCATGGTCGTGGTCGTGGTCGTGATCGTTGTCGTGATCGTGATCATCCCGCTTTTTGTCATCGCTGTTTAAGGAAAACTGCTCATCAGATTTTCTCCAAATTCGCAGAGATGATAGAGCATATGAAGTAGAGCTGATTAACTTTTGGGTGGCCATCTTGTTTTCTGGCGGCCATTTTGAAGGTTTTTCGAAAAATCTTGTCATCGCCATTTCAGGAAAACCGCTCATTGGATTTCCTTCAAATTTACACAAATGATAGAGGATATCAAGTACTAGAGCTGATTAACTTTTGGGCGGCCATCTTGTTTTCTGGCAGCCATTTTGAAGATTTTTCGAAAAATCTTGTCATCGCCATTTCAGAAAATCCGCTCATCGGATTTCCTTCAAATTTTCACACATGATAGAGGATATCAAGTACTAGAGCTGATTAACTTTTGGGCGGCCATCTTGTTTTCTGATGGCCATTTTGAAGGTTTTTCGAAAAATCTTGTCATCGCCATTTCAGGAAAACCGCTCATCGGATTTCCTTGAAATTTACACAAATGATAGAGGATATCAAGTACTAGAGCTGATTAACTTGTTTTCTTGTTCTTGAAATTTGTAAACATAATAGGAGAACAGTTTTCCTGGTTCATAGTGTCTGCCTATTTGATGGTGTGATCTTGTTCACGTCCTGTGCCTTGTTAATTTTTTTTACATTTTTTAAATTCATTAAATGTTTAATGCACCAATCATCCGTAAATGCCAAAATTCACAGGGATTAAAATTGTTTGAAAAAATTCAGTTGGTCAAAATTCCATAAAATACATGTACAGGGTGGTAAAAACGGAAACCCTGCATTTTCCTTATATCTTTGTCATTTTAAAACATTACTCCCTTATATTTGATATATTTGTACATCATTCAATTTCCTTCTACCCTACTGTATTTCATGACCATCAGACTGATAGTCACAATTTTACAGCACTTTGAACAACATGGTTCACTCTATCTCTGCTATATACCCACAGGTAGGGACATTTTGGACGACATGTGAAGGTTTCCCTACAGGGCAATAGTGGCCACTGCGGCATGTTGTTTAAAGTGCTGTAACATTGAAATAAAGTAGGCTGGTAAGAAATTGAATGATGTACTAATGTGTAAAATATCAGGTAGTTATTTCTTGAAATGACAAAGCTATGAGGAAAATGGTATAAGGCTTTCTAGTTTTTTTGACCACCCTGTATTTAGTGCTCAGCTTTGGAGTGATCTGCCAAACATTTTCAGAGACATCACCATCCATCTCTTATTTTTAAAAGAATTTTAAAAGGAAATGTACATAAAATTACTCATAATTCTTTATTCTCTTATATCTGAATTTATACAATGAACTTTCACTCACATGGGACTCATATTTACCCCCCTATCACACCAAACTAGTTCTTACCCGTTCTTGCCAGTCCTACGAAAATGTCGTAAAACGGGCTCAATCTGGCTGCGGTCGGGATATATGTCTAAAATAATTAGCTACTTCGTTAATAAACAGTCTTCAATACATTAATCTCATTCGCAGTTCGTTCAGGTCGCACCACGTCGGTGTGCAACGTAGTATAAACCGTCCCTTAGTCTAGAAGGTCATCATGACCTGATTACAGAACGGTATGGTCGCCATCGAATTTTGAATCGATTCAAAATTCTAAATCACATACCCCGTTCTGGAAAGTCCATGAAGTTCTTAAACAGACCGTTGAACGTTGTAGCTATGTTCATTCAGTTCGCACACAGTTTAAAACCGATTTGGTAACGTTTTGATGATCACCAGAAAATTTTGAGCATGCTCTAAGTGCTGGAGGACCTACTCGTTCTAGTAGTTCCATGAAGTTTGTAAACAGATCCCAAACGGTTCTTAGTGGGTTCTTAGTACGTCAAATCCGTTCGTGCACAGTTTAAGCCCGTTTTCGAGAACGTAGTGAGAACTAGTTTGGTGTGATAGTAGGGTTATGAGTTCTTTCACATATAACATATTTACAGCGGTTTCCTAGCATCATTTACTTTATGAATTTATTTGAAATTTTATAATCAGAAATACACATATACACTCAAAAACATAAAACATGGGTTAAATATTTTTTCCATATATCATGAAGCTCTTTACATTGTTAGGACATTAAAAAGCTATTTATTATTATCCCATCGAACGAAGTTCGGAGGGATATAGGGAACGCCTCCGTCCGTCCGTCCGTCCGTACGTACGTCCGTCCGTCCGTCCGTACGTACGTCTGTCCGTCCGTACGTACGTCCGTCCGTCCGTCTGTCCGGGCAATAACTCAAATACCGTTGGCCCGATTTTATTCATATTTTGTACACATATACCCTATGGGGGTAGAAGTTCTGCTCGAAAGCCGATTTTCAAAATGGCCGCTCATTTAAAAATTGCGGCCATTTTAGTGCCGATTTTACAGTAATTTAGGTGCAATATGTAAAACTGTAATAGCAATATGTTTTAAATGTAAAAAAAACTATATAGGACATTAATAAAGCTAGAAATGTAGATATTAAAAAAGCACATGGCAGCCATCTTGAAAAATGGCGGCCTTTACTCGTTATTTTACGATTTTTGCTGTAACTCGAAAAGTAGTGGAGCGATATTGTTCATATTTGGTATGTGAATACTATAAGCATGGTACACTGTCTAAAGACACTTTTGGTAGAAGGCGGCCATTTTGAAAAATGGCGGACATTTTGAAAAATGGCCGCCGTTTTAACTTATTTTACTAAAACTCGAAAAGTAGTGGAGCGATTTTGTTCATATTTGGTACGTGAATACGTATAAGAATGGCACACTGTCTAATGACACTTTTGGTAGAGGGCGGTCATTTTTCAAAATTGCCGCCATTTTAACGTATTTTACTATAACTCGAAAAGTAGTGGAGCGATTTTGTTCATATTTGGTATGTGAATACTGTAAGCATGGCACACTGTCTAATGACACTTTTGGTAGAAGGCGGCCATTTTGAAAAATGGCGGACATTTTGAAAAATGGCTGCCATTTTAACTTATTTTACTATAACTCGAAAAGTAGTTGAGCGATTTTGTTCATATTTGGTACGTGAATACGTATAAGCATGGCACACTGTCTAATGACACTTTTGGTAGAAGGCGGCTATTTTTCAAAATGGCCGCCATTTTAACGCATTTTACTATAACTCGAAAAGTAGTGGAGCGATTTTGTTCATATTTGGTATGTGAATACTATAAGCATGGCACACTGTCTAATGAGACTTTTGGTAGAAGGCGGCCATTTTTCAAAATGGCCACCATTTTAACATATTTTACTATAACTCGAAAAGTAGTAGAGCGATTTTGTTCATATTTGGTATGTGAATATTATAAGCATGGCACACTGTCTAATGACACTTTTGGTAGAAGGTGCCCCTTTTGAAAAATGTTCGATGGGATTCGCTAGGCTTTGGCGTTGCCGTTGTTCTGGTTGTTTAATGTGACCGCCATGTAAAATACACTTCAAAAATCACAATTATTGCTTGTATATACAATAAAACCTGTGTACATTGAATACATTTGGAGCCACAAAAATGTTACCTATAAGGTGTGCAAAGAGAGTCTTTTATATACAGTATGTAAAACACACTTCAAAAATCACAATTATTGCTTGTATATACAATAAAACCTTTGTACATTGAATAAATTTGGAGCCACAAAAATGTTACCTATAAGGTGTACGAAGAGAGTCTTTTATATACAGTTGGAAGTATATATTACATTCAGAGAAAGTATGCATGCAAGAACTTTTCACAAGGATAGGCTAATTCATTGTAGTTCAAATTTTAACATATTTTGAATACTGTAGTTACTTAGAACATGGTATTGATGGAAACATGGCCCTCTTCTCCCTTCGACCCCCTCCTGTCAGTGCTTAATGCTTCATGGAAGTATCTCTTCAGGGCCCCTATGTCCTGTGAAAGTATGTCTTTAAGAGGTCATTGCCCCTGCAAACATAATGCCACTATCTGGTGCTTTATCAGAATTAAAACTATTATCAATTGAGTTTTTTTATCGCACTTTTTCAAAGTGCTATATTATCATGGTATTTTGTTAATGGGGATGCATGTATCCATTTGTGTGAATGGATTGATTAGATCTGATACCATGTAGTTTAGAAATTATATGAGATAATCTGTGGCTCACTGTTGAGTCACTATAATGGCTCAATGTCTCCTTCAGGCATCCATTGACCATGAACTAAGATTAAATAACTAATAATATCACAATAAGTACACCTTTCATGTTAAACATAGTCTTAATAATATAGAATCATTTCTTTTCGTATTTGCACTTCATATTCATAAAATGAGTGTTGTGCTGATGTAACCTGTACATAATCCCATCAAACAACTTTTGAGGGGGATATAAAGAAGCTGTCCATCCATTGTCTTTAGACTGGACTCACTCGGTATCTTTTGTCATTTGCTCAATCTATTTGGTTGTGGTCTCCAATGGTGGTGTTGTGTTTTTGTTTGCTTCTTCAGAACTCACATTTTCACATTTGTCTCCATAGTAACTAGGGGGGCAGATACATATTAGATCTCCATAACTATTTACAGTGCAAGTTCCACCATTTTTGCAATATGGATTGCCACCCCTTCCTGCTCTTCTACACAGTCTCTCTGAAACAGTAATGTAATACATATGATTGAAATAGATAATAACTACATAACCTTCATTTTAACATTTTTGCAATATGGATTGCCACCCCTTCCTGCTCTTCTACACAGTCTCTCTGAAACAGTAACATGTGATACATATGATTGAAATAGATAACTACATAACCTTCATTTTAACATTTTTGCAATATGGATTGCCACCCCTTCCTGCTCTTCTACACAGTCTCTCTGAAACAGTAACATGTGATACATATGATTGAAATAGATAACTACATAACCTTCATTTTAACATTTTTGCAATATGGATTGCCACCCCTTCCTGCTCTTCTACACAGTCTCTCTGAAACAGTAACATGTGATACATATGATTGAAATAGATAACTACATAACCTTCATTTTAACATTTTTGCAATATGAATTGCCACCCCTTCCTGCTCTTCTACACAGTCTCTCTGAAACAGTAACATGTGATACATATGATTGAAATAGATAACTACATAACCTTCATTTTAACATTTTTGCAATATGGATTGCCACCCCTTCCTGCTCTTCTACACAGTCTCTCTGAAACAGTAACATGTGATACATATGATTGAAATAGATAACTACATAACCTTCATTTTAACATTTTTGCAATATGGATTGCCACCCCTTCCTGCTCTTCTACACAGTCTCTCTGAAACAGTAACATGTGATAAACGTGATTGAAATAGATAACTACATAACCTTCATTTTAACATTTTTGCAATATGGATTGCCACCCCTTCCTGCTCTTCTACACATGCAGTCTCTCTGAAACAGTAACATGTGATATACGTGATTGAAATAGATAACTACATAACCTTCATTTTAACATTTTTGCAATATGGATTGCCACCCCTTCCTGCTCTTCTACACAGTCTCTCTGAAACAGTAACATGTGATACATATGATTGAAATAGATAACTACATAACCTTCATTTTAACATTTTTGCAATATGGATTGCCAACCCTTCCTGCTCTTCTACACAGTCTCTCTGAAACAGTAACATGTGATACATATGATTGAAATAGATAATAACTACATAACCTTCATTTTAACATTTTTGCAATATGGATTGCCAACCCTTCCTGCTCTTCTACACAGTCTCTCTGAAACAGTAACATGTGATACATATGATTGAAATAGATAATAACTACATAACCTTCATTTTAACATTTTTGCAATATGGATTGCCAACCCTTCCTGCTCTTCTACACAGTCTCTCTGAAACAGTAACATGTGATACATATGATTGAAATAGATAATAACTACATAACCTTCATTTTAACATTTTTGCAATATGGATTGCCAACCCTTCCTGCTCTTCTACACAGTCTCTCTGAAACAGTAACATGTGATATACGTGATTGAAATAGATCACTACATAACCTTTATTAAACTGTTACTCCTAATGAATTCTCCATATTCTCTCTATGCTGATACTTATTTTATGGGTTTCCATATTGGTTATACGAGTATACACCATTGGCCCTGTTTCCCCCTGCCTCATAAAAATTGGTGCGTTTGTCCAAAATCACCATGTAAGCCCACCAAATGGTGCTATTCTTTATTGAGACTTACCTATGTTGACTTCACATTCTTTTCCCGCATATCCAGGCTCGCAAACACAAGAGAAATAGTGTTGCGTGGTTTCATCATTAAATGTACAATTTCCATGCTGACAGTCTAGCATAGAGCAAAACGCATCTGAAATAAATAAAGTTGAAGTTGATGTTCAGTTGATTTCTATACTTCTCTTGAATGGTATCTCAGAGACAAGTTCATTAATGAAGAAATATTTTTGATTCAAGTGGTTGGTAAATCTACATGTCATAATATGGAGAAGCGGGTTAACCATTACGAAGGGTGTCAAAAAACCAAACCAGTTGTTTTAGGTGTTATGTAAATTGTGTATTAACATGTAAAATCCTGTTTTTTTTTATAAAACTCCAGGCTGTAATATATACTTGGTGGCAAAACTCATAACTGGCAATATGTAATAAATTCTACATTTACTGCCTGTATAAACTTACCAGATGGTTCATCACAGAAGCGACCTTTGAAGTATGGCTTACATTGACATTGGGCATCAGATGTTTCGCCATCTATTGTGCACCAAGAACCCTCCTTGCAGAGATCTCTTATCACAAACTCCTCGCATGGGCTCTCTGGTGATAATTAGGATACATATATGGGATAATACATCCGTACACATTTATATACTATCAGAGCTTTTTTGGTAAATAACAATATCTGAATTTTAATTTCTTTTATGATGTTTGAGTGGAACTCTTGCGGATCAATTTGCACAAAAAATGTTTTCATGAAAATGATTATAAAGATATTTTTAGCAAAAATAAACATGTAGTCAATACATTTTGTTTAAACTGTTCTTTGTGATATCAAAGATGGTGGCAATGAATTTTGTTTTCTAGATTTAATTAGCAAATGAAAAGCCTAGTTTCCGTTTATATTACTACGAGTGTCTGAGTGTCATCTGATATGATACTGTGAGAGAAGTTTTCAAAACTTCTCGAGATATTTCTTTGACTGTTGTCACTGTCAGTTGAAATCAAATGAATGGGTATACTTTTTTTGATACTCGATTTAGACTGACAACATATACATACATACAAAAATATACTGTACCTTTTGTGTAAAACACACACCAAGGATCTCCTTCAAATTCAGGCTCCCATCTGCCATTTACACATATCTGTTCTTTCACTGGTTCTACAAATACTGGATATGTCTTATTAGAGCAACTCCAGTCGACTTTGGAACCACAGTTCATTCCATTTGATATAGCAGTATCACCCTCTCGTCTGTCTATAGCTTTATTGGGAGGACATGAGCATGAAGGTTCTTCACAGTTTGGTCCTGTGAAGTTTGCTGGACACAAGCACATGGCTCTATTTAGGTCGATTTTATCAACAGTACATGTTCCTCCATTTTGGCAAAAGGGAGCGCTACCTGTGCTTGCTGCAGTGCAAATATTTTCTAGAAATCACATAAAATGATCAATAATATTTTGTGAAATAAAAATTTCGAACCAGGACAGTCTTCTCTTTTGTCTTATTGCTCAATTTTACCCAATCTCTGTTCCACAACTAGTTACTTTGACGAAACGTCAATGTAACAAAATGGATGAACTTCCTAGATACGAGTTTTTTGGTTTAAGTCATGTTGCGGGTTATCATTTGACAAAAAATTAGGTAATATAGTCTAGCTTTTAGAAATGCTCTCGGTTCCGAATTTGATTTTTGAATAAACTGTTATTCATGCATTTAGACCATCGCTTTTGTTACATTGACATAAGTCATCAAAGTAACATACATTGGTAATGACTTTTGTCAATGTAACAAAAGCGAGGAGCTAAGTATATGAATTGCAACTTCATGCAAATTCCAAATTGAAGAAACTTGTTAAAACTAGACTATATTTTCTACCTTTGTGCTAATTGATAATCTGCAACTTGACTTATAAGTAGGTTTAAATCGAGAAATTAAAAAACTTGTAACCAGGAAGTTCATCCACTTTGTAACATTGACGTTTCATCAAAGTAAATAGTTGTAGAACAATGCCAATGAAGTAAGACATTAGAAACACGACATGAAAGCTGAAAAAATATAGACAAACTTTCTATCTTACACATTTGATTTAAAAATCTATACTGTGTTCCCAAATAGAAACTGATTTGCAATTTTAAAATTGCCATGCATTAATACCTTAAAGTATTTCCTCACCATTTATCAATATATTAAAGAAAAAAACCTACCAATGTCGACATTACAACTTGGACCTCCATATCCTGGCTCACATTCACAGTAGAAGTAGTGATCGGGATCCTTGTCATGAAATATGCAGTTGCCATGGACACAATTTATCATCGAGCAATACTTGTCTGGAATTGAAATTCGATCAGCATTAATGTGCATTAAAGGAAGAATATTGTGAGTGTAATACAATTGAATACATTGAACAATGAATTTACATACTTTTTGTTGCTTGGTTGAATGGCTATGGATCTCAAGTGTTCCCAAGAGGAAGATAAAATTACAAGAAATGGGTCAAGCCAAGTTGGGAATATTTGTGCAAATTTCCTTCATGGATCGAAAAATATCATTTAACTCAATATAGGTGGCGATGTGTTTAAAGGTACATTGTAGGTCAGTTGACAAAACTGAAACATCTTTTGTCAATATCTGGGTGGGTGCTTTTTTTCAGGCTCGGGTATTTTGACAAAAGTAAATTGGGGTCATAGTCATTCTTCAGGGCAGGTTTGAGGCACCAACGATTGATTTTGGAGTTTTTCTAAGGAATGAACCAACAAAACATGTTTATACAAGATAAGATTAGATAATGATAAGATAATATTAGATAAGATAATGTAGAAACTCCCATTTGACTACCTCTTCAATGAATTCCCATATAAACTCACCAGATGGTTCATCACAGAACTCGCCTGTGAAGTATGGCCTACATTGACATTGGGCATCAGATGTTTCTCCGTCTACTGTGCACCAAGAACCCTCCTTGCAGAGATCTCTCTTAACAAACTCATCACAGGGGTTCACTAGTAATAAACATACCATCGGTTTAAATGTTGTGTGGTTTATGATATTCTCAAGATAATGTCATAGTTCAGAAGAATTAATTTTTATCAATGAAAAAACAATTTGAGAAAAAACAATTAGTTACTATAGCAACAATAAAATGTTACATTAAGCTGTCAAATTTTGATGAAACTTGGCATCATATTGAAAGGTTTGTGTTTGCATACCTTTTGTATAGTCAGCGCACCAAGGATCTCCTTCAAATTCTGGCTCCCATTTGCCATTCACACACGTTTGCTTTTTCACTGGTTCTATAAATACTGGATAGTTCCTTTGAGAGCAACTCCATTCAACTGTGGATTCACAATCCATTCCATCTGATAATCTAGTAACCCCCTCTTGCCTGTCCAAAGCTTTATTAGGGGGACATGCACATCCAGGTTTTTCACAATATGCTCCAGTGAAGTTAGCAGGACACAGACAGACAGCTATTGATGGGTTATCTATATCAACAGTACATGATCCTCCGTTTTGACAAAAGGGAGCACCACCCCTACTTGCTCTTTGGCAGATACGCTCTGTAAATCAATGAAACTATACAGTAAACTTATGTTACCTTCATGGGCTTTTTATTTTAATTCATTAACCATGTTTTTGAAAATGCAATTTGACATTATACTAGTTTCTTCGATTTTCAAGAAACTTATACTGAAACATCTTTTTATAAGAGGTATATCAGCATCCTCCGTCGCAGGTGTCCAGATTCAGTACCTCCTTCTTCCCCCCTGCTATCACCAACTTGGAAGCGCCCGATTAAACTGAGTAACGTGATCTAATTATGCAACGGACAACGAATCAAATTGCGTGTTCTTAATCGGGGAAATGCTAACTGCTTATAGCAGGGTGTAAAAAGAAAGAAAATATTCTGGATTTTGAAGACCCGTGATCAGAGGATGGTATATCAGTAGTAGATAGATTTTAATCTATCTTCATTTTCATCCATTTGGTCACATGTTTTAAAATCATTCTCTTTGAATTAAAAGTAAGAAAACCCCTACCTATATTGATGTTACAATATGTACCGCCATATCCTGCCTCACATTCACATGAGAAGTAATGATCTGGATCCTTGTCATGAAAGGTACAGTTGCCATGGTGACAATCTATCATTGAGCAATAGTTGTCTGGAATTGAAAATCATTTTCCAAAATATGACATGCTATTGTCTGAGTGTTTCGAAAGGCATGTAAAATCTGTCATTGATTTATGGTAAGTGAGATGTAGAAATATTCATGATCTTTAGAGAAAACCTTAGTGATTTAGATAAAAAAAAGTCAGTGAAATGTTTAGAATTGTGTGATTTCCTTCACTTTTGACTGCTCTATATAATGTCATCTTTCTTTTGATATGAATGCATATTTACCAGTTGGTTCATCACAGAAGCGACCTCTGAAGTATGGCCTACATTGACATTGGGCATTGGATGTTTCTCCGTCTACCGTGCACCAAGAACCCTCCTTGCAGAGATCTCTTTTCACAAATTCCTCACATGGGTTCTCTATTGATAATTGGCATACATGGGGTAAAATGAGATGTAAATGTACATTTATATATTGACAGGCATTAGATCAATAGATAAATATTTCTTCATTTTAATTTTGTATTTACGTAAAGTAGTTCTCTGAGAATTAATTTGCAGACAACAATATTCTTTCTTTAGAACACCATTATATCAAACATTAAGACAAAGAAAGATCCACAATTGATTTTCTATATCTGGTAGGTCTATACAACATTATGTAACACATTGCATGAAACATGTCTTGGGAAATTTAATGAAATAATTGTCAGAGAAACTAGATGAAACCAGGCAAAACATATGATGATTAAAATAAAGAGGCCCTTATCTACGTTGAAGCAACGTCTGAGTTGAAAATGATTGAGTTTAATTTTTTTTTTCATTTTAATATATCTGACTTATGTTCCTATTGTGTATTATTGAGTGATCTACTATATTGTTAAAGTCTCAGTAGTGTACAATATTTGCAGTAATATGTAAGATTTACAATTACATCAACTTGATGCTTCAAGAAATGCAGTTTTGAAAATCGTGAACGACATTGTGGGAAAACACAAGAATTCTGAATCTTCAAACCTTAATTGACAATGTTTTTGACAAAAAGCTCCAGACTGAAAACATATGTATCATATACTGTACCTTTTGTGTAAAACACACACCACGGATCTCCTTCAAATTCAGGCTCCCATCTGCCATTTACACATATTTGTTCTCTCACTGGTGCTACAAATACTGGATATGTCTTATTAGAGCAACTCCAGTCAACTTTGGAACCACAGTTCATTCCATTTGATATAGCAGTATCCCCCTCTCGTCTGTCTATAGCTTTATTGGGAGGACATGAGCATGAAGGTTCTTCACAGTTTGGTCCTGTGAAGTTTGCTGGACACAAGCATATGGCTCTATATGGGTCGATTTTATCAACAGTACATGTTCCCCCATTTTGGCAAAAGGGAGCGCTACCTGTGCTTGCTGCAGAGCAAAGATTTTCTGTAAATCAAGTAAATTAATCATTTATATTTTGTAAAGTTCAAATTTTGAACCAGAGCTTTTAGTCTACTCTTTTATCTTATTACTCAGTTTTTCCAATTAAGTAACAAGAAACAAGACAAGTTATACTTAATATTTTACATAGAGAGCCACCAAACTTACAAGCTTAAACATTTTGAAAACTCAATTGTGTTCAAAAATAGAAACTGGTTTGCAATTTTGAAGTTGCACCTAAACAGCATTTCCTCACCATTCAACAATATATTGAAGATAAACCTACCGATATCAACATTGCAATTTGGTCCTCCGTATCCTGGCTCACATTCACAGTAGAAGTAGTGATCGGGATCCTTGTCATGAAATATGCAGTTGCCATGGACACAATTTATCATTGAGCAATACTTGTCTGGAATTGAAATTTGATCAACATTAATGTTATTACTGACAAGATAATGCAGAAAACTCTCCTTTGCACTACTTCTCCAATGAATTCCCATATGAACTTACCAGATGGTTCATCACAGAAGCGACCTCTGAAGTTTGGCCTACATTGACATTGGGCATCAGATGTTTCTCCGTCTACTGTGCACCAGGAACCCTCCTTGCAGAGATCTCTCTTGACAAACTCTTCACAGGGGTTCACTATTAATAAACGTACCATTGGTTTAAATGCTGTGTGGTTTATGATACTTATTGTTATTCTATAGATAAGTTCATAGATCAAAAGAATTTAATATTAAAATATTGTTTACAATTAGTAACTATAGCAACAATAAAATATTACTTAAAGCTGACGAATTTGGATGAAACTCGGCATCATATTGAAAGTTTTGTGTTTGCATACCTTTTGTGTAGGCAGCACACCAAGGATCTCCTTCAAATTCTGGCTCCCATTTGCCATTCACACACGTTTGCTTTTTCACCGGTTCTATAAATACTGGATAGTTCCTTTGAGAGCAACTCCATTCAACTGTGGATTCACAATCCATTCCATCTGATAATCTAGTAACCCCCTCTTGCCTGTCCAAAGCTTTATTAGGGGGACATGCACATCCAGGTTTTTCACAATGTGGTCCAGTGAAATTGGCAGGACACAGACAGACAGCTATTGATGGGTTATCTATATCAACAGTACATGTTCCTCCATTTTGGCAAAAGGGAGCATCACTGCCACTTGCTCTTTGGCAGATGCGTTCTGTAAATCAATGAAACAATATGCAGTAATATGCTTGTAGTAAATTCATGTCACATGGAACATTGGCCATGTTTTTAGGACACATTATATGAATTTATTTTCTCAGATAAAAATATATACTGAAACATTTTTTTGTTAGAGTTAGTATGGATGGATTTTTACCATCTTCATCCAGATTCCCTCCTTCATATGTTTTCAAACCATTCTTCTATAGAATTACCCTGTACTAGCGTTTATAGATATAAACTACCCTCTGCCTAGTGTAGACTAAATTAAGGTTCAGTAGCCCCACTCCCAGAACCTATGCCTGTTATAGGCCGGGTCATAAATAATTTCAAACCTACCACGCTAATCTTTTCTCAACAAATCGGAGAGCTAGAAGGAACACATCCTAAAAGCGTGCTTATTAGCAATGCAGTGAAGTCAGACAAAATTATGCTATATTGAAAGTCATCTATATTTCACTGACAAACTCTGAATGGGTCGGTGAGTTCAGAGATGTATTGTAAACTGAAAGAGTGAAGATGAAGCTCTCTTTTAAGAAGCAAAGTCAAACGAATGCAAAAGTTACTATAGAATCTACTAAGATATATTTAAAACCATGCTTCAAAACATTCCTTTAATTAAAAATAAAAAAAACCTACCTATATTGATGTTGCAATAGGGACCGCCATATCCTGCCTCACATTCACATGAGAAGTAATGATCTGGATTCTTGTCATGAAAGGTACAGTTGCCATGGTGACAATCTATCATTGAGCAATAGTTGTCTGGAATTGAAAATCATTTTCCAAAATATGACATGCTATTGTCTGAGTGTTTCTAAAGGCATGTTATATTCTTAAATGTCTGTTAGGTGTTAAAAAATCAACTTCAACACCAGCAATTTATGGAGAATTGGGACGCTACCCGTTAAAAATACGTTTTGAAATCAAATTAATTAAATATTGGCTCCGTTTACTTCACCTATCACCAGGAAACATTCTTCATAAAACATATATATATGACCGTGAAATGAGTCAATTTGGTTTTAAAGCCACTTGGTCAAACAAAGTCATTGATATTTTAAAAAAGTGTGATTTATTATCTTATTGGGATACTCAAAAGATTGATGATGACAATATTTTTATCAAGACAATAACAAAAACACTGTATCAGAATTATAACACTCAATGGAACAAAGATATATTAAATTACCCTGTCTTGAGAACTTATGTTAAATTCAAAAATGTCTTTGAAAGAGAGAGTTATTTAAATATCCAAAATAAAAATTACAGGCAAGCAATTTGTAGATTTAGGCTTAGTTCCCACAAGTTACATATAGAACTTGGTCGTCATTTAAAGCCAAAGCCAAAACCTGTAGATGAACGTTTATGTAATATTTGTGGTATTTTAGAAGATGAACAACACTTCATCATGATTTGTAAGAAAAACACTACAGAAAGAAAAATTTTGTTTGACACCCTTACACGATTTAATTTTGTAGGCAGTCCTGACATTATTTTTAAAAAACTAATGTCTCACAAAAATTCTTATGTAATTTTACATTTAGCAAAGTTCATCTATCATTCACTCAAAAAATTGGATTAATGTGTCAACGATGCATCACACTGATATTTAAATTTCTGTCAAGTTATATTTGTATTTTACAATTATCTTGTATTCTGTATTTTACATTTGATGATGTAATTAGAATTGTATTTGACAACAACTTTATTTTTGTATTCAATAGTTAGTTTAGTCTTAGGTCAGTTTTGTAGATTGTAGTTTTTAGTGACTAATATGTCATTGTAATGACATCAGAGAGTCAATAAAAGATATATATATATATTAAAATCTATAACTGATTTAGGGTTATAGACATCCTATTAGTGAAATATAGAAATCAGTGGCATAGTGTCATATACGCATGTATATAAATGCCATGACTTACTCTAAAAATTGAAGGAAAGTATTTTTTCATTACGTCACCACCAAAAAGTGCTGACATATTGTTATGGCGGTTGGTGTTTAGCAGTTGGTAGTTGGCGATCGGCGTCTGTTACAAATTCTTACAACTTCCAATAACAACTTCAATTTTTTTCAAAATCGTCTACATGTTTTTAGAAGTTCAAATCTGACTTTATATTTAAGATTGGCTGATACTAAGAAAATGCCCACGCTACGCCACTGGAAATATTCATGGTCTTAAGAGAACACCTGTGTGTGAAATGTTCAAAATTGTTTGATTTCCATCACTTGTGACTGGTGTATATTATACATCTTTCATTTAATATGAATGCATATTTACCAGTTGGTTCATCACAGAAGCGACCTTCGAAGTTTGGCCTACATTGACATTGGGCATCGGATGTTTCTCCATCTATTGTGCACCAGGAACCCTCCTTGCAGAGATCTCTCTTAACAAACTCTTCACAGGGGTTTTCTACAAGTCAATCTATCATATTATTGATAATCTGAAAACTCAGTATTATTTGATTAAATATCATTAAAATGTACCTGTATTTAGAAGTACCTGTATTTGCAATTATACATACAAGGATATTTCTTTCCATCATTTATAAGCAAGCTCTCAGGACATTTTTGTATTCATTGAAATGTTCTAAATGTTATATTGTTCATCATCAAATACATTCTCCATATGTAGAACTCCGTTCAATAGACAAGCTTATGTCTGTCATTAATTAGAAATGAATTGTTATTAGTAGACACATACACTGCAGTGATCCACATGACTACGCTGGTTACCAAAATGGTTCGGTAAGAAATTGTTGGAACCTCGAAGGTATGATTTTTCAATGGTACCTTTGAGGTTCTGACATTTTGCCGTTTCTGTAACCAGCCTCATCGAGTGGATCACCAGTGACATAACAAAGCACTTCAAGTGTATTATTCATCCTGTAAATCCTGTTAGTCTTCCTGGAAATTTTGGTAAAAATACTAGTATGAGAATATTTGTAGAGGTTTACCTTTTGTGTATGCCAAACACCATGGGTCACCCTCAAAGTCTGGTAGCCATTTCCCATCAATACAAGTCTGCACATAGACTGGTTCTACAAATGTTGGTTCTGTTTCCTCAGAACAGCTGAATATCACTTGTGATCCACAACTGAATAGATCCGTTAAGCGGGTGGTACCTACCCGGCTGTCCATAGCCTTGTTCACGCTACAAGCACATCCTGAAATGTGTTGATCACCACAATCAATAGTTGCCTTTAATGATACATAAATGTACATGGAAATGTAAAAGTCATGTACAAGACGTGAGAATAAGGAATATTAGAAAGAAACACCAAAGTCGCAAACCAAGACTGTGGTTCAATGGCGAAAAAAACCCACTTAAATTGAGCATTTTCTTCATCCATTCTGAACTATTTTGAGAGAATATTAGTTAGTCTGGTATGGGAAGACACCACTGATAGATACTTATCAGAAGGATGCATCTGAGATTACAAAATCAAAAAAACAAAATTTTGATCACATATCTATCACTTATCTTTACATTTCAATCTGATTTTTTTGTTAAAACTTTGTCATTTCTCAATATCTCTTGAACTTTGTGAAGCAGGGTGAGCACTTATTAGGAGGTGTGCCTTAAATATGGCCATTACGGTATGTCTCTACCTGTAGTAGTTATAGTCTCCAACCTATTTGTGGACGGTGTTCGGCAGTCAGCTGCTATAATAAATTCTCCCATTTGCAATAACTTACAAGGTGGTGACATTTTGTCATATTAATGTGTTTTTTTAATTTTCATCTCACATTCTCTTTCATGCCATTCTTACTATGTACATGTAATGTGGCATATAAAACCCATCTAGCCATTACATTGGCACTCACACAAAGGGCTCTTTATATCTCCAGAATAAGAGAGAAATATCCCTCTGCAATTATTTTACAAATAGAGACAGTTAAATTAGAAACAGCCCATTCCCTGTCAAACATATATGGCATGTATAACAACAAAATTTGTTTACTACGATCTTTGTTGAAATACTGTTTGAAAGCACTGAACCTCTTTTGAATTATCACCATTTAGCGTTCACACACATTTTACCTAAATCACAATAATTGCCAGCAGCTATCTTTCGAGATAATTCTACAATTAGATGGTTATTGAGACAAAACCCTGGGAAACTTGAGAATACCTTTAGAATTTGAGAAAAAAACTCCTGACCACTTTCACCGCTTGTCAAGATTTTGCTTGGTTTTTATTTGAATATGTCTGTAATTCCTAAGGAAGATTGACGTTTAGGTTAATGTAATTACACTAAAACCTTTGTACAGTTCACTCCTGTTGAGCCACAAATTTGTGTTCACTATAGGTAGGTGTTCACTACAGAGAGCCAATTTTGTACAGAACTCAGTGGAGTGTGTGCTGAGAAGTGATGTTCACTAGACAGAGGTGTTCACTAGAAAGAGGTGTTCACTAAGACAGGTTTTACTGTATGTGATAAAACTGGAAATGTGTAGAGTCAAACTTGTTGAATATGAAACTCATTTTATCTTGCCTTGTTCAAAATACAAAGACTGTAAGGAGTTGACTGTGAGTCAATAAAAAGTATACCAGTAAGGTATTATAGCCTTGTAAACCTAGCTACCTTTTTTTATTTTAAATATTTGATATTGTCAAAAAAACAGTTACACATTCTCTCTCATATAATCTCAGACAAATAAATAAAATAGTATTATAGGAGTACAATGAGACCTGCAAAGTGGAACACCTCTAGAAGTGGAACATTATCTGTTAATGGAACACTTTTCAGAGTCCCAAGACCAACTGACTTAATGTTAAATGAACCTCTATAAGTGGAGCACCTCCCAAGTGGAACACTTTTTAGAGGTATCACAGGTGTTCCACTTAGACAGGTTTTACTGTATTTTGAAAATAATGATTATTTTTATATGCAGTATGTTTAGTGGCGTCACCCCCTTTATGTTGGTTATTTGGTGCAGTAATGTGATGCTGTAATAGAATATCCACTTCAATATCATATATGAATGATAAAGTAAATACCATTCGTAATAAAGCAAATACTTACGTGTAATGTTCAAATGTTTTTCTACCACATCCAGTCTTTTGCCGAGGTCACTGTCCATATCTTCTTGATGTGTAAACACCCTCACTTGATGTTCCAACATATTCAGATATTCTTTTTTAAGTGATGCATACTTTTCCTCCAGCTCCTCAATATGTGATTTTTGTTTGAGAATCACCATCTCCATTTGTGCATTGGTCTCAGTTTTACATGTTCCAAAAGAAAGCTTCTGTTGACAGGAGTCTTCAACTGTTGTCCGCTGTGCTTTTATAGCCATGAGGCTTGTTATTAATATAGCCAAATACATCATGGTGGCCTGGTCCTACAGAGTGCTCATCAATCGATTTAGCAAACGTATGTTTGGTATGCAATCTTTTGAAGATGTGTGTCTAAAGTTGTTTTTTATCTAGTTTAAATTATATGACTTTAAAATGTCATGACACATTTTATGGAATATCTGAATAGAAAGTTTTTTATGTTATTCAGCGTCACTTTGCATTTAACTGCAAGCATTAGAGCATTTCTATTCACATCATATTTTTAATACTTTCTTCAAATATGTATAAATTCTATGATGGTTTTATATATTTGTATATAATGTCTTTTTATTTCTTACTTTGTGGCCTTTTTGGACGAGGTTCCATTCAATTTTATGATTTTTGCCATTGTATTTGTGTTAAAGTAATAGTACATGGGCTCTAAATGCTATTAAGATTCAAATGACTCCAAATGAGAGATGACAGGTACTTATTAAAACAGAAAATTCAGCGAATGTTCTTTTAATAACTGATGCGAGTAGGTAGTTGCCAGTTCCACCAGGTGGCCTATTCGGGTCAATTAGCATGGCAGGTATATAAGAAAACTTGAATATTCATCAGTTAAAGTGGATCAGTTTTCATGTAACTCTTATGTGTCGGATAATTATACAAATTAAAATATGTCAGGTAAAAGATAATATTATCTGTCCAACATAAGAAAAGATATTTCACTTTTTGAGATTTGATAAGATGGGGGTCTAGCCTATTGGGTAGGACAATTTTGATTGGGTAAGGCAAGATCGAAAGATATTCTCCTGGAGTGTAAATGAATTTTTTAGAAGCAAAATCTATTAGAAGGGATAATGTAATAGTAAGTTATAATCTTTTCGCAACGCACTGTCAAATCCTTTCAAAAGTGTTAGATTTATGAATTATAAAATGTGTTCTCAATGAAATATGTTTTTTATACCTATTCTCTGTATATAAAGATTTAAATGATGGGCATAACATATTAAGCATATTTAATGTATCAGCATGTTAGCATGTCAAGTTAAATGAAACCTTTCTTGGCTTTTTGGCATTCTCAACATAGTTTGTTGTGAATAGATGATACCTGATTTTATGTTGGCTTTGACATATATTTTGAAGGTTGTTAATAATAAGAAATGTGTTATTTTAATAAAAGTATAAACATTATAATTATATGTTTTTGTCCTTCCTTTCTTGTTAGTTAGAACTTTTTAGTTTGGATATGATGGCCATTTTTTGTTGATTTTTCAGTGAGTACAAGAGTACTCTCCAGTTAAGTTGATTAAGTTGATTTTGATTTATTTTCCTTGCTTATGAGTCAATGAGTTTTTTTTTTATTTACAAAATATATATCATTAAATTAATTGAATGAAATGATTATATGTTTAATAGATTTCATCTGTTGCCATTGACGTCAGTTCATTGTTGTTATTTTTGTGTGATAACATGTTCAAAAAATCACTTTATTCTGACATGCATCCCATCATGCTGTCTAGTAAAGTACATTATTTTCAGAATTTATAGTTTTTCATTATCAGTTTTATATATTATCATGTTTACTTTAAAGCTCTTTGCACAGGATATTTACAGTATATTTTTCAATGTGATAATCCTTCTGAAAATATCTCATGCAATTTATGTAAGTTGCTGATGCACCTTTTGGTTCATAAATGTAGATGGTAGAGGGAATAAAATTGATTTTCTGGACTTTATATATCTTCTTTATAAACAATACTTTGGAAGCATTGCCCACCAAAAAATTTCTAAGACATTCACCAAAATTAGCAAACTACCAATAACTATTGATGCCAACCACTGACATTATGGATCTAGTCAATATATTTTAAAACATTGTACAATACAACACTATTGGTGTCTCACAACCTTTTCCTTCAGTCATTCATTTCTTGGTCACCTTACAGTGTGCTCTACTCGGCCAATCACACACCTTCAGTTCATCATTCCAGTGAAGTCTAAGCTTTGAACCCCTGATGATACTTGGGCATGCTTTTCTCCACGTCAATCCATTTGAATTGCAGTGATAGAAGTGGTCACAGCTGTTGGGATCAGCCACTAATCTTTCCCATTCTGGTACCTTTGGGCCTGATGGGCACCCAATCCCTAATGATATAAGATTAGAATAGAAAATAGAATGCTTATGCTGACTTTATATATAACACAATATCTACTTATCTTTATCTGCCATTTTTGCTTGATTTAGATTAGAGATGATCCACTTTCAGATAAGTATACAGAAAATCCGCACTGTTGAAATGTCAATAAGAATTTGAAGTGCTAAGCAATATCCAATTTTCCTCATTTATTGGAGGAAACCACAAATACCGTTAAGGTTGAAGGCACTAAATAACAGTATTTTTGATTTGTGAATAGATTTTTATGCAGATTTGTTTATAGGGATTATGTTTGGTTTGACCTTATTGGTTTCTAATTATTAACCATGTTTTTCTAGGATTCTTTGAACAGTGGCGTAGCCAGGATTTGGTGACCGGGGGTTCTGTTTTTATGTTATTCACAAATCCCCCCCCCCTTCATTAGGGTTCCTTAAATAATGCAATTTGTACAATTACACTCCCTCCAAAAGTTTGGCAACCTAACTAACCCATTGGATCATGTATTTAGGTTTGAATTCTTATATGCATAATTTGTAAAGAAAAAACTATTTTGAGAGGGGAAATATAATTCACTTTAGTACCTTCATTAAGTTAAGTAGACAATTGAATTTGAATTTTATTTAACAAAAATGATGTCTTTATTTACTGAAAGTAATAGGCTTTATCAAGAAACCTCTCCCATTGAAATAACACAGGACGTAAAAATGATTTTCAAAAATGACCTTGCAGCTTTCTTTGTAACTTTAATGTTCACAAAGTAAAATAAACAGGCAACGTGCAAAAAGTCAGACAACTTATAATTAATTTTCTGCATCAAAATATATTTCAGTGAATCTTTTACTGAATACATATCCTAAAATCTGATTTGCCCCGAATCCACCATTATTTCGTCCGATTTCTGGAAGACCATGATTTGTTTCCAAGGAATATCAACTATTTCGCACAATTTATTCTTTAACTTAAGCTACTTTATCTAGGACAAAATAAATCACCTCATGCAATGGCTTATCATTGTTTTTCAAGAATTTTGTTGGAAGCCAGTTCGGATCAAATGCAAGGTTATTGAAATTGACGCAAACACCCATATACTCCGAATGATCGTTCTTCTATGATAACTTTTCACAACGTTTACACGAAGGCTTTTTAAACTATCCGGGATAGTCGTATTACTGATAAAAATATCTATTATTCAAATAAATGGGTCTCGGTTATGCTTTGTTTTAAGAAGTTAAAAATATTTCTTTGGACGTCCCCGGAGCTCAGTGGTAAGTCCCCTGGAGCAGATCAACCGCAGTTGATAATAAAACGTTTTAGTTGATATAAATCATATATAAATACAAGCGTCTGTTATTTTGTTAAGTTCAGACGGCTTGATAACAAATTAGGCCTTCATTATTTGAAGATAAATACCATATGATTTTCAATGTTTTTTTTATTATATAATTTATTTGCTAAACATATCATGACATTGACATGAAAATGGAGAGCAAGTAAACTGGAACGATAACAATTTGAACTCTATACAATCTCTTAGATGAGTGGAGTGTATCTGAAAAAAAATAAAATCATTTTTTGCAATGATTGATTTTCTTTGGAAAAGTGATGGGTAAATAAATACTGCTTTTAAATAATTCATTTCACAACGTTTTTTTTATTATTTAACACAATTGATTTCGGGACTTGCCAGCCCCAGGGACGTCCCAAGAAATATTTTAAAATTTTAATTGAAATAAAACAAAACAGAGATGTACACATTTGAAAGAACATGTGTTTTATCAATATTGCGACTATTCCATATATTTATTCGTCAATGTTGTATAATCATTCGGAGTATGGGACGTCTGCATTGTTTTCAATAACTTTCAATAACTCCGTATTGGACCAGAACTGGCTAAAACAAAATTCCTTCAAAGGACTGATTTAGCCATTGCCAAAGATGGGTTATTTTGTCCGAGAAGAAGCAGCTTTTAAGTTAATTGTGCGAAATTATTGTTATTTCTAAATGTAAAATCTCATGATGCTCTGGGGTCTTTCCTTAAATTTCACCCAGTGCCTAAGGTTGCCAAACGTTCACTATGACATGTTTTGAACAAAATAAGGCTTGTTCACCACAACAAATATTAAATCATTTACTGCTCATATATTTAGTTTTCAAATAGCACAGCAATTTAATATTTCTGGTTATATGCATTTTCCCGCAAAATGATATTTTGGGAAATCCTGACCGGGGGTTCGTTCGAACCCATCGAACCCCCGCTGCCTACGGCTATGTTTGAAAAAGAAATATAAAAAAACTGTTGAAAATGCAAATTTAGAATAAAAAGATGGTATTTGTACTTACATTGTACAGGTTTTCCTACTTGGCTACTCTCTTTGCCTCGATCCTCATCTTCTGGCGTTTCATCTGGTTTTTCAGTTGGTTTATCAGTTGGTTCTTCCTTTTTTGTGCATTCTTCAACACGTTGTACAAATTCATCAGCTGTTCTTGTACCATCATCTGGATTATAATATTGACTCCAATACTCCCCCTGTTTATTGATGTCTTTCTCCGAGGGCAGTTTCTCATCCTGAATTTGGAGAAATAGTCTTGCGGCCAAAGCAGAGTAGAATGGGTCTCTTAATTCTTTCCATGTAGCACTCTCCCAGTTGACGTCATAAAGGTTTTTAATCTTCTCAAGGTTTTTCTTTAGTTTAGAGCGTGATGCAGTATCTTTGGTTTCATTAAAAGTTGCCTCATTTACCTGGGATGAAAAAAACATCAACATAAAGTAACTGTATTTCTCTTATTATCCTATTAATTCTCCTTCATGAGCTGACATTAAGCAGCCAACATTTCTTCACAGTATCTATGACCTGCTATCATTCTCACACTGATCTCACATTTCAAATAACAATTACATTTTAATTTGAACAAAACACAGGAATGCTGACTCATCAGTATAAATAGTTAACTGAATGATGCAGTACATTTTGATTAAGGAACCTAATCTGTTTGTATTTATAAGGTTGACTTTCTTACCTGCCAAATTCCTCCATGGTAGTTTTCCCGATATGTGTCTTTGTCTGTGCCATACTTTGATTCCACACAGGCAATATTTCTCAGGAATTCTAGGCCTTTATCTGCATATTGCGTCAGCTTTTCTAAAGCTGTATTGACTACATCTATACCAGATGGAGTCTTAGTCTCTGTCTCTTCCTTTGTGGTATTATCTTGTATTATAGTTTCCTCTCCTGCAATAATTACTTCTCTATCATTTTCACCCTCGTCACCTCCTTGAGGCACTTCTTCTCCTGTGTTTTCATCAGTATTCGTCTTCTCCTCTTTTTGTTTTCTTCCATTTCTTTCTTTTCTTCTACATCCTTTCACACGCAGCGCAAAGTTAAATGCTGTTTCTTCATTCTCTGTTGTGTCATAATTTTTATCCCAATACTCCCCTTGTGCTTCTATGTCTTTCTCTGAGGGCAGACTCTCACCTTGGTTCTGCAAAACTAATCTTGCAGCCAGAACAGAATAGAAGGGATCTTTCAGATTTTTCCATTTTACAGTCTCCCAGTCAATGTCATAAAGTTCTTTGATCTTTTCATAGCTTTCAATAAGCTCAGGATGTGATGTTGTGTCTTTGGTGTCAGTAAATCTTGCCTCATCAACCTTAATATGATGAAATTCAACAATCTTAATATGAAATACAACAACTATATGAAATTCAACAATCTTAATATGAAATACAAGTTGAACATGAAATACAACAACCTTATGAAATACAACAACCTTGATATGAAATACAACAACCTTAATATGAAATATAACAACCTTGATATGAAATACAACAACCTTGATATGAAATACAACAACCTTAATATGAAATACAACAACCTTAATATGAAATGCAGCAACCTAGATATGAAATACAACCTTAATATGAAATACAACCTAACAACCTAGATATGAAACACAACAGCCTTAATATGAAATATAACAATCTTTTGAAATACATACACAATATCAACCAGAAATAAAATGTTGGCACTTTGAAAAGACTAGTCTCGGTTTGGAGAACGAAGTTCATCAGTGTACTGCATGTTACGCCTGCTTTGGACAATTTTGATATTTTTTACATATTGTAGATTTAAATGTCCTCTTTTGAATATCCATAATTTAATTTGGGTGATTTTTCTATATTTTTCATAAAAATGATCAGTGCATTAGTCTGATGAACTTCGTTCTCCAGACTGAGACTTGTCTTTTATTGAATCGGTCTACTGCACGTTACGCCTGCTTCAGACAATTTTGATATTTTTACATATTGTAGATTTATATGTCCTCTTTGAATATTCATTATTTAATTTGGGTGTTATTTCTATATTTTTCATTTGAAAAATTATTAGCCCAGTAGACTGTTCTCCAAACCAAGACTTGTCCTTTCAATCATGGATGATTTACTTGATGAACTTTTAATTGCTGTACAGAATTTTTATTCAAACAAAATATATTATTTGTAATAATTTGATATACTTCCAGACATGTCATAACAGGGAGTAAAAGATATTTATATGATTATTATTGCTTGTTGCAACCATTATTCACTTACTTATTGATGTTTTCAAACGCATAATGTTCTTTCCTCAGAATTTCTTACTTTCTGATGCTGATAAGTGGTCAAGATCAGTACTAAGATATAAATTGAATTGACATGGTTTTTAATGTTGTTAATTCTTGAATGTTGCCATTTACTGAATTGAATCTGAATAGAGGCTTTTCCATGTAGCTTTGAAATCTGGTTAAAATCTTGTTTTAATGAGATTTTAGGACATCTGCATTTCTAACCACTAAAGACTAACATTTTCTTCTATTTGAATTCTGTGTGTAACTTTCTATCAAAACTACTTTGATTTGCACTGTTATTTACCTTTATTCAAATTCTAGAGATTTTGAAGTTTTCTAAAAATGGTCGGGCTAAATCCCCATTGAAACAATGTTGAAAAACCTTTAAAAGTTCATTTACTCTTTATAAGATTCACAATTTTAATGTGAAATCACAATCCACATGTCAATAATATCATATAGTTACATTCCAATGTCGTTTTTAGTTGATCCAAATGGAATTACTTGATAAATCAAGAAATTAAGTGACTCTTGCAGCTGCTATTAAGTTGCAATGTTATTTAGCCCTACCAATACCCATGATGCCATCTATTTTTTCATTTATTTCATTTATATGGAAAAGGGTCAATTGTCAAAGGAAAAGTATGAATATTACATCTAAGAGCATAATACAATTCAACAACATACCTGCCAAATTCCTCCATGATAGTTTTCCCGATATGTATCTTTTTCTGTACCATACTTTGATTCCACACAGGCAATATTTCTTAGGAATTCTATGCCTGTATCTGAATATTCTTTGAGTTTTTCTAATGCAGCATCGACTACATCTGCACCAGATTCATTTTTTGCTTTTTTCCTCCTCTGACTAGATGTCTCTATGAAAAGTGCACACCCAAATCAAAAAGCAATTAAAATGCTATTAGTAATATTTTATCTAATGGATAATCCAATTTAAAATTGTCAAATTAGAAACCTTACTTGGAGGTGGTCCTTTGAAAAACTAAAATCATAAAGTTGAAATAGTATTATGATTATATTTAAAATGAGTCAACATTTGTTTTACAATATTGACCTTGAACTTTGTATTATGCTTATTATGAAATAAAATAATGTCTCCTGTAAATAAAAAAATCCCATATTGTTTATATACATGTACAATTTTGCACATATATATGTATATGATAAGACTTTTTTGTCTATAAACTGTTTTAAGAAACCAAAAGTGCAGTAAATATTATAATGCTATATGTGATTAAACTGTTAAAATGATTAAGAATACAAAAGTGCAAAAAGCAGAAAATCATCTCACCTTGAATTAAGAGAGTGAAAAAAATAAATATTTTGACAGAGGTCCAATTTTTACACATGATGAATATATAATATTATGTGATCCTATTTATTGTTTTTTTTGTTATTCTTTATGCATCGTGTATTGTTGTACAGTCTTGATCTGATTTTATTTGAACACCAGATTTATTCTTTCTAGCTTGTATAATAAAGCAGTATATTTATTTTAAAACCATAAATTCTCGTTTGCATTCATTAATGCTTTTTATGACACAGACTTGATAATCTTAGTCATTATTCATTTTGCTGATGCAATCTGCTAGGTCACTGTGTCTGTACTGCATTGCTATTCTACGGTTTCTGGGGGTGCTATAGCTAGCTTATAAAAATGAGAAAGGTCAGTTTTTAGCTTGTCATCAGCTGTGAAGTCCAGCGCTAATAAATCTTTAAGCAAAAGATTTTATGGTTGTTAGAGATCTGAGGGTTCATAGCATTCTTGCTGATATACAAGATCAATGTCATATTAAAAGTCGAAACCTTTAGGTTGTGCAGGCAAGCCTTTTTTGGGTTAAATATCTGCTAGGTTGAATTTGGAAATGACTTGAAACCTTAGTATTTAAAATGATCATTTCAAGAGATTTTGTGACAGTGACATCTTTAAATAGAAGATAATTTAAATTATTATACAGTGTTGTATTTCCAAACAATGAAATACAGTGAACAAATGACAAATGAGAATGAGACTCTGTGATTGAACTAAAAAAAATCATATATCATCTCTATTGGCATATTAATAACACTAAAACAGACACATATGTTTTCACTTCAATATTGTTTTTATTTATTCAATTAATCTTGCATCCCCAATAATTGATACATAATACACCAACATCCTTTTTAAAATACATAAGTTTACAAATTTAGTTTGTCCGAATTGTTTCGCCTAACAAATGTGCTTTTCAAAATGAGTTATTCAATGAAGTTTTTTTTTTCTTTAAGTTCATTGTGTTGTTTTACATTGTGTGTAAATTTTCATGTCAATCTCTTTAAAGGAGTAATAATCTCCCTTCCAGTTATACCAGGTTATACCTTGGCCATAAGTACTCTTTGCCTGTGAGAAGTAAGTTCCAAAAAGATTAGAATGATGGCACTTCTTATACCACCATCCCCCTGTGAATTTGGTAGCACAACTACCATCGTAAATGTCATTATCCATGTCCCTTGTCGAGAAGGCCATCCCGTTATGTATTATCATTGAATCAGTTGCTGTGCCACTGTAACCACTAATGGTCAAACGATACTTGTCAAACCTGGAAACTTTAAAGGTTGAATACTGGGCAAAACGGGTTTCTGTCGGTGGCCATGTTGTGAGCTCCACACGCAAAGGATATGATCCTTGACTTAGTAATGCGGCCAAGTTTTTTAACCCAATGAAATACTCTCCCGCTGGGTTCCCAAAGCCTTTTTCATACTCTTTCCATGTTCGATAGAAATCAACTGAGCCGTCGAAACGTCGAGCAATTGACAGCCACCCTTGTTTACAGACAGCTTTGAAAGTCTCACCATGTGTTGTTTGGACATCTATAACTTCACCTGAATTGGGTGACACTGGAGGGCAATCATTCTTGATAGTTTCTAAAAGAAAGTGTCATTGTTTTGTCGTTTTATAAGCTCTTTATGGCCATATACAGTGTACTAGCTATCTCATATTGTGGATGAGGCTTCAGTCACATTTGCTCTATGGCAACCATAAGCCTCACAAAATCGATATAGAAAATCTATATTGTACTGCTTATCGTTATATTTTATGCTGCATATTTCTCCCGATTTTGGGAAGCTGTGGCAGCTGTATGGTTGCCGTAGATCAAATGTGACTGAGGCATTACTCTTTTAACTGAAATATATACATTGAATGTATTGTTAGGATATGCTTTTGTTGTTTTGTATCAGTTATAAATAAGTTCCTATGGCTTTACAGTTTTTTATTTTACCAAATGATACTTACCATTCTCTGCTTTCTCACAGCATTGTTTAGTTTTTAGTTCTTCTAATTTTGTGAGCAATTTTGCTTCAAGACTGCTTAATTTAGACTTTATTTCAGTGACATCAGAATTGAGTGAAGTTTCAAGTTCAGCGAAATCAGACTTCAGTGAATGCTTTAGTTCTGTGATATTAGACATCAAAGAATTTCCAAATTCAGAATTATCAAATTTCAGTGATTTTTCAAGCTCAGTAATATCAGCTTTAAGTCCAGTGATATCAGTTTTCTTGCAAACGGGCACATTTCTTTTTTTACTTTTCTTTTTAGCTTCAGTGTCTTGTATTAATATAACCAAGACAATGACCAAAGTTACCACAACAAGCTTCATTCTTGTGATCTTTCAAGTCTTTCAAGTGATTCAACCAAAGTGACTCACTTTGCTTGATAGGATTGATAATTTCCACAACAGCTTGGGAAGATGTACTGTAAAATATTTCTTTTGCCCATCCATCAATAATTTTTTTCATCTCCAAATCTCCAACTTGTGTCCAGATTAATGAAACCAAATATCCAAATGACTGTTGGTACTATTGACACTTAAGGTTGTAACTATTAATATTACAAGTATATAAGGGTGGGTATTAGCTGTACATTTCAGAAATAAGTTTTTTGCAGGAAGCTTACAGTACAATGCTTTGAAATTATTAATGACTTGTATTAACAATAAATAAATAAAACATTTTGTTAAGCTGTACGCTATTATAGTTTACCAAATCATCATTAGACAATTGTAAACGACATTTTAACAATTAAGTTGTCTGATTAAGCCTTATTCTTTGGAACACATTGTTTCAATTGCAAGTTAATCTTGTTGATTAGAACTGTCTGGCTGCACCAAAACACATTAATGAAAAAGATATATACATTGTAGACTTTGAGATGATGAAAAGAATCTGTTATATTTCTCTGCAATTGTGTATTAATGCAATATCATGTATTCAATTTCCATGTGTTTTATGTTGAATAAAATTTTATTGAAAATATTTTTTAAGAAGAAATGGAAAATGAAACAGGATCACCATCACGGAAATTAAAGTTTTTACCAGCGCAAAAAATTAGGGATAAAGCGATGTACTGCATAAATGAGGTTTGCTTGAGATAGAACACAGTGGCGTTACTGACTTCAAGTTCTACACATGTCTTCTACACTCTTGTCGCAAGAATCATTTGCTCTCACTCTGGCACCCTCTTTTATTAAACATTTAACAGAAATGTGCTAATATCTGAAGAAAAGTGCTTGAATAGTGTCTGTTTCTGTGTTATCCCTCAGTTTATCTTTCTTCACAATGTGCCTTGTTTCTTTTCATTATCGTCACTGGCGTAGCGTCATATATGCATAAGAAGCCATGGCGTACTCTCAGAATTTAGACAAAAGTTGATTTTTAAAAATGAGTTCATGTAATTAAATATTAGATAAACATGGCCAATAATTTACATTTTATCAGTTCATATTAGTCAGAATTTCGTATTTCAAAACTCCCCAGAATGCTTCAAATGCAATCTCATTTTCAAATTTTCTTGGGGAAAGAACCTCCCCATGCAACCCCCTCAAGGAATATTTGCTTGGCTCACTCGTAGCATACACTTACAAAATACCCACGCTACGCCACTGATAATAATATTCATGTCATAATGATTTATTGTGATTGCAGATGATCTAGCTAAAAGTCTCAAAGATGGAAGATACCATAAACAAAAGGAGAATATGATTTCCTGGAAGATGAAGTTCTTTGAGAAAGGCATCAATGCATCCTTGAAATATGTGGTAGAGGGTGACCCCAAAGCTTATGTAGTACGCTGTAGTGATGGCTGTGGCTCTTTAATCAAGTGTGGATACCCTACAGTAGAGCAAGTTGAGGTGAGTTGTAGTGGTGATGGTTGTGGCTCTTTAATCAAGCATGAATACCCCACTGTAGAGCAAGTTGAGGTGAGTTGTAATAGTGGTGGCTGTGGCTCTTTAATCAAGCATGAATACCCCACTGTAGAGCAAGTTGAGGTGAGTTGTAATAGTGATGGCTGTGGCTCTTTAATCAAGCATGAATACCCCACTGTAGAGCAAGTTGAGGTGAGTTGTAATAGTGATGGCTGAGGTTCTTTAATCAAGCATGAAGACCCCACTGTAGAGCAAGTTGAGGTGAGTTGTAATAGTGATGGCTGTGGCTCTTTAATCAAGTGTGGATACCCCACTGTAGAGCAAGTTGAGGTGAGTTGTAATAGTGATGGCTGTGGCTCTTTAATCAAGCATGAATACCCCACTGTAGAGCAAGTTGAGGTGAGTTGTAATAGTGATGGCTGTGACTCTTTAATCAAGCATGAATACCCCACTGTAGAGCAAGTTGAGGTGAGTTGTAATAGTGATGGCTGAGGTTCTTTAATCAAGCATGAATACCCCACTGTAGAGCAAGTTGAGGTGAGTTGTAATAGTGATGGCTGTGGCTCTTTAATCAAGTGTGGATACCCTACAGTAGAGTGAGTTGAGGTGAGTTGTCATAGTGATGGCTGTGGCTGTTTAATCGAGTGTAGATACTCCACTGGAAAAAAACAAAATATGCATAAGTTCCCTTAAAAACATGTAACTAAATCTCCCTATTATTTGAATTTTAACATATATGCTATAATGCAGTTTAAATTTTTACTTCAGATGACGATCCATGAACTTGAGAAAGATGATGATTTCCAAGTTTTACGAACTGCAAGCATCATTGGAACTGTTCAAGTCTTGACAGATATCACTGGTGAACTAAGCAGGAGGTGAGGGTATCAATTTACTTACAGTGATCTCCCCAGCATCCCGGGCCTAGCATTAAAGCAAGTGGGCATAGAACCCACCTGAGATTTTTAAAATAGGCTTGCACCCACCTGAAAATTCATTTGCACCATCTTGAAAATGAGAAAAATCATGAAAAATTTGCATATTTTGTCTAATTTTGGTCTGAATTGTGAAAATTAGAATTTTGCACCCACCTGAGAAAAAATCCTTGGGAGATCACTGACTTATTTTGCAGCTAGCAATATGCTCTGATTTAGTTGGACATGCATGACCTGTAATCTGATATCAGAGGGGTTTCTTGGTTAATGCACTATGTTCTTGAATATCATATATTCCCAGAATGCAATATCGATATCCATGCCATATTTATAGGATATCCTATGATTTTGAGGAATATCATTTTTATCTACGAGGTGATATTGATATCTGCACGAGAGAGCGAAGCGAACGAGTGCATATATCAATATCACCGAGTAGATTAAAATGATATTCTGAAAAAAATCATAGGATGTTCTTATTATCCTACATAAGGAGTGTACTAAATGTATAATATCATTGCAAAATGGATTTCATGCCAAATAGAGTCAATTTGGCGGGAAATCAACAAGCGGAGTATATCGTCACAATATCCTCCGCATATTGGGTTTTCCGGAGTATATTGTCACGATATCCTCCGCCCGGAGTATATCGTGACGATATCCTCCGGATATTCATTTTGCCCATAAATATCAAATTTATTTTTTAATGTTATTATACATTTAGTACACTAAGTGTAGGATAAATGGTGTTATGATCTTGATCATATGATCACGAAGGCACGACGTGATTACAAAATTCAAAATCAAAACAGTTTTGGTCTTATTTCGAAACAAAAGAATTCAAAACACTCAAGAAATGATCATGATATTAGTTCAAATCTTTTGGATCGCTGGTTATGAATTTATAGTTACTTATGATATCAGAAAATATCATCGATCAAGGTCAAGGTCGAATATTGATGTTGCATTCTGGGAGCCAATCCTCCTTGATATTGCCCTTAATATTCATATGTTACATAATCTCATCCCTCAGTTTTTATGTCACCACCATAAGTGATAGCACCATTGTTATAGTCAGTGTGGCTGTCGCTGTTGAGCATGTGGCCACTGGCTTCTGTAACAAATGGTGGCTGTAACAAATGGCAGGTGGTGACTTTTTGCATGTTAATGCCTCATGTGATTGTGAAAATGCAGAATAAAAACTGTAGAGTTCACACTGACATGTTTTATCAATACATGAGCATATAAAATTAGATGAATTTTGCTTTTATTGAGAAAGAATTATTTCATTAAAAAGGAGAGAAAATATAAAATTGTTTTACTGTTGGTCCCAATTTTGTTATATTTATTCTGCTTTAAGATTCAGTGATGATTGTTTCAATATACATGTAGTTATATATACCGATATGGATTGTATGTGTATTTTTTCAGACTTAATATGGGTCACTTTGACTGTCTCATACAGTATGATGATATCCCATCTACAGTTGATGTCCCTTTAAAGCCAGCTGCAAACACCTTAGACAGTAAAGTTGAGAAGCACTTAACAACAAAGGTAAAAGTTTGTACATAACTTGAAAAATTCACATTTAGAGCAGTACTTAAAGGGGTAGTGTCTGTACTCTGTACAGGGTGGGCCAAAAAATTTTGCAACCTTTTTAGAAGGCAAAAAAAGTATCATAACATTATGGTATTGACATGAAATTTTTTTTACAGAAACTTAAGGATAGGCATATTTCATCATTCAAATACTTAAGCTAATACTGACTTCAAATTTTTTTGTCAGATGTTTTAATATTAATGGTAAATTGTTCATGTGTCCGAGATTTACCGATTTTCCTAGAAAATGTGATTTTCTATGATTTTATGTGATCATCGATAGAACATTAATTATGTTCACTAAATCTGCTGCAATCTTTGTCAAGTGGTGTATTGGGCGGCTATTCATCAGGACTAATGGATCAAGGGGTATTTTGCTCCAGATATTCCATAGTGACTTTTGACCTATGGTCAGGAGCGCTATCCTGCTGGAATATGTAATCACTTGGGGCTGAAAGAGCCCCCATTCTTTAAAGATGTCCCTTTTGAAGAAGATTAGTCCTGAGTCGAATGGCCACCCAATACACCAGATGCCAACCCCTGGGACTATCACACATGGGGGCACCTGGAGCAATGTATTGTAGTTAATGGTTATACCCCACAAATAATTGATCAACTATAAGAAGTTCTGCAGGATAAGTGGAGACGACTACCACAAGAACTGCTGGATCTCGCCATTGACCAGTTCAGTTCTTGTTTCCATGTGATTGTGAAGGTGAAAGGCGGATGCATAGAACATTTGTTTAATAAATAATTAATACAGTGTAACAATATTACCATAGTGACTAGATACTGATGTAAACCTGTACTAGACATTGGTTAAACAGTTATCAAAGATTGTAGCAGATTTAGTAAACATAATGAATGTGTTATTGTTGATCACATAAAATCATAGAAAGTCAGATTTTCTTAAAAAAATGGTAAATCTTGGACAAATGAACAATTTACCATTAATATTCAAACATCTGACAAAAAAATTTGAAGTCAGTATTGGCTTAAGTATTTGAATGGTAAAATATGCCTATCCTTAAGTTTCTGTAAAAAAAAATTCATGTCAATGCCATAATGTTATGATACCTTTTTGCCTTCTTAAAAGGTTGCAAAATTTTTTGGCCAGGACAGTTCATTTAAAGGGGTAGTGTCTGTACATTACCTGGGAAATTCACACCAGACACATTGTTATACTGTCCCCAACTTTTTTTACAGTGTTTGGTGGTTAGTGTTCTGTGTTTTTGGTGTTTTGTGTCTGTAACAAATGGCAGGTAGTAACATTTTAGATAGTAATGCCCTTTTATCACACCATCGGTGAGATATAGTCGTCATTAAGTTTCTGTTTTTGCATTGACATTAACAGTTGGTGCATGTTGTAACACATTGTTGCATTTTGTATCCATTTGACACTAGACTGGTTAATATTTGGTGGGAAGATGTTTAATGATAAATGCTTGTGCACAAACATAAACTCTTCAAAAATGGTAGCAATTTATGTTTTTCATTTCAAACCTTTCAATTCACAACAAAGTAAAGAAATAAGTTTAGTTTGGATTAGTTTTATTGTTCTTTATAGCGGTAAGTAAGTATTAAAATCATACAAAATAGAAGGAAAATTGTTCGAAAAAATACAGTGTGAACCTAGCCCTAATGCATGGGCTTATCAACCAGTTTATAACAAGTTATAACAACACAATGCATTACGCTGTATATTAAATCATTATGCAGTGATTTTAATTATACATTTATGTTTTTACGTTTAAACCCAATTTTTCACAATAATATTGCTTACTAAATATAATTTTTTTTTGTGTACAGTCTACCTCAATTATGTGCAAAGTGAAGGTGATTGTTGTATATTAACAAGCTCTTCTACCATTAAATCATTAACCACACTCATCAGTCTCATGATAGGTGGCACTTTTGCTACCATCATAATAAGAGCATTTGGAAAAATGAACGAATTCATAATTATTTGATGTCTGCTAACATTGACAAAAAACGAATTATGTCTTATATCTCCCTCACAAAATTCTCATGACATCTGGGACACCCTGTAGGGCAAAAGCTAGCATGAAATGTTGGTATTTTAATGACTTCTATGGAGACAATTACAGTTGCTAGTGAAACAATCACAATTCAGTGAGTTGCCCACTGATAGGAGTTGATCATTGGATGAGATTGGGACATCATAATAATATAAGGATCGGTTTTTATTGAAATAAACAAAAAAACATAGTCAGAGATATTTCTTCCTCATTTATATTGTAAATTGTATTGGAATATCATCAACATCCTTCATTTTCTCTTGATAAACTGCATCAAACTTTTCATTTTGAGCGATTGTAAACCAATTTTTCCAGTCGCCAACTTCACCTAGAGAAAATAAAAATTGAAAATTCATATCATGTAAATACTAGAAGGAAAGGGTGTACTTTCTGATGAAAATATATAACCCAGGGACTCGAAATTAGGGAACCATAAAATTTCTGGTTACGGAACCTTATATATATATTGACCTCCCAATTACCTTTTCTATAAAAGCCATGTGCCCCTTCCCTCATCTTTTGTTTAGCAACTGATCCTTTATGTTCTTTCATCACATTGAAAGAACATTGGTCTACAATACTTTGTATAACATCAGATGCTAAATTTCTGCCTAGAAATTCACTGATTCTTTTCACGGTTCTCTCTAAATCCTAAAATATATAATTAATTAGTCTACTATGTGTATGTCAAATTTCATCTTTGTTTCTGTTCAACAACTTAACACAGATAACAGTAAACCTTCTTATCTGAAAATAAAAAAAATCCTCACCCAAGCAGTAAGCAGAATTACAAGCTCCGAGTTAATGTAATTACTTTTTGATTTAAAAGGCAATTAAGAATCAATTTCAAGTTTTGATAATTACAGAGAAGTCTGTGAATTTTGTTATACATGTATATCATTTTGAATTGAAAATACTTTATTATTATTTAGGGTGAGGATCAAAATGTGTTCTTTTCAATATTAAACAATCAGAGACCTTTCTATTTGGTTGAAATTGTATCCCTCTATTGGATTTACAGTGTCGGGATATAATTTTAACTGTTAACCTCTGTAGAGGTCAATAATTAAATATTTTATACCCTTTTTGACTGCTCATATGTCAGGAAAAGAACATTTGGATTTTCTTTTTCCTTTTTCCACCAGTCTCTGACATGAGTAAACCAAGATCCACGTCCAACTAAAACCAGACAGAATACAAAATGTAACAAATACTCCTTGACTTCTCCATTCAATTGAAAACTTAAAAACTACATGTGAGGTACAGTATTCTTTGAGAAAAGTAAATTATGCAAAATTTATGCACTTATGAATGAATTATTGGGCATTTCTAGGAATTGAAAACTATGCTAAATTAATACAGGCTGCGTAAACATGTCATGTAACCATTGTTCATGCATAGTCATTTTACCTTTCCCCTCTAGAAACAGTGAGATGAATCCATTGAAAGTCCCAGTATATCCATACATGAAGCCTGTATCTATATACCAGTTATAGTTCGACACCGCAACATCTTTTGGATTTCTCAATATATAAATGATCTTTGATTTTTTCATCCAGACATCTGGAGGTATTCTAGAATGAATGAGGTGTGCATTGATTGTGCGTGGTGATGGTTTGGCATCAAACAGCTCATGGTCCCACATTTCAAAATGGTTGTTCATCTTTAACATTGCTGATGTAGCCTTGGAAGATGACTGCAATATCATGGTGACTATCTCCTGGTGCCAGTTGTTACCTATAATATGTGTGTATATATTTAAGACATTGTGAAGTGTTGATTGACATACCGTGTATTGATAAAGAGTTTTAAACAGGATTTATGCAACTGTTTATCCAAATATTCAAAAACTCAGCAGAATTTGTGAAAGTGTTTATCAAAATACTCACTTGTTCAAAATGTTTAAAACTGTTGATTCAATACTCACCAGAATCTGTGGAACTGTTGATTCAAATAATTACCAGAATGTGAAACTGTTGATTCAATTACTTATCAGAACGTGTGAAACTGTTGATTCAAATACTCACCAGAATCTGTGGAACTGTTGATCCAAATACTCACTAGAACGTGTAAAACTGTTGATCCAAATACTCACCAGAATGTGTGAAACTGTTGATTCAAATACTTACCAGAACGTGTGAAACTGTTAATCCAAATGTCATCCTCCCTTGCTTCAAATGCCTTCATTTTTTCAAGTCTGGCTTTAATGTTGGGGAAGGCTGGATAATATTCTCCATTGCCCAAGTCATGTAACCTTATTGTATTACCTAAATCAAAACATGTCATATTTCATAAAAATTAGGCTGTAATTCTTGTTTATTGCTGTAATGAATATCATCTTGATTCACAAGATTGCTCCTTCAATTTTAACTGTATAACAGTTTTGGAGTGAAGATGATGACATTTGAGCCCTTACCTTTTTCTTTTATTCAGTTTCCAGCCCAACTGTATATAAATCTTTTTTCCAAACTTTTTTACCCATAATTCACACAAAATAAGCATGCTTAAGGAAAGCCGTCATCTTAAATTTGTTTTACCAAAGCAAAATCAGTCTTATCTGAACAGAAAAATCAGATTATTACAATTTTCCCGCCATTTTTCGAAAAAGTTGAAATTTTTTAATCATCAAATATTTCTTAATGCATTTCAAAAAAGATTTTCTTTTTAACACCAATGCAAAGATTGAACAAAGGACACACTATTTCAATAATAAAATGCCATATTTAATGTGCCACTTCAATGTTTTAGCATATCAAAATTAATTTGCAACATTAGTGATGTCATTATGACTCACTCAGGTGACAAAAACTTTTTGGAAAAAATTGAAATTTTTTTTCTATGTCAATATTTTCTTAATATGCTAGACTTCAATAATAAACCAATGTTGATTGCCTAACCAGGTTAAAAGGAAGAATATATTATGTTTTAGTTATCATTGTACCATTGGTTTCTATGACAACTAAAATTTTGAGATGCATTTTTCTCAAAATTATTTTCATGCACTGATGAGTTTATTTCTCACTTATTTATGAACCGATTTTCTTAATTTTTTTGGCAAACACATGCGAGGATGAATGCTATGACGTGTCGCAAAAAGGTGGCGCATTTGTTTTTTAAGGGTATCGCGTGAATGTAACTTTGATTCCCCGGATTATAAGATAATATTCTAATTAAAGTTATATATCATTTTAAAGCTGTTTCGATGAAGATTTTAGATCAACTACACTCCGTTCACATTTTTGCGCGTTCGTTTTTAAAACCAAAACATCTGGCAAATATCCCATGTTGACACGTTACATTTTGAATTATTTTTCGTCTTTAAACGCTCATAACTCAAACAATATATGACTATTATACTTATTTTTCGTCTTGATAAAGGTAGACGGAAGTTTTATTTCAAAGGATGAATTTTAGTAAGCGTCCCATATTGTGACGTCATAGAGTCTGAAAAATAGAATCTGTTGACAGCGACCTTTTTTGCTAATTTTTGGTACCTTCAACTTTTCAGGTGTACATTAAACAAAAAATACGAGATCAATTTTTAATAAATCATACATGATTATTTTGCTCCTAAACTCTAGTTTATTAATAAATAGTTGATTTTGTTCACAAAAGTATGTGTTTTCTGTTGTATGTGGAAAGTGGAGGACGAAAGGTTTTCAAAATTCATTAAAATAGGGCTAATTTACGCCATTCGCCTATTTTCAAGCACAACAACACGTATATTTATTTCACCTAAAATATCAATTGATTCGTGTTTTATGATGCTCCTAGCCCATTAACAATATATATATGATATCAGAGTTATTCGTCTAAAATGTTTTGAGATATAGAGGTAAATGTGGAGGACGAAAGGATTTTCATGTGTGTACATTTTTCTCAAAAACGTCACATTCTATCATGTTAAAAGCGAGGATCCTCTGGATTACGCCACAAAATGTGTAACAATGCGTGCGCGAGCTTTTTGCGACACGTCTATGTATTGGTATGAATTGTGGCTTATAAAAAGATGTGCGTGAGCTCAAAAAATTATTTTAAATAAATGCACGAATTTTTGAACAAAAAATTCTTTCAAAAACCACTTATTGAAATTTAAAAAAAAGTTTCGCACATTACACTTTGATAAGATTGGGTAAGACTACAATATAAGCCAAAGTGGTTTAAACTTTATATGGGGACTTTTACAAACTTTACAAACTTAAGTACATTTTGTGCTGTGAATAGTACTCCAAAAATATCATCTCATTACCTTCACAATCTGGAACCAGCTGTGTATCTTCTTTCTCAATTTCTTCAATCCATCTTTCCAGATCTTGATCCTCATTTGCCATATTTATTGCCTCTTTACAAACAGTATTATTGTATGCTTTACAGATGAAAATAGGCAAAGTTCCAGTTTCAAGCTCTCAGTTCATTTTTTCAATCTGAGATTGATTTTCCCAGCTGGGTGTTTGTAATGTGATCTAGTTACTGGCTCTGTTTAGGATAGTATTATGAACAAAATTGTTTGAGTTATTCATCCACTACATGATATCATAGGCTTTTGATAGATGCCCATGATGCCCATGATAATATCAATATTTTTCTACAATGCTGGGGATCCGATGTGTTAAAGAGATCGAGTCGTCCAGATTTCTATTCTGGACAATAAGTAATGTCCCAATATAATTGCTCATAAAACATCATATATACCTTAGATATATCGTGAGACCAAATCATAGGCATGATATCGACAATATATTGAGGATATCAACAGGACAACCAAAAGAACAACCAACTGTCAGAATTGAACACAATAAGTCAAAAACAGAATACAATGTTTTTTGGGGAGTTATCTATATTGTAACCCCTTAGAAGTAATAAATATGGCTTCTCTAAGCCAAAATAATCTGAAGGAAAAAGCCAATCAGACTGGAACAAATTTGAGTGGGCTTTTTAAATTTGAATTTGAATTTTTATTGATGTAAGTGGAAATTCATGGCTAGGAACAATCATCGAATTGATACTGTTAACGAATTAATTCAAGCCTCAGAATTGATAAGTTGATAAACAAACTTGTTTAACATCAAATAACACGAAAACATTGACTTTAAATTCATAAGTTACCAACAATAAGCATTTAGGAAGTGTATTTGCTGATGGTGCATTGTCTGTAATTCACATTTTAGGGCAGCATATGCTAATGGGGCATTGTCTGTAATTCACATTTTAGGGCAGCATATGCTAATGGGGCAGTGTCTGTAATTCACATTTTAGGAAGAGAATATGCTTAATGGGGCATTGTCTGTAATTCGCATTTTAGGGCAGCATATGCTAATGGTGCATTGTCTGTAATTCACATTTTAGGGCAGCATATGCTAATGGGGCATTGTCTGTAATTCACATTTTAGGGCAGCATATGCTAATGGGGCATTGTCTGTAATTCACATTTTGGGGCAGCATATGCTAATGGGGCATTGTCTGTAATTCACATTTTAGGGCAGCATATGCTAATGGGGCATTGTCTGTAATTCAAAATTTGGGGCAGTGTCTGTAATTCACATTTTAGGGCAGCATATGCTAATGGTGCATTGTCTGTAATTCACATATTAGGAAGTGAATATGCTTAATGGGGCAGTGTCTGTAATTCACATTTTGGGCCAGTGTCTGTAATTCACATTTTAGGAAGTGAATATGCTAATGGAGCAGTGTCTGTAATTCACATTTTAGGAAGTGAATATGCTCACATTTTAGGCCAGTATATGCTTAATGGGGCAGTGTCTGTAATTCACATTTTAGGAAGAGAATATGCTTAATGGGGCGGTGTCTGTAATTCACATTTTAGGAAGAGAATATGCTTAATGGGGCGGTGTCTGTAATTCACATTTTAGGAAGTGAATATGCTTAATGGGGCGGTGTCTGTAATTCACATTTTAGGAAGAGAATATGCTTAATGGGGCGGTGTCTGTAATTCACATTTTATGAAGGGAATATGCTCACATTTTAGGCCAGTATATGCTTAATAGGGCAGTGTCTGTAATTCACATTTTAGGAAGAGAATATGCTTAATGGGGCGGTGTCTGTAATTCACATTTTAGGAAGTGAATATGCTTAATGGGGCAGTGTCTGTAATTCACATTTTAGGAAGTGAATATGCTTAATGGGGCAGTGTCTGTAATTCACATTTTGGGCCAGTGTCTGTAATTCACATTTTAGGAAGTGAATATGCTAATGGGGCGGTGTCTGTAATTCACATTTTAGGAAGAGAATATGCTAATGGGGCAGTGTCTGTAATTCACATTTTAGGAAGAGAATATGCTTAATGGGGCGGTGTCTGTAATTCACATTTTAGGAAGTGATTATGCTTAATGGGGCAGTGTCTGTAATTCACATTTTAGGAAGTGAATATGCTTAATGGGGCAGTGTCTGTAATTCACATTTTAGGAAGTGAATATGCTTAATGGGGCGGTGTCTGTAATTCACATTTTAGGAAGTGAATATGCTTAATGGGGCCGTGTCTGTAATTCACATTTTAGATAGAGAATATGCTTAATGGGGCGGTGTCTGTAATTCACATTTTAGGAAGTGAATATGCTTAATGGGGCAGTGTCTGTAATTCACATTTTAGGAAGAGAATATGCTTAATGGGGCAGTGTCTGTAATTCACATTTTAGGAAGTGAATATGCTTAATGGGGCAGTGTCTGTAATTCACATTTTAGGAAGTGAATATGCTAATGGGGCAGTGTCTGTAATTCACATTTTAGGAAGTGAATATGCTCACATTTTAGGCCAGTATATGCTTAATGGGGCAGTGTCTGTAATTCACATTTTAGGAAGAGAATATGCTTAATGGGGCGGTGTCTGTAATTCACATTTTAGGAAGAGAATATGCTTAATGGGGCAGTGTCTGTAATTCACATTTTAGGAAGTGAATATGCTTAATGGGGCAGTGTATGTAATTCACATTTTAGGAAGTGAATATGCTTAATGGGGCAGTGTCTGTAATTCACATTTTAGGAAGAGAATATGCTTAATGGGGCAGTGTCTGTAATTCACATTTTAGGAAGAGAATATGCTTAATGGGGCGGTGTCTGTAATTCACATTTTAGGAAGAGAATATGCTTAATGGGGCAGTGTCTGTAATTCACATTTTAGGAAGTGAATATGCTTAATGGGGCAGTGTCTGTAATTCACATTTTAGGAAGTGAATATGCTTAATGAGGCAGTGTATGTAATTGCTATGAATTGTTATCTATTGAAAATCAATTCTTTTTCGATTTAGGTTTCAAATTTAATTGATTCCCTATATCATTTTGAATAGAGATATTTTAGGGTTATTTAAGATGATAATTACAGTTTTGCTATGTGTCCATGAAAAAGTAGTGATACATAATTGTTATAGCCATCATGCATCATTTTTCCTGACAGCTGTTTGACATTTGCATCAGCTACAGTGGGTGTCTGTATTTTGTAACCATTTGTAAGAGAACTGCTTCTTATTTGAGGTAAAGATGCATAGTGGTTGTGCTCAAATATAAACTCTACAAAAATTGTAGCAATTTATTTTTTCATTTCAAACCAAAGTAAAGAAATTAGTTCAGTTTAGTTTTGTTGCATTTTATTGTTCTTTATAGTGATAAATTGGATACAATATAAAAGAAAATATTTTAAAAATTATAATGTAAACCCAGCCCTCGTGGGCTTCTCAACCACTGTTACAGAAGTAATACTTATTATTTTTATTTATTTATTTATTTCGATCTACACTTTTGAAACAGTTGCACGCTCTGCAAATCAAAGCTGCATTAAACATACACATGTTAAGATAAAACATTCATTTTGAGTATTTAATATAAACTGCTTTTTAATATAATCAGTATGCAAAATTATTCAGTAATTTTAATAACACAATTGTGATTTAATTAAAAACCTAATATTCAACAATAATATCACTTTTCTCAATTAAGATTCTCTTGTGTACAATTTACCTATATCATGTGCAAAATGAAGATAATTGTTAGTAATACACATAGTTCTCTAAAAGCCGGAAATTAAGGATATGTGTAACAACTAGACCAACGCCATACCCCAAGTGCAGGGTAACATATTTTCAGTATTTATTCTCATACTAGATCCTAGAATTTCGGCCCATTGTCATACCAAATGTCAAAGAAGGTATCCCACATGAGCTGAGGATCCATATCAAGGTTTATATACAGTTATCCCCTTGGGCTCTACTAGCATTCATTTATATTGTAAATTCTATCGGAATATCATCAGCATCCTTCATTTTTTCTTGATAGACTGCATCAAACTTTTCATTTTGAGCGATTGTAAACCAATTTTTCCAGTCGCCAACTTCACCTAGAAATAATAAAAATTAAAAATTCATATCATATAATATCATATAATAAATAATATATAATAATATAAATACTAAAGGAAATGATTTAATTTCTGATCAAAATAACATGGGATTCAGAGTTAGGTAATATAAAATTTCTGAACATACAGAACTGAACCTTAATCTCAACCTCCCTATTTTTGTTCCTGTATATGCCGTTTGCCCCTTCTCGCAAACGGTTGAATTGTTTATAAAGGTAGGCACCACCAGTCACTTAAAGGGCAGAGAATCTGATTGATGAAGAGAGCAAAATCACTAAAAGGACATTGCGACGTGCTTGCAATATTTTGATCAATGACCCCTCAGTTATCCATGTTCTTATCTTATTATATAGAGCACTGTAAAGCCTTTTGTTTAAGCCTAATTTAAGGTCAAATTGACAAAATATACCAAAATTATGTTGTTTTCTATATTTTAAATGTTGTTTCAAAATTGATTCCCATGGTAACTGCTAATAAAAAGATTCCCAAGAGACATTGTCTTAAATGCTAGTGATTCACACATCTGTAAATCTTCCTTAAAACAGCCTCTTATTTCAATTTCTTCCTAGCCAGTAAAGACATTTTGTTAGCATGCCTTTTAACACAGCCATTTCATTTATTTTCAGATGCAGGGTAAACAGGAAATGGTGGACCTAACAGAGGATTCCCAAGAAAATTATAAGATCTCCAAGCCTGAGGGGACTGTCATTGTAAAAGACATTCATAAGAATGTGGATGCTGAAAGAACAGTTAATATTCAAAATAATTCAGGACTACCACATCTACCACATAATAAAGGTTATCATCCCCAGACTAATTCTGGTTTTACCCATAATGCAACTATAACAGCAGACGACACACATTATCATGCCCCCATTGCTCAGGCACATTCATCATTTGGTACATCTATTGTTCACCCTGACCCTTTTAAGGTCACTTATCCATGCTCTCCTGCCAAAAAGTCCACCCTGACCCATATAAATGCCACACATACTCCACCAAAGAAATGTCAAAATGTCAGAAATAACAAAATGGCAACCTTCAATGAACGAGTGTTTGACTATGGTGCTGAGAAAGAGGATTCTTTAGCAACTGATGATAGCCAAGATTTGGTGCTATTTGATAGAGATATACATACCCCTATTGCAAGTAAGGGTAAGGCTAAAGAGCTACATTATGCAAAGTCAAATTCGGAGATTAAAAACACTGAGATAATTCCTGATGAATCAGACACAAGTCAAGAAATTCAAACTTATGATATGCCGAAAAGAAAACCAATCGAAAGTTCTAAAATCAAGGACAGGGAAATTGGAGATGACTTTCCCTTGATTCTAGATGATGTTGAAGATGCAAATGCTTTGGAGGATCCTACCAGAACCTCACAAATTAAGAATAAGATAAACCAGAAAACCAAATTGAATGTTCCAGAAAATAAGAGAATTTCATCTAGTAATATTACTGAAAACAATGTGCAATATACATCCAACCTTGATTTAGAATATTTGAACCCCCAACCATCAACCTCCACAATGCAACCCTATGAATTACAACATGTGAACCCCAAAGCTGACATATACCATAAGTCCACCTTGATCTCAACATCACAGAAAAGGAAACGCCCAAGTGTGATGCTTCATAACTTTGACAGTGAAAGTGATGATGATAATCATGCAACTTTTAATTTAGAAGTTCCTAAAGCTCTTGTGGATGATGACTGCCCTAGTCCTAAAAAACGGCAGCGTAAAACAAAGTCACGTCTGAAATCGAAGTCAGCATCGGTACATGACAGGCCTGATATTGATATGGAAGTCAGCCAAGCAAACCCAATGCACTCTTCATCAACATTTCACATTAGGTCCAAGTCACCTAAAGAACAGGACATTTTACCAAAGAGATTTTCACCATTGTTGGATAGCCCCTCTAGCACAGAATCCCCATCTCCCCCACCTCCCATGCCACTTCCATCCAAACAAAGGGGTAAGGTTTATCAAATGTGCAGTCCAAAAAAGCTTTTTAAAAGCCCCACTAAAGAATTTGGTAACTTGTGCAAAGCCAGTGTACACCTTGAATGTAAATTTCATGAAACAGAGAACAAACAAACAAAATGTCCACCACCGACTTCTCGTTCTGCAGTTTTTCCCCAAGATTCAGAAAATGATGAAGAATTTGATATTTTGAATGAAGCCAGTGAACATCTCAAGCAGAAGCTATATGAAATGAAAAATAAACAAACCAAACATCTACCACTGACTACCACCCTAAGTACAGACAAAGATGAAGAATTTAAACATTTGAATAAAGCAAGCATACATCTCAAACAGAAATTGGCTGAATCTATAGACACAGTGAAAAATAAACATTATTTTACCAATAATGCAACAGCACAAGCAGCAGACGTCAAAGAAACTGATGAAGCTAGAGTTCAGGTGAATAAGCTACATGTAGATCTGAGATCTTCAGACAATGATGAAAATTGTATTGTGCTTGATGATTCACAGAGCCAAGATGACCAAAAAAGTCAAGATTACCCAATGAGTCTAGATAACCCTTCTAAAAGCTCTTCTGACAGACAACTACTATTGGAACACAGCCAAACACCTGACAATGGAAATCTTCCATATAAAGAGGACATTTTGAAAGACTCTTTGAAAGATCCTATCCCTAATGATCACTCATCTGAGAAAGAGGATCAAACTCCTATGTTCAGTGACTTAAGTCAGAGCCAAAATGATTTTTATGTTGAAATGCCTTCAATGGACATGTGTGATTCTCAGAGCTATACCCCAAATAGGGACTGCTCTGAGCAGAATGAAACATCTCTCATATTGAAATCAAAGAATAACGACCACTCTACCACTAAGGATACCTCTGCAGGCGTAATTGATGAGGTTGTTGATAACTCCCAAAGTGAACCCAGCTTTGAAGAACCATATAAAAATCTTCAACTTGTTAAATTCCCACAGAGCAAAGCCAAAGATCTCCGGAAACATCCTCTTCATGAAAGCGAAACTGAAGACAGCTTTGAAGAAAGCCAAGTATTTGGTTCTGTTAAACCATTCATGGCAACACATGAAAACACTTTTGAAGATGAGAAGCTAGATTTGAATGATAATCACACCGATATGTGTGACAACATTGACAAACATCTAGATGATACAATGAGTGACCTCCATAATGACCCAGATTGTTGTGCAATACAGGAAGATTCTGAGGCTTCCCAGAGTTTATTAAGTTCACCTAGTCTAAAATCTATAAGTGTCCCATCAAAAACAGAGGTAAAAACTGTTAAGAAGATGACTCCACTAACTAATTCGAAGCAGTCAACAGTGAAATCACCTGATCTTAATCAATCAACCCAAGTGCCAAACAAGATTGAACAATCAACTGAATCATCATTGCAAATTAAGCAAGCAACTGAATTGTCATTGGAGATTAAACAATCAACTGATAAGCAATCCAAAACTAGTAAATCAACAGAAGCAACAACTAAAACTAAGCAATCAATTGAGCAGCTGTCCGAAACTAAGCAATCAACAGAAACTTGCCAATCAATAGTGTTCACCCTGAATGATTCTCAGGAATCTCTCCCTGATATAAACTCTCAAAGTATTGACGACTCTGAATCTTTTGAGCTTGATAAACCCAATACAATACCTGGTGACGATCACAAGAGTGATGGGGTCATTGAAAATACCCTTGTGCAATCAAGTACAAAGCTAGAACACAACATAGTGCAAACTAGTGCCCAAGTAGGACATCACAGAAATCGTGATAATCTGGATTTACGTGCTAGAAGTTCCCCGCATGAATATACATCTTTGAAATCAAAAACAGAGAATTTAGACAGAACCTTTCTGGAATCTGAAAATAAGAGACTAACTCCAGAGGGAGAGAATACAAGAATTGGTAGGATCAAACAGAGAAAAAGAAATATTTCAATGCAGCAGAAAAACAATGTTGAAATTATAAAATCTGTATTACCACACATAACAGAACAAAAAATTATCCGAAAATTAGAACTTCATAAAAATAATGTAGAACAAGTAATAACGCTTCTTTTAGACGATTCTCAAAATCTGGATACACAATCTCAAAATCTGGATACTCTGTCACAAAACTTGGATATGGAGTCTCAAAATTTGGATCTGCAATCTCAGCAGGAAGAATGTATTGACCTCACTGATTCAGTCCCAGTCTGATTCTCTAGTAATGTAGATCTATGTGAAATGATGAACAATCTAGGATTTCAGTACCTTAGTAACTTTAAGGACCAAAAGCTCTAATTTGCATCCATGATAACATAAACCCTTTTCTTAAAATATCAAAGCTTGAAAGAATATTTTTCCAAGGATTATGTCCAAGTCGGTTGATTGTGTAAGTTACATATTATGAATTATACATTCTTGGACAAGTAAATTACAAAAATAATCTACTTGTATAATTTCACCTAAATAAAGGAAATACATGACTCCAATGTGTCAGTAAAACTTTGTGATCAGGGACTTATGACTCGAGTGCTGTCGGTCAATAGACATTTATGATCAGTGATAGAACTGCAATCAGGGACTTATGATTAAAGTCCCAAGGGTCAATATAGCTGTGATCAGTGATAGAACTTTGGGATCACTGTTAAAAAGCATTGTATTCAATATACTTTTAGTTAGTATTATTCTCATTTAATCTAGTTTATATTAATTATTTTAGTTTAATGTTAAATATTTTCATACCCTGGTGCTTTAGGAATCTGTCAGAGGATAAAAAAAATAGTCATTATTTACCAACCATCATTATTATCATATCTTGTACTGGTGCTTCTTTTTATGTCACCACCAGGGAGGTGTTAATGTCACCACCAAGGAGGTGTTTATGTCACCACCAGGGAGGTGACATATTATTATAGTCTCCAACATTTTGTGGCAGTAGCATTTGTTTGGTGTTCAGTGTCTGTAGCAAATGGCAGGTGGTGACATTTCGCATGTCAGTGCCTTGTTAATGAACCTTGTTTTGGTGTAATAGTCTGCTTAATGTGACATCATGTATTTAACTGGGGACCCCTAGTTTGTATTTTTGTTGCATGTATATGTAGATCATTTAATAAAATAATATGCCAAATATATAATGTAGTTTTTCCTTTTTTGAAAAATAAGTAGATATTAAAGGAGTGGTATCGATATGGTGAACTTTTTGAACACTGTTTTTCTTAAACCAGTCAAATAGCAAATAGCAGGAATACGGTAAATAGTAAAGAAACAGTGCTGTTTGCAGCCTATAATTGAGATGAATGAAAAGTGGCAATTCCACATATGCACATTATGATGTGCAATAGCCAAATATGAATATTCGTCCCATTCATTTTTCATGTATTCATTTTCTGTAGATCTGTATTGTAGTGTACATTGTATGTATGTTTTGAATTTAACTGTATGTAAATTGTTTTTATTATTTGATATTAAAACAAATTAAATAATTATAGAAGAAACAAAAGTTTTCATTAGCGGAACATACATTAACAGTTACCTTCCTCAGGATTTATAAAATATATGCGTCTTCATAGCCGTAGGCACCGGGGGTTCGGTGGGTTCGAACGAACCCCTGGTCAGGATTTCCCAAAATATTATTTTGCGGAAAAATTCATAGCAATAACCAGATACATTAAATCACTGATCTATTTGAAAACTAGATATAGGACCAGTGAATGAATTGATATTTGTTATAGTGACCACGAGAGCCTTATTTTGTTAAAACATGTCATAGTGAAGTTACACTTCTCTCAAAACGTTTTTGGCAATCTTAGGCACGGAGTGAGATTGTTTAATTTTGGGAAGACGCCAGAGAATGAGATTTTACATTTAGAAATAACAATAATTTCGCACAATTAACTTAAAAGCTGCTTCTTCTCGGACAAAATAACCTATCTTGGGCAATGGCTAAATCAGTCCTTTGTAGGAATTTTGTTTTAAGCCAGTTCTGGTCCAATACGAAGTTATTGAAAGTGATCAAAAACAATGCAGACGTCCTATACTCGGAAAGATTTTTACAACATTTACACGAATAAATATCTGGAATAGTCGTAATATTGATGAAACACATATGTTCTTTCAAATGTGTACATCTCTATTTGATTTTTTCATTAAAAAGTTAAGATATTTCTTGGGAAGTCCCCAGGGCTGACACGTCCCCAAAAACCAACTCAATTGCGTTAAAAAATTTAAAAGCATATATCATTATAAACACAAGCATGCATTTGTTCAAACGAGTATATATTACCCATTTATTACACATCACAGTTTTGTTTTTAAGATACACTCCACTAAAATATTTATCATCATGTTACGGATGGACGCACCAATTTTGTGTGCCGCTGTTGTAAAAGCGTAGTTTCCAAATAAATATATAAATAAAATATTCGAACAGTCGCTTGTATTAATAAATGATTTATATACATCAAAACGTTTTTGTTATCAATTGCAGTCCGGGTGTGATCGCCAAAAAAGTTCGGTTTTCAGTCAGGGGTAGCGATTATGGCATAAACAAGCCAAAAAAAGATTTATTTTGAATTTTACAAAAATTGATGCAACTTCCTTCAAAATTGAGCTAGAAGCTTCAAATAAAAATCATTTTAAAGCTATTTTCTTTTTCTATCTCATACGATTACACATATCGCACCCCCCCCCCCCCCCTCCTTGGATACGCCTATGTTTCGTGTAAACGTTGTGAAAAGCTATCACAGAAGAACGATCTTTCTGAGTATATAGGGTGTCTGCGCGATTTTTCAATAACCTTGCATTTGATCGGAACTGGCTTCCAACAATATTCCTGCAAAATAATGATAAGTCATTGGGGTTCCTTGGTAAAAAAAAACATGATCCAGGGTCTTCCCAAAATAAGACGAAATAATGGTGGGTTCGGGGCAAATCAGATTTCAGGATATATAATCAGTAAAAGATTTACCAAAAAATAGTTTGATGCAGAAAACTAAGTTGTCTAACTTTTTTGCACGCTGCGTGTTTATTTTACTTTGTGAACATTATAAAGCTACAAAGTCATTTTTGAAAATCATTTTTACGTCCTGTGTTATTTCAATGGGAGAGGTTTCTTGATAAAGTCTATTACTTTCAGACTTTGCTTATCGTAAATAAAGCCAAAATTCAAATTCAATTGTGTACTTAACTTAATGAACGTACAAAAATGATTTATATTTCCACTCCCAAATATTCTTTTCTTCAAATTATGCAAATAAGAATTCAAACTTTTTTTTTTTTTTTTTTAATTAAAATTTATTCACATATAACTCAACATTTCAAAATACAATATTTCATAAAAAATATGTTTAAACACATTTTCTCAATCATCAATGTTTCTTACATATTTTTCATATTCAAACATTACAGATATATTTTTTCTTTCATTTGAAAACTTAAAGTCATGTATAGTTTTCTTTATTACAAGTGTCTTATATAGTAATTTTTTATCTAATATTCCTATTCCTATTTTCTCATTTTCATTCAAATCTACATCTTTCCAAATATTTTTTATAGCATTACAATGTATAAAAAAATGTTCAATATTATCAATTTCATTACATAGTTTACATAAATCAGATTGTTCTATGTTATATTTTTTTAATAAACCGCCATGTGGATATATACAATGGAAGATTTTCCATTGGATACTTAAAAGACCAGTGTCTGACGTGCATTTAAAAAACTGATTCCAAATATCTGAACCAATACTTAAACCCTTAAATTGTACATCACACTGCCTTTCTTTGACAAGCTTATTCCTGGTTTTCTGTGATGTCAATTTTTGAATTTCTATCCCTCGAAATACCAGTGTTTTGCTGGGCTTTATATTACCATACTTATGAATTCTCTCTTGATTTAAACAAGCTCTTAAAATGTTATATTGCATTACAGTTTCAGCATTTTTTCCTATTAATTCAGCAATAACCTCATATGGTTTTAAATGTTCATTTACAACGACATCTGATATATAGATAAACCCTTTTTCTATCCACTTGTGAAAGTACAAGGGATGTCTGCTCAATACAATATTTCTGTTCAATTCAAACTTAAAAATGCTTTAACACATTACCCAATGGGTTAATAAGGATTGTCAAACTTTTGGAGAAAGTGTAAATTGTACAAATTGCACAAAATGTTTTTATTTGAGGAACCCTAATGAAGGGGGGAGTGAATAACATAAAAATAGAACCCATGGTCACCAAATCCTGGCCACGCCACTGGTCTTCGTGAATATACCCAGGCCCGTAAGACACTTTTCTCCAAGGGGGGTGCGGTTTTTTGCTTAAGAGAATATAAATTTTTTGCCGCGTAAATCAAATCGCGTAAGACAGAGGGGGGGGGGGGGGTCAGTTACTCCCTGTATTGGTTTGGAATTAACAAATGCATGCAACTTCCAAACGTTCCAATTGTTTTGTGGGGGGTGTGAGGAGTTGTCCACTCCCCCTAGAAAATTTTATAGTTTTGAGATGCTATTTGGTGCTTTCTGGGCACTTTCAAAGTGTAAGTTTCTAAGTAGTACGCCACCACCACAGGAATAAGAGTTGAGTGAATAAAAAACTGAGCATTCAGGGGGGTCCGGGGGTTCTCCCCCAGGAAAATTTTGAAATTTGGTTGTATTTGGAGCGAATTTGCAACCATCTGGTACGCCTGTGCGTTATGAGTCAATAAGAAAAATGTGAATTCTTTTCAAATTCTTTTGGGGGTGTCAAAAAGGATGAGAGGGTGAAGTGGGGTGGGGTGCCAGTAGGGGAGCAAGTGGTTGTCCCCCGGAAACATTGACCATATCAAGGTGCTATTTGATGTCTGTACACTTAAAGAATATCTGAGACAATACATGAAATTCAGAATATTTTCTTTTGTTTTGTGGGGGATGTGAGGGGTGGCTAACTCTCCTAGAAAATTTTACAATTTAAAGATGATATTTGGTGCTTCTGGGCACTTTTAAAGTGTATTAGTCAATAAAAACATTGAAAAACAATCACAATTTTTTTCAAATTTTGGGGGGGTTGTCAAAGGGGGAGGGGTGCCAGAGGGGAAGGTGGGGCTGGGGGGGGGGGCAAGTGTTTGTCCCCCATATCAAAATTTACAATATCAAGGTGCTATTCGATGAAGTTTGGGCACTTAAAAAGTGTCTGTGCCTAAAAGTGCTTATTTCCCAAGAAAATTTTACAATT